CTTTAAACGAGACAGCTGAAATTCTTGTTTAATCAACTTGTTTTTCAATAATTTACCTCATTTTAGAAATTGTTCATACGTAGATTATACTCTTGAGTATCGATTCAACTGAGATATATAAACTCCGTATGCAGGTGATGAAGGTTATTAATGCATAGGTAAGGGAAGTTGACGATAGAAAAGTTAAAGTCATCACATTTATCACAGAGTTTGGTTGTTAGATTACCATTAACGTCTTTTTCAAGTAAAATATCCAAATATGAAACAAATTATTATTTGTGGTGTCTTTTATCTCAAGAAACAAGGATATATCGTATTGTAACATAAGAATTTAAATTACCATTGTTAATTGAAAAGACATATGCAGATATATCTAAATGTCGAGTTGAAGGCCACAGCAAGTGTTTTCTTCTTTTCACGCATAAGATTTTGCACAAATTCTGCTTCATAGGATTACAAAAATAGGTCTGCTAACAACAGAAATGTTTTAAATGGGAATTTCAATAGATTGTTGGCATTACAAAAACGACATAGATATTGTCAATCAGAAACTCAAGCATTTTTTATGTCAACTTCAGAGTACTTGTTTATACAATCAGAATGATTTTTAACAAAATAATTTTGCTAATGACCAATGACAATGTAAGTAAATTTACGAGTTCCTTTTTTATTGAAAAAGTAGCTGTCAATGATATCAAAAACCCTGGACTTTAATTTATCGTGATGAATGGTTGTGTATAAATTTGAAAAGTCGTAAGTTTTTAAGCTGTTGATTTTGGTGAAATCTTGTGATTTCTAATTGTCCAAAAGTTCCTTGTAATTTTTAAGTATCCACATCTGATTTACACCATTTCTTGAATATATTGTTGCACAGTACTCTTGAAGTTTCTCCTTCACTACTGCTAATATTTTAGTGAGGAGTAAAGAAAGAGTCAGGTTGCCTTCAAACAAGATTGTAAATAGATATACTTGTATTTATCAAGTAGTTCGTACTAGTCTGTTTCGCTTTTTTATTTAATGTTCCTACAACTGTGATACATAAACCCCATATGCAGATATCTAGAAGATATTCAATGCTTTACAGTAGGATTTGGTATTTATTTCACAAGAGGGAAATGGGGTTTTTTTTTCTAACATTGTTTTAATATTTTCACGAAATTGAAGCTTGTGATCGAGATAAAATATAAAACAAATCCTGTTTTATCAAGTGTTAGAAAAGCAGATCCTCAAAGTAAACGTAGATATCGTCAATGAGTTACTCGAAGTATTATTAATCAAAAATGGTTATTTACGAATGGTTTTATCAAAGAAAGCCTGCAGATTACCAATGACAAGGTACCAGGTATTACTGATTGTGATTTATCACAGGGAGTAGAAAGAAAGGTTTACCTGGGAAGTCTCCTAGCCAGTAAGTCACCATGATTTATTGTTGGGTTTTTTTCTACAATGTTGGGTCTCTTCCAATGAGAGCTAGGAAATCAGCAATTTAGTTTTCTTACAGTTCATCTTTATAATTAATCAGATGACGGCATATATTATTTAATACCTTCTGCTATCATTAATAGACATCACATTTCACTTCTTATTTCAGAGCATGCTACTAAGTATTGGTATGTAAGGCTGGATTAAAGGAAATTCGATTTCTAAAAGAAATCAAGAAAGAGAGAAGAAAGTATTGACATTGTATTTTTGTACATTTATGATATGCAACTTTTTACAAGATCGCTTCTAGGACTTTGCTAAATTCATTAACTCATTCAAATTTGATGCCATTAATTTATTCGTCTGTCTGTCAGTCTGCCTGTCAAAAAACCTTAACCTTAGTCATAACTTTTGAATTAGAAGAGATGGGGCTTATATATTTCACATGTTCATTACCCGTGAAAGTACCTTTACATTTATTCTATGATTTTTGACCCCGTAACCTTAATCTTGAAGTTTGACCTACTTTTCCAAAAAAAAATTTATGTTATTTATGTCGGTCATAACATTTGGATGAGAAGAGAAAGGGCTTTCATTTTATACATGTATATTACTTGTGAAAAGGCCAGTATACTATGATTTTTGAACCTGTGATTTATATATAGACGTTTCAAAACTTTTTTCTTTGCTTATATGTTTTGATCGAAAGAGATAGGGTTTTCATATTTAACATGGGATTGAGCATTACCTGCGATAAAACCTTTCTATCTCTACTATGAGTTGTTTTTACCCTTGACCATCAAGTTTGGCCTACTTCTCATAAATTTTAATTATACCCGAAATTTGAAATGTGTATTACCTGTGTCAAAATATTTCCGATTGAGCTATATATTTCCCCTCGACCTTGACCTTCATGTCTGGCTTAATCATTTCATCAGTATTGCTAACGACATAAATTATCCTAACCACTAAGACACAGAACGTAAATTTGTTCGTTTCTCACGTGCACTTAAATTACAGGTGTATGCAATCACATGCATACAGATTGTTTTTTACGGATTATAGTATTCCTTTAACGGTTTCGTAGTCCTCCATGAAAACAGGATTTAGAGAAAGATTTCCCCCATAGAATAATCCGACAGCAGTCTGGATTTTTCCGGGATGTGGTGTTCTTACTCTTAACAAGTCTCTCCAATATTCTTGTAAAAAAGGTGCCATTCCCATAGAACTAAAGGTCTTGTCATTACAATATGCTTGTACATTCATCACTTGCATATGAGGTATATATCTCTCAGTTGATTCGATACGCAAGAGCATGCTCTACGTATGAACAAGTTTTAAAACGAAATAAATTATTGACAAACAAGTTAATGCTGAAACAAGAATATCAGCGGTCTCTTTAAAAGTCAGTTCTATGGTCGATACGATGACCTTGTCAGCAATTACAATTTATCATTAAGTCAAATGCTGACTGTTGTTTTTCATACTAATTGTTATACTATCATATACACATTGAACTGTCAACGGATTTTTCAGTTATTTTCCAAAAATGACAAGAAACACAAGGCAGGTGTGACCGGTCGGCAGTGGATACTCACTCCTCCATGGCACCGGATCCAACCTCTTATGTTTGAGATGTCCGTGTTTGCCCTGCTCCTATTTTGTATTGTTTAATGGACTTTTGAGTTTGAATATTGTTCGTTATCTTCATATATTTCAATCAAATTTTTTTCAAAACTACAAAGAGTACTCAGTATTTCCTCTTACAATTTCTATAGGGCCTATTATAACAATTTTTATAAGTAAAAATGGTCTGAGACTCAATAACTTGAAACTCACACTCTAAGATTTTTTACTATTTTATTTTACAATTCTAGACTAGTTTTAGATTTCCTCTCCAGAGGAAAATTCTACTGTAGAGTACAGATTTGGGAAAGTACTTCTCTACTATACCGATATCTATATGTTTTCAGCATTGTAAAAAAGCGATCAATTTTTAATTCATTTTATATGAAGGCTGTTGATGATATATTAGGCTCTCGCGTGTAGGATACACAAAGAAAGATAACTCAAAAATGAAATTTTTGAAATACCGATTGGTATGTTAAAGAAGCACCACTTTTTGATGACGTAAAACACAACAAAAATAAACTCCCATTCTTTCGTCCCTTTTCCTCTGAAATTTTGCGGAAATTAAAATATTTTGTTTAAGAACTTTTAGAATTAATGCAAAAAGGTCTCATGTGATTTCCATAATGACGGATAAGTATAAAGTCACAGTTGAGCATGTCATCTCAAAATTCTTACTAATAACTTTTGGTCCAATAAAGTAAAATATCCAGAAAAAATATTAACGCATTAATAAATAGTAGTTTTAGCAAATTAAATAAAAAGCTTTTTGTCAAGATGCTTTCCAGTTTCATAAACTTTAATCGATGCGATACATGCTCTGCTATAGTGCTATAGAAGAGAAATCTCTCCATATAGAGGATTCTTAGCAATGTAGTAATTCATCTGGAGACAGAGGGTGTCTTTGGCGAAGTTTTACTCGCTCTAGAACACCGTCACACTGACCCTAATACGTAAAATTAAGAATTGAAAATGAGTTCAGTCATAATTCATTTCCCATGGTTGCCACTTTCTATGTAGCTTGATGGAAAGTGAGATACTACTACTCTTTCTCCAAAATCATGTTTTTGTCATTTCAATATCCATTTGTACGGAAGCCCATTTAGGACCTATCTAAAAATATTTTTGAATCCGATATAACGAATTGCCGAATTTGTTATAGGAATTAATTTAATTCGTTATAACAATTTCTTTCAATTCGTTAGGCCTATAATGAATTTAATTTGTTATAACAAATTCGTTGGTTTCGTTATAACGAATTCAAAAATTTGTAAATACTAATTAAACTCGTTTTAACAGATTCTAAAACTTGTTCTAACGAATTGAATTCGTTTAAACGAATTCCATAATTTGTTATAACGAATTAGATTCGTTAAAACGAATTCGTCAAATCGTAATATCGAATTCATATATATTTTTTCTATAGGCCCTTATCATTAAATTTGATTAAACTTTAATTCGTTATAACAACCTCTGGAATTTGTTTAAACGAATTTAATTTGTTATAACAAACTTTAGAATTTGTTTAAACGAATTCAATTCGTTATAACAGTTTTTGGAATTCGTTTTAACGAATTTAATTCGTTATAACAAATTCAAGAATTCGTCATAAAATCGTTATAACAAATTCAAACAAATTGTTATAATGAATTAAATTCGTTATAAAAAATTTGACAATTCGTTATATCAAATTTCAAAAAATATTTTTATAGGTCCTAAATAGGCTTCCGTAGGTAAACTTGGGTTTTATTCTGTTTTGTTTTCGGCTTTTTTTTTGGGGGGGGGGGGGGGGAATTTATGTTTGGCGTTAATCTCCAAGTAACTAAGATGGTCTCCGTCTATTATCACAAAGTGACATAGTATAGTAGTACATCTCTGTATTTTTAAAAATCAATAACCTTGTGTATAAAAAGATAACATTTTGTTCCTTTTCACAATTTATAACACACATGCACATTACATCCAAAAACACTTCCAAAACATTGGTGTGCAAAAGTCTATACTTCCCATTTCCACAGAATTTCTGATTTTGGTATAACAGGTTCTGCTTTTAGCATTGAACCATCAATGTTAACAGTTGAATTTGTTCTTTGTGAAAAGACAGATCTTGATCCAATAGTATTTGTCCTTTGAATCACTTCCTCTGGTGTTTGAATTGCAGTTGAAGACAATGGCGGCGGACCAGGACTTCCGATTGTTGACGCACGCGCAGTGACTGGGTTCATAGGAAAAAATAATGAATTTGGAGATATTTGGTTGTTGTTTGTATTAGCTTGTAATAAAGGACCTGCTCGTCTTGGTATTCCTCTGATTGCAGAAGACATAAAGGGATTTGTAAGGGATGGAATATTCAAGCTTCTCTGAATTGGTCCTAGTGGACCTAACATATTTCTACTGGGTCTTGTACCATCTTGCATGCGAGCAAATTGTAATGGTCCTGGTAGCCCAGTCTGGGATGTTAATAACCTGTTTCTGTTGTTATCCTGTTGCGGAATTCGATTCACAATATTATTCTGGTTTGTCATTCCTCTTGGTCTTAAAGCCTGTTGACTGTTCTGTGAAAATGGTATCTGATCAACATTATTTTGAAGCACTGACCCTGTAAGTGCCGTTTGATTACGTAGTCTAAACGTAGGTCCTGTTGACACAACTTGTTGCAAAGTTCGATCCAGATTATTAAATGGAATGACAGCCATTGAAGTGTTTCGATTCGTTTCCGGAACTTGCATTGAAGTTTGCTGAAATTGACTTGCTCTTGGAATCAAAGAATTTCTGACTAAGCCTGGCTGAGGAAGAAACTGACCAGGAAAACCTTGGAATCCTGTTTGTGGAAAAATTCCACTCATGCCATTGGGTATTAATCCATTAGCCAGCATTCCTGGTGAAAGCATTGATTGTTCGATCTCCTGGGCTCGATCTCTTGCAAATCCCTCTTCAACTTGGGATTCTAAGAATGAGAGATCAATTGTATCAATTGAGTTTGAATTCAGTGAGGGTTGCCTGTTTCTGATTTCGTTAAACAACGATTCCTGCATTTGTGTAGCTTGCGTATTAGTAGTCATAGTTCTATTGCCAAAGATATCTGGTGTTTGGAGATTATCAGACGCAGAACGTCGCATTCCTCCAAATCCACTAGCTCTGTTCAAGAAATCTGAAGAAAGCATAGCTTCAGTTATAGACGTTTGAACTGCTTCTTGTTGCAGGAGCTGATTCTGAGGATCCTGAGTCATAAACATGTCTGTCAGTGCAGAAATATCCGGAACTCCGGGGTTGATTTGAGTTGGATTTCGATTAGGAATTCCATTTGTTTCTCTTCCTCTTCCATTCAACCTGGAATCCCTGATTCGTGGAGATCCCTGTGCAAGAGTTTCAAGTAAATCTAAGCTGGGAATATTGTTTGAAGTTGGTCTCCCTCGCTGCGCAGAGGTGGGACCTAAGTTTTGTGGGATGGTTGCCATTTCTACATTTTGAAATGGATTGAACTGAGGGTTAACTGTGTTCCGTGTTCCTGACTGTGGCATAATTCTGTTTGGTATTTGACCCGGAGTTCGTTGTAGATTTCTTCTCTGGGTTTCTGGAATTCTTTGACGAAGTGTTTCAGCAGCTCTTGGATTTAATGCTGCATTGTTTCTTTGTCGAATGACATCAATATTTCTCGGAACAGTTTGCTGTTGCGTTAAATCATTGTTTCGCTGTCGCAAAAGATCTGCATTTCCGTTTCGTTGACGTAAAAAGTCCACGTTTGGATTTCGTTGTCGTATAATGTCACCGTTACTGTTTTGTTGTCGTAACATTTCATTATTTCTTCGCCGCATTCCATTTCTCTGTCGAACTGAATCATCGTTTCTTCTTCTTAATACATCTCCAGTGCGTCGCAATGTTTGGTCCCCACTTCTTTGTATATTTTCGACTGGTTCTATATTCCTTTGGCGAGGAACAAATCTTTGTCTAGGAGGATCAATACTTTCTTGACGTGAAGGGTCTACATTCCTAGATCCGCTCGGTAACCTGTTTCGAGCTCTCTGTAAATCAGTATTAACTCTTTGAGCAGGAACGTCTCTATTCCTCATTGGCATTGCATCTACATTTCTTTGTCGTTGGGGTTCACCATTTCTTTGACGTGTAGAGTCGGTGTTTCTTGAACGCACTGAATCAGCATTTCTTTGCCTCGACGAGTCAGCATTTCTCTGTCCAGAACTATCACCATTACCATTTCTTTGGTTGGAAGATCGCCGGCCTCCCCCTCTTAATCCGCCAAACTCTGACAAAACACTGAACAAGGAGTTCAGTACACTAGTAAATCCCGAGGACGAACCACTGCCACTAGTCCCTTGTTGGTCATTACTGCCACGATCGACTTGCAGAAGAGTTCTTCCTTTATGAACAATATCAGTTGAATAATACACTTCGGATGGAGCAACTAAAGACATGATCATTCGGTTTGGTCGCACAATCGGTGAGGTTGTTGTTTCCATGATAGAATTATCTTGAATAATATTTGTAGTGTTTGATATGGTAACTGTAAGATTTTCGGTGATATCTAGTCTTTCTGCTGTTTTATTTTCCAATGTCAGTTCTAGTGCAACACTATTTGAAACTGAAGAATCAAAACTGCTGTCACCAAGTGACCGGTTTGATGTGGAACTTGAATTGGCTGCAGCTTGGTTGGAATCCAAGACCATTGTGGAGATACTTTCTATATTCGAATTATATTCATTTCCTATTTCCGATGTCGCTATTATTGTGGTAGAAGAGGTTGTCACTGAGGATGTTTTTGGCGTCGATGTTCCCTCTGATGTGATTTTTGTTGTAGTTGTTGATAAATCTGATGTTGGAAAGTGTGTTAATGGAATGCGTGTTGTTGGAATGTTTGTAGTTGGTATTTGTGTTGTTGGAATGTGTGTTGTTGGAATGCGTGTCGTTGGAATTTGCGTTGTTGTTGGAATTTGCGTTGTTGTTGGTGCTGCTGCTGTTGTAGTATCAATGATATTATTTCTTTCTTGTATTTGTCTTGATGTTAATCCTGTTAGACTAAATGATGTTGAATCAACAATTCTATTAGTAGTGCCTTCGTATTTTAACATATCGTCTGCTATGTCGCCCTTATTGTGCAGGCTTGAAGAAAGCAGTTTCGGTGTATACTCTCTTAGAGTTTTGTTAATTGCCGACAGCAAAGGATATTTTCCTGCTTTACAAAAGTGTCCTGTAAAGTCGTCTTGATCAAGAGCCCATATCATTACGCCAGCATAACCATGATCCATTGTCCATTTTGTCTGGAAGACATTACAAAAAAAATGTTTTAGACTAACTTTATAAATGCTTTTAAAAATCTTCATATTTTATCATGACGTTTCGTTCTTGAATCGTTTAATAATATATGATGCCAAATGAATATCACGCTACCTTCTCGATAACACTGCGGACGTTTTCGTATCCCAACCAGTCACTACCATCATACATGTATGGAACACGCCTCTCGTCATCCCAAATTTCCACACCATTACCATTCAGACGACTACAAACCTACAAAATAACCTGATTGGACAAAGAATACTCAGATATCCTGATGCTTCAAACAGGTATGCCGTAAGGAACTTGAAATTTACCTCGTAGTATGCCAAAAGTCCCTTCGATTTTGTAAATGGGCCCATGGAATTGCCGTTGCTACCCACAAGAGCCTGGGCTCCGATACCATTAATGGATGGGTACTGAAGCTTATACCCTCTGCCGTACATAGCCAATCCTATTATCATTTTGTCCCTTGATGCACCGTTTCGCCTCCAATATGCTGCAGACCATTGCTGAATGAGGAAAGATAGTATGACAACGGCCATTTCATATAAGATTTCGTCTTATTTAAAAGGCTAAAAGTAACTTACGGCGTTTAGCTGCATGATTGAAGGTTGGTTTATATGCATATGAAATGATTGGTTACTTACGACGTTTAGTTGCGCCGCGTACCACCTCTCTGCTTTCCCTTTGAACAGTGGACTGTGGTGACCGGTCTGAGCTTCCCAGGCTCCATGGAAATCGTACGCCATCAGGTTGATAAAATCAACGTACCTTTATGTAAATCATGTTTTTAATATAAGAAAATGTTGACACCAAAATAAGATATAATGCTCGGATATGTTACTATGTGCGTGGAATTCATCAATTTCAAATCTCAAAATGATATCGTATATTATGGATTCCAGAAACATCAGAGCACAATGTAATATTATCTTAGGTATTTTAGGCCCTACTTAAAACAAAACTGATCAAATTGACGTCAGATTCTATTTCCTGGCTTTGAACATATTTAAATATAAAAAATAAATAGTTGGGAATTATGCATTGCATAAAAAACCTTCTTCATTTAAAGCCCAAATAATATTGCCGTACACCCATACGAAAAAATTACACGGACTTTTAGTATGTATGTCTAAAAAGTTTTCACAAGAAAAAATTGTTTTTTTTTTTCTTATAGAATCCCTTTGTAGATCAACTACCAAATAACTTGAATGATTTCGTAATTAACAATTGAAAAAATTTCAATTACGAATACCATGATTAAATTTTTTAGATTTGTTAAGCTTGTTAATGAAACTAATGAAAGAACACTGAGTAATCAAAATTTGGAGTAGTAGTATTTGGAGCAGACAGAGGTAGGACAAATAAGAACTGTTAAAGTTTGTACATGTATGACGATAAAGCCCAAAGCAGTTGACCTGTAGTCTTTGATATAATAATATGTCTAATGTCCAATTAACTATTCATATATTTTTTGAAACAAAAAAATAATAATACCCCCCCCCCCCCGGTATATTCTTCATCACAGTTAAAATCAAACACAAGGTATCGTTGCATTGTAAACTAATGTGCTTAATGAGATGAACTCAAAATACTTTTTTTTCCTATACTGCAAATCGCTCCATTAGACCGTCATTAAAAGTGACCACTCTTTATATTTGCACTATAGGAGCGATGTATTCCGCCCACTACAAAAACACGACAAAATCCCAGTAGCTAAGTCTTGTGGCACAACTCGTGGACTGTTTTGTGGTGGACCACAAGCCACGCTATCAAGTGTAAAAGATACAATAATCCGCAATTATTTCATAGTAATCTGTAGGTAATAATAATATAACGGTGACCTTTAAAAAATATATATATCGACGGTGCAATTGGGTGAGGAGGACATTGCCAAAGTGTTTGCATTTACTAGTTAAAATGGGTATGAAAACGACACAAACACACAAAAAACAAAATGAAATGGACAAAAACACAAGAGGCCTTTTTTCATATTTTATCTGTTTATAGGGGATATTTTTTTTCTCCAAAAATCCCTCCCTTATCTAATTTTACAAAAAGAAGTGAAGACGATACACTAACTTGTTGACTTCCGGAATGTTGTATCCGGAATTAATCCTTTCCTCGCCCACAGGAACAGCAATCGCCAGAAGTAAAGGATCTCTCCCAGTCTCCCTAGCCTCCTTTGTAAACTCGGATTTCAGTTTCTAAAAATATAAGTCAAATAAAGCATTACTAAAATATATTTATGAAGAAATAACTTTCAATTATAATTATGTTTATTCTACATAAGCATTGAAAGCAGTGGAGAGGGTAATTGAAAGTGGGGGGAGGGGGGGAACTAAACAACAATAAAGGTAAGTTCCAATTTTCAACGCCTATATATGTCACTATTTGCAAAAAAATGGAGGGTTAGCCCCTCCTAACCCCCACCCCACACCCTTCGGTTCCGACAACCATGTTCTTTTCTAAATTTTCATCAAAATATATCATTTTTGTTAACCAAGTGATTTTAACTGACATATAGTGACCAAAGTATCCAAAAGCTTAAAATTTCTATTCCCTTTCAAATGCTGTCTCCGCCCTCCTCACTCCCACAAATTATCTTTAAGCGTGTTTTTTTCTTATCAACATTAAGATTGAAATTTTGCTATATCTCGCACAACTCAGGATCTACTGATCTATATGCGGATGTTTTGTCTCTGTATGCCAGACTTCGCATGCTATGATTTTACAATGTTAATAATTCTGTAGACGCAGTCTGACTACACAAAGAACTCCTCTTGACCTTTTTCTTCAAAACTGCCATTAACATTTTCCCATCATTATACACGTACACGTGTTTAAGGTTAATCTTTCTGATAAGGATGAACAATTTGGAGATTCGAGCTAAACGTTATATTTATGATTAACGCCAAAACGTTTGCATTCGATAAACCAAAATAAAAAATGTGCTATTACATATGAACTACTGTCTGCTATTACATATGAACTACTGTCCACAGAGAGACAAAAGGTGTAAATTATCCGAGAAAAAACCAACTTATTGCTTATAAACCTGCTTATTGGAGAGTAGTGTATTAGATCGATGAACCTCAATGTTCATAAATGTGTGAATCTATACTGATTTATATAGAAAAAAAGCCGACATAGTGCATATCCTTGTCTGACGCAAGTGGCTTTAGCTTATACACTGTATATTTTTTTTTTCATTCACTGAATATATTGATAAAGACGGTTTCACATAAATGTCATGTATTTACACTATATATCTTAAAACTACTTTAAGCTACCAAAGAATTAAAAAAAGGATAAAATGTTTTGTGTATTGACTATCATCAAATGGATTTGCATCATAAAATGAACTTGATTTCAATTTCATCGTATTGAATTCATATAGTAATCAACCGAAGATACAAAGACGTTTGATAAATTTTCTGCCAAATACGGCACCGTGTATATTCTATCTTAATCAGAAAATGAAATTTAATTTAATTACTGTGTAATGTACAAATTAATTCAAAAATTATTTTAACAAATAGCCTTAAATCGTGCCTTGACAGAATCATTAAAAGAATGCTCGTTCGATCTGTTTAACGGATAAAGTTATTAGTACAAAGGACTCACTAAATGGTTAACATGAACATTTAACAGATCTAGAATGAACAAAAAACTCATCAAATCGTGTGATAAAATAAGACATTTATGAATTATAATCATATACAGTCAAGTGGGGACAAATAATAGGAAATTTAACCTTTTATCTTAATTAGTATTTTTCTGTTGACTTTGACCCGCGTGCAAAATGTTATGTGGAATGTATGACTTCCACAAATCTTACTTTGAGCAAGTGTATAAGATTTTCTTTATCTTCGGGAGGCCCGCCCCTTGACCCTGGATACTCCCAATCCAAATCGAGGCCGTCGAATCCTCTTGTTCGTAGATACTGTATGGTGGTGCTGACGAACTCATCCCGGCTCTCATTGGTGGAAGCCATTGTGCTGATTGGCGCATTACCCTCAGTCCAGCCTCCTATGGCCAATAAGGTTTTAAGCTTTGGATTTCTCCTTTTTAGATTATTTATTCTTGCATACCTTAAACAACAATGAACAAAAATGTTTTTATGATACTGAAATAATAGTCTTTACAAATACTAGTAATTCATTTTATTGCACAGTGTGATTCTATCTTGATATTAATAATACCTAGACCCTTATCTTTTCAATTGTAAAATGTAGACATTCCGGATATTCATAGGATATCCCTTATGTAGCAGGCAAATTCACAAAAAAAACCTAAACACAGTTTTAGAATTCAATAAACTATTAAAATTCATTTACAATAAACAAACGTCAAGCGTTTACAACATTTTTAAATCAATAGTTTATTCAGTATAGCGTACAATTAATAAATCTTGTTAAATTGTATGTTAACTTAAATTCAGATTTACAAAAAAATATTTCCATCAATTAACAAAAGTTCAGATGAAAATTCTTAATTAAATATTTATCGGCAAAATACACAAAAATTTGATGGCTTTGGACAAGCATCAGGTCCAGTACCTAGATTATAGGATAAATGTCCAGATAATCTGGGTTAATTCCTTAAAATAGTATGCGGAACTACGGGATGATGAAAAGAAGTTTATTTTGTGGTCAATAAATTGTTGGTTTACTTCCTACTAATAGAAACTACGTCAAAATGATATTCTTCTCCCAATTAAATAGACAAGGTCAGTCATAAAATTATCATTCTGTGCGCATTATCTGGCCCAGGCAATGCGGTAGTGCGAGTTCACACACCAGAGGACGTATTCAGTGACCAATCCGGTGATCTAACGCTGCATGAGTGGTTTTACTCTCTTGTGAATTATTTTACGAAATGTAGGTCCAAAATTTTGCACTAATAGCACGACATATTACATCTTTAAAAAAAAAGGAAAAAAAAGTAGAAGAACCAATGTCGTAACAAAATCTCTTAAAATATTCCTAAAACAACATTTTTCAAATATATTTTTTTACTGATACATGTACTTGGCAGACAGCAAGATATAATTTAAGGGAAGGAAGCATATAAATTATTAATATCAAGAGGTTGAGATATGATTTACAAAAGGGCAAAATTAATGCCTTGTCAACCAACGATGCCGCATGAAATGGATTGAATTGAAAAGGAGTTGGGGTGTGTGTGTGTGGGGGGGGGGGGGGATCTAGAGTAAATCAATTCTTAAGACAATATTACTTTGTTTATATTGTTTCATTGTACATTTTAAGAGGCTCAGTTTTAATTTATTAGCATTTAACATACTCAGATACTTGGTGGGGATATGGGTATGAAATGTTTAATATTAAATCAACCCACCCCACTCCTGCTTTCTGCAGCATAATGGTAAATCCTGACTTCACCCCCACTCATCCACCCACCCACAAAAAAGATAAACCCAGTCTACAAAAACTTATACAACTTATACGAGATTTTGGACTTCTGTATTTGCATTTCTTTTCTTTTCAAAGATTTTTCAGGTAAATTTCTATTTTACCTCCCTGTCCCATCCCTTTTCAAAAATGATGCTATATTCCCGATATATACAAACGGTAAACATGTAATGTGAAGAAAAATGTAAAAAGTATAATACAAATTTTCTGAAAAATTACATACTTGTTTTACGCTAGGACTCAAGTTCGGCGTACTTTAACCACCGCGTCGTGAACCCCTTTTAATGGCTTATCGGACCTACACTTTTGCCACTCATAAATATGTAAATGGGCATGTTCTGCATTTTATTTAGATTTATCAAAATCTTCATGCATCTCATCACATATATGAAACTGCTAGTTTTAGGTATGAAATAAACCATATTTATACAACTTTTTTTATTTTCTCTGAAAGAAACCGAAGTTTATTTTACCTTTTTGTAAAACAAAGAACCATAACATTGATTGATATTTCATTTTTGTGCATGTTACTTAAAAACTGATCTAGCTAAATACTGAAGAAAAAATTATTATCTAGGTTTAAAGCATGGTCGAAAATCAAGACAACAAAATGATACAATCCTCTCTTGCTCTGGAGCGCTATTCCATAACTCCAGACCATGGCTCCATAACTCCAGACCATGGCTCGTATGTGGAAAATGAGAGGCGAAGCAAGCTTTATAATTGAGAAAGGGGGGGGGGGGTGATGTCAAGCCGTCAATCAAATGTGTTTTTCAGTAACATGTGAAAACAAATCACTTCAGCCCATTTTGGCAGCAGGATATCCCTTCCCAATTGTTGTTATAGGTGCATGTAAGGACAAACATTTCTTTCCGATAAAGGGTCTCTAAAATTCAAAACTTACATTCCCTTGCTCCACTCTGTTGATTCATCGTTCCATTCCACGGCTTCAATCCTGTTCCCAGAAGTCTTTGCAAAAGCAAACACGATGTGAGTACATAAGAAAGGGTCCACATTCTTTGGGGTGAATTTCCCTAGACCCGTTCTATACTGAGACCAGTTTGTATAGTAACAAATGCGTTTGTAGTCTTGTTTTTGTGTGGAGACAGAGCGTCCGGATGATAATGCTGAAATTCAAAAAAGCAGGATGAAAATTCGCTTTATTAAACTTTATTAAAGATTTTCAAGTTATATTGCTCTCGAATTAGTCGAAATCACTTCCAAAATTTTATATATGTATATAAATAATATAAACTTGTCCGACAATAGTATTACGTCCTTAGGTTATATTATGAAACATCAGCCTCTGGCACGATTTACTTAATACACTGTCAATTTGTTAGCTTAATTAGTAAATTAGTACAGTTAGATAAGTAAAAGTATCGAAAAAATAATAAATCGATCAATCAAAGATTTATTTGAGATATAATTGTGATGAAAAAAATTATACTCACCAACTATTAAAATCAAAAGCGAATACAGTGAAATCATTTTCACGACAAATGAAAAGTTTGCGCACAGCTTAAATGAATGAACACCTAAAATTCCTCAATTAAAAGAATATAAACAATCAATTAAAAAGATTAATTCCAAAGCACATATCGGTCATAGGACTGCATTATGGTGGTAGCTAGATCCAGGTGAATATCTACATGTTAACTGAGGCCGAGACAGTAACTGGGCCCCCGATCTTGGTGTAAAGCTGTACATAAAATCGTCCACATACAATACCTGTGACATGTTGTTATTTGCATTTATGTCACATTCATCATAATCGATTCCTTGCCGAAGTCATCAAAGTGCCAAAGAAATACAGAGCGTCAGTAATACGCAAGCACCTTGCAGGAAAAAGGAGGTCTTAATGCAATTAGTATATCGTGCCACATTTCCTTAATTATTTTCTTTTGACTCATAGTACCAAATGATATATTTATTTATTCCTAAACTTACAGTTGTACACCTTTTATTCCCAACATTTGTTTTTAATGGCACATTTACGTCCAATATCTATTGCAAAGAAATTTATATGGAACTTGAAAACGTTTCTTTGAATTAATATATGATGTGTTTTATACTTAATGCTTAATTAACAAGAAAATTCAGTCTCCCTTATTAATTAACTTCAGGACCATCATTCCTCTGTTCACTAATATAAAGTTCTTCTGAAAGTTTTTCATTCATATTGAGACGCCACCCGTTGCCGGAGGATACTGCGACAAGAGACCGCGGTTTATGCGGTCTCATCCAAAGACCAGTCATTGCGTTACTCAAAGGATTCGAATCCGCAACTTAAACACTAACTCCCTTACTCGCGTCTCGAAAGCAAACGTTCTAACCACTATTCCACAAAGGCAGCTGCACAGTTAAATGAGAATTTGCTTTAACGCTCACGAATTCCTAAATAAAATCCCACAAATCTGATGGAAATGGGGTTTTTATTTGACAATTTCATGAAGGAATAAATAAAAGTCAGTTATTCCAGTAAGAGTTGTCTTTCTTATCGAAGAGTCACTTAAAAAATCACATAGATAATGGATCAAAAACATTGATTTAATAGATCCCGAAACTAAAATTTCTGAAATTTGGCATGGATTTTAGAGGACATATTCACATTTATCTTACTTCCTCCTTGTTCATATTGATTATAGAGCCATCAACACCTCCATACTGTGTTAATCTATCAGTCAATCTCCAACAAGACATGTAAACAATAGACTTGTCTTTATCCTGAGATATCATAAAAGGGACATAAATCAACTCAGTATTAAAATATAAATGAATAAACAGTTGTTTACTTACATATTTACATATAAACACCATAATTCCCCATTGTCTACATATTCAAAAATAATTTTGTATTCATAAATAGTATTTATGGCAATGGAATTCATATTTGCTATAAATGTCCAATATCACTTACATGTATATGTATTTATGCTTATTTCTCTTTCAGTGCCCCTGCTTTTAGTGGAATTATCCCCCTCCCCTTAATTGAAACGAAAGATACGTCATTCACAATATCAAAGGGTTCGAATTGTCTTAACAGTTCATTTAGGAACATGTAATAAAACACCCTCCCCCCAAAAAAAAATCAGGAAAATATCAACTGAATCTCTGTTTCATGAATAGGTTTAACAGTAAAAAAAAAAATAAACAGTTCATTCAAAGTTTTTCAGTTATGTTCTATAAAGTGATAAAGAATGTCGACATTTTACAAAAAAAAAAAAAAAATTAAAATCATAGTTAAAGAGGCATGGACACAGTTTCAACTTAATTTTTTTTTCTACCAATTTTAATATTTACAATTCCTAATTAAGGCAATTCTAATGATCAACAAGAATTTGAACATCATTTGTTATTAATTTGCTAAGGAGATACAGAACTTAGAATTCTTCATAATGTGAACAAGGCTCGTGCCTTGTTTTTGTTTACATATAGGAAATATGTTTATAACAAAACGAGATTCAGCAAATCACTAGAAATGATCATTAGAAATACCATAGTTAAGAATTTATAAACATAAACAAGAGGTCCATGGGCCACATCGCTCACCTGAGAAGCTTTGACCATTCTGTTCTTTACCAGATTTCCCCCTTGTAATACATAATGCATTCCCACCCTGTGTTACTGATCATAATTTAGACATTTTGAAATCTACACTAACCCAGGAAAGCATCCATGTGCACATAAATTTTAATAAAAAAAAGTGGTTCTTAGAAGAAGATATACAAAGATTTTTCCTATATATTCAAAAAAACTTTAAACTTCCCCATTTTACCCTTACCATATGATTTTTACAATTTAGAATTCTACACTACCCCAGGATGCTTCCACATAAGTTTCAAATATTATCTGGCCCAGTGGTTCTTGGAAGAAGATTTGAAAGATTTTTCCTATATATTTCTATGTAAAACTTTGTGATTCCCCACTGTGGCCCCGCCCTTCCCCTGGGGGTCATGATTTTTACAATTTAGAATCTACACTACCCTAGAATGCTTCCACTCTCAGTTTCAGTTTCTCCCAGTGGTTCTTGAAACAAGATTTTCAAAGATTTTTCCTATATATTTCCATGTAAAACTTTGATTCCCCATTGTGGCCCTGCCCTGACCCCCGGGGGTCATGATTTGAACAATTTAGAATTCCTACCCAGAATGCTTCCACATAAGTTTCAGCTTTTCTGGCCCAGTGGTTTCTGAAAGATTTTCAAAGATTTTTCCTATATATTTCTATGTAAAACTTTGATTCCCCAAAAAGTGGCCCCGCCTTCTTAAGGGGGTTATGATTTGAACAATTTAGAACAAACTATACCAGGATGCTTCCACATAAGTTTCAGCTTTTCTGGCCCCGTAAACATTGAAAAAAGATTTTTTAATGAAACCCACCCTATTTTTGTCTTTAACTTTTATCTCCCCTGTAAGGGGACTTTGCCCTTTATTTTAACAAATTAAATTTCTCTTCATCCAAGGATGCTTTGTACCAAAAATGTTAATGTAAAATTGGCCCTGTGGTTAAAATGAAAATCAAAATGTGAAAAGTTTACAGACGGACAGCTAGACAGAATCCAGACGGACGAAGATCCAAAATGTGATCAGAAAAGCTCACTTGAGCCTTCGGTTCAGGTGAGCTAAAAATGGAATGAAAATATTTGGCTGAAACTGTTTCCATGCCCCATTAAGGACTGGTTTACAAATATTTTACTAAGAAAAAACAATATATTTGTAGCTACAAAGAAATTATGGACAGAAACCAAAAGAGCAAAGATTAAATATCAGTAACACAGTACAAGGTATAAAGAGGAAATGTTTTCTGAAGATTCCTTATTTTATGAATGAACTAAATGTCACAAATAAAACAAGAACATAAATACTAACTACAAATATAATGTGATTTTCTTTTCTTTTTTTAATTTGAGGTGGTTAATTAATTATATCTGTGTCTTACTGTGTTACATATTTTATTCAATTCAATAAAAAAACCAAATGAAAGCATATGGAATAAATTTTAATAAAAAAAATGCAATTAACATAATCATATACATGTACATTGTATCCCTTTATTCAAAAACAGCAATAAACTTCAATGTTTTACTATACCGGTACATTGCATAAATTCTGTAGATACTAGTAGTACTACTCACATTTCAAAAATTATCAAACCATTCAATAAATTGGAAACCTGATTTGAATACATGTAAAACACTGATTATAAATGGAATCAATGTATCAATGACTAGTTATCCCCTGCCAGGGCAGCAAAGGGGTTTGTCCCTGACATTAGGCCCCCCTCCTCAGATTCTTCCTCACTCTCGGAAGAGTTATCTCCCTTTTCAAAAACTTCAGCTTGCTGAATTTCTTCATCAGTGCTCTCCCCTTCACTTTCTTCTTCATCCCTGACCTCAAATTTACTTAGTTCCTCTGACAACTGCTTAGTTTCCTGGTGGTGGATCCATAATTCTGAAAGACAAGTATTCATGTAGCAAATTTATTGGAGGTAGACTCAAAAACTGCAACTTCGTGGGTCTTTTTTGTCAGGAGGAAAACAACTTCAATGTTTTATGAAGGTGTCCATGACAAACTCTTCTCCTAAACTTTGAAATAAATGTAATGAAACCTCATATCTGTAGAATCTTGAGCAAAACTTTACTAAATGTAAAAATTCTACAAAGGGTTCAATAAACTTTGTCTATCAAAAATTTTAATAAATATTAGGGAGTGATTCCATTTTGTATAAAATTTTTTAATATTATGAATGTTTGTAGAAATCCTTGCTTGAGTCTTACTGAAGAAGATAAAGGTAACCCTAAAAACCTTACCCTGGTCAGCAGTGTAGCCCGGAGGCCTCAAACAAAGGCATGTGTACACCAGAGCCATCCTTTGAAATGATACAGCCCTGTAGGCATCTGGTCGGGCTGCCTTGGCTGTTAAAAACCCTTTCTTCAAGGCCCAAGCTGTTATAAAGAATACATTTAATATTTGACTTACATTCTTTGTACGGATTTAATGCTGTTCTGCTTTCAATGACAACATATGATACCTTCGCAAACATCAAAGGCGGTCCACTCATCTCCATCTTCGATATCTGGATGTTTCAAATTCAGCAGCTTTGGCAAATTAATTCTTTCTCCCAAGAATCCAATCACAGAATATGGCTCCCTAACTTGAGCAATTGGAAAAATTCCAGCAATAATCTGCAAAATATTCATAATATCAAGGTGAACATTGAGGTGTCTGTTACAGCCATTTGGAAACTAGCTCAAATTAACACAAATCAACAAACTGCATGTAAGAAAGTGTAGCAACAGTACATAACATTCATACATATATCTATGACTTTCACAATATTATTCAAGAAATATCTATGACTTTCACAATATTATTCAAGAACCATGTACAGTGGACCTTCAGATATCCGGACGCCAGATATCCGAATGCTTCAGTATCCGGACACTTTTTCATCGGAACAAAATTTTAAAATGTTATATTGTTTTGTTTCACTGGCGATTCAGGTATCCGGACGCTTCACATATCCGGACAAATTGACTGGGAACCAAAGCTTCCGGATAAATGATGCTCCACTGTACAATAAACACTATATTTTACTATTGTACATAATCCTGCAGTGATTTTACATTAGTGTGAAACTTCAGGGTCGTCCCATCTGTGGTACTCTATACCGACTTTAACATCAAACTTTTGCAACCTGTAGCTGTATGAAGTTATATTTTAATTAATTTTATTTTATATTATATTTTAATAACACCTTTAGTGATTGTACACCTGAGTGGCCTTACCTGCAATGATTTATCTACCAGAGATGGGAAGACTAGCCCTGGACAGTCACAGAGCTTGACTGTAGGTGTCAGGAGGATTGTCTGGAAATGTTTGGTGTGGCCCGGGGTCTTAGAAACACTCACAACCTGAAGTATAAAATATAATAATCTTGGGATGACTCTATATATATCTCTCACAGGTATACATGCATTTTTTTTCAAAAAGGCACCATGCACATAATACATGTACCAACCTTCCTGCCCACCAATCCATTCAAAAGGGAAGATTTTCCAACATTAGGATATCCTGTGCAAAAGAAATAAAAAAAATCTGATGTCAATTTTTCTACACGACATTTCTTTCAGAGTAAAAGATCAATGGTATAGCAAAATTGAAAGTATTTTTATACCATATTTTTCTCAGACACTTTCACAACTGACATTGAAGTCTGTTAATATTTCACCCTTACCTACACAACCTATAGTTAGAACGCCCCCCTTAAACATCTCATGACCCTCTTTTTCTTCTGATGGAGGAGACTCGTCCACGACATCCTCTTCTTGGTCTGCATATGCATGAATTTTTTCCTCCCAGCTTGACAAGTCAACTAAAAATATCTTTTGTATGTAAGTGACTTATTGAAAACAAGTCTTGTACACAACAGATGCCACTTTGTGAAAATACATTTAAAATGTCAAATACCTTTATTTCCAACAATTTCTTGGCAAACTCTGAGAAGTTGCAGTGGTCCTACTGAGTCTGTATATCTGTTGATTCTTCCCCTTTTAAAAACTAAAAAAATTAATTAATTACGGATTTACTGTGTTCTTGTGCCAGTAAACAATATAAAATTGCTAATACTTCTCAAAAAAGAATCTTTACAGTTAATTAGGAACAGCAATTTCTTTTCTCATCTAGATTATTTAAATCACTCTCTGAGTTGAAGGAATCACGAGTTTATTTTAATGACTTTTTTTTTACTGCTGGCCTTCATTCTTGACTTTTCTGCAGAAGGGAAAAACAAATAAACAAAATTTTCAAATAGGACTTACATTAACTAAATAATATACATGTTGATACCTCTCCTTTGTTGCTGTAGCTCACCACCTTTAGCAAAAGCTGCCTCTGATGGGTTAGAACTAAACAGGACAATTTTGAGTTCTGGGAATTTAGTCTTGAGATAGTGTTTCCAAGCCACAGTTAATGCCCTTGGAGCGAGGTCTATTTTGTTGATAACCAGTATCATAGACTTCCTCAGAGTTTGTGTGACATGACTGTATAACGCAGGGGAGAAGTGTAAGACCTGGAAGTAAAATAAAATAAAAGAATTAAGTCAGATTTACGTCCATAAAATATGAATGTCCTGCTCATAGTACATATATATTGTATTTTTGTTTGAAACTGATCTGGTATCTACATGTGTAAGAGAGAAAATATAATCATGACTTCTGATTTTTGTGTATAATGTTAAGTTTTAAAACTATATGTGAGAATGATATTTTAGCAAGTAGCCAGTCTTGCACAATTTTGCGAAACTACAGATCTCACAAATAAGTATCATCTGACAATAACACATTTTATACCCACAATTTTATACCCTAATATGACACCTTCCCATTATAAAATGTCTTCATAGAAAACACACACATGAGACTATACATACTGGAGTTCTAACATCTACAATAAGGAGAAGAACATCTGAGATCTCCAGCACCCTCCAAAGCTGTCGCCAGGTCTCCAAGTTCATTTCAAAATAACTCAGCTCTTTAGGGGAGTGTTCCTCCATAATTCCATGGATATATTTCTGTAAAATTAAAATAATGCTAAATATTAATTCACATAAAATACTGAACTGGAACATTCAGCACTGATGGCACATTTTTTTTCACTGTCTTTAAATATAATTCAGGAATTCTACTGTGTAAATTTAAAAGATGGGGAAAATAAAAGTTCTTAACAAATAACAATTGTAATGACACCAAATCATATGAAGATTCTTGTATGTTCGCTACATGAAAATCACTTCTGTTCATCAATTCCATCATAAAATTTATCCACCAAGGGAAGATAAATGGTGACTGTATCAGAATTAACTTATGTCGTCAATGTTTAAGAGCTACCTGGAAATACTTTTCTTCCCTGGCCTCTAGCTGTGCTTTTGACATGGAGTAATCCCATGGTGGTCTCTTAGGAATATCTAAAACCGACCCTGGTCTGTAGACACTCTCAAAATCAACTTCCAAATCTGCCTTTAAAATAAAAAAAATTGTTCTGTCAACTTTATTTTTATATTTTAAACACCTGCGAATGGTATTCATTCATTCATTTTAAGTTTGGTATTTGTATTTGGTAAGTAAATGTTTCCATATATCTATAAAAATAAATGTGTTCAAAGGATGAAAAAGATTTTTAAAATAACTAGTTTTATTCTTACTGTGAACAGATGTGTATTTGTTTTTAAATCTGAATGAAGTATGGCTAGAAAATGATTAAGACGGAATGAGATAAAGGGCAATTACCTCTTTCTTAGGTTTAATTGGTTCCTTCTTTGCCCGCAATTTTCTTGCATTTATTTCATCTCTACTTTCTTTGAAAAAATGAAGTCTGTATCTATGAAAATGAAAAGAGCCATAATAAACATTCATGTTTACACCATTACCACAACTTATCCATATTTTTGCAAAAATAAAAATGGTCACTGGATATATTTTCTGTTGATTTTTCCTTTACCTGTTAGGATCATATTTCTCAGTCCCGATATTTACAGGTTGTTTGTTGACCTCTAACCTAGATGTATCTTTGCTGGCTGAATGGTCTTTTTCACTATCATCACTGCTGTCATCCTCTGAAATGTAGATGTATAGGTTTGTTATAATAAAATGACACTTTTACTTAAAAAGAAAGAGCTTGATTAACTAAACATTGACATCATAAATTAAAACGAATGTCGGATCATCGATTTATTTATAGAACGACCTGTTTTTTAACAAATGTATTCCTTTTGCACTATCAATTACATTTTTATGGTTATTAATTAATATTTTCATCAACTACAAGCTTGATACTTAGTAATATATACCAGTAATTATATTGCAATGAACAAAAATTGATAGTTGGCCGGGCTATTGCATCATACCCCGTGCCGCGATACGCATTGAGTTCACAACATTGAGTTGGCGGGAGATCGTGATCGCGTTACCGCCATGCAAAAACGGCCTTAGGAAATCACTGCTTTTAGCAGCTGTTTAAACAGTTTGTAAGGTAAAATATTAATCTGTATTCCTACGAACTATCTGGCGCGATAACGTACTCCTGACAGAGTTCTCTTTCTTTCATTTAGATCGACTCTATACCTACACGGTGGCGCTGTTTACAGATACTTCACAACTTAGTTATTTTTAATTTGGTTTATCTTTAGCTAGGTTAAATTATTTGTTTATGTTTTATTCATGATAATCCTATCTAGAACTTGATTAACTAAACATTGACATCATAATATTAAAATGAATGTTTTTCTGCATATTTGACTTCACTGTAAATGCAGCTAGGTTTTATTTGTTTATGTTTTATTCATGATAATCCTATCTAGAACCACTGGACCAATACTTGATATCGAGATTACTTAACTTAGCGGAACTCTTTCGCGATGAAGGTAGGAAATGTCTGTTGGATGGGGACAAATGTGCTATTAAATACAATGCAAGATTGATCATTGTAGAATTTATAAGGACGGATAAGTAAAAAATCCTGATGGAATACCTTGCTAAACAATCGCTGAACCCACCTAATTAATTTTTGAGAGGAGCTAATCCTAAAATGTTACATTTTCTACAGTATTATTAACTAAGCAGGCTCTTCTCATTAAATTTTCATTGAAAATTGTCTAATTTTAAAGCTGATAAAATATTCTAAACTTTCCTTATTTTGCAATATACTATTTGGAGTTCAATTCTTAGCAATACGTTGTACTTTAGGCATAAAACTGTTCAAATCATTCGATTGTCACAACTGTTAACAATGCCATGTGCCCCAGTGATCTCGTGAGATTTAGAGCTTTCTCGACTCCCCTGCAAAAGAACGGTAGTAAGTTAGATAACTGCGAGGTACTCGTGATATTACGTATTTCACCTTAATTTGCAAAAGAGAGGGGTGAAAATTTTCAATGTTACATTCAACTACATGCAATATTTATTATATTATACTGAATGTTTTATACAAATACATATAACAGTAAAACCGTGCATGCATAAATTCTGCGCAGTTGCTATTTTTTGGAATATCACACGTTGTCAAGCAATGTTGACTGTTGCTACACTGGAGGGCATGGCTTCATTATTCAGCAGATAATAGTGTTTTTTAACAAATGTTTCTCGACCAATCAGATTCAACTAATTTACATGAAAGTATAATATAATGCAAATGACATAACACTGCCTTATATGAGAAGGTACTGAGTATTAGAAACATGGATTTTAAGACATTTCTTATTAACTGATAAAAAAATAAAATAAAACAATTGTAGCATCTTGATTCAGTACTTCATGCTCGGTCAATATGCTTTCTCTAAGGTCTATATATCTAGGGATTGACCTCCTCTAAAGGCTATAATTGTATATTATTGATTGCAGACACATACACTATGTATCAATAATTACATGCTATATTCATCTGCAAATCAAAATAACATGGTCCCATTTGGACTTGTTAGTTTTAAATAAAGAATCCCCGGTGTTATCTTTGTTTTCTCTTTATTTCAAAGAAAAGGGTTAGAGATCAATTGTAACCAGCTTTGGATTGAAGTTTATGACAAACCTCTGTGGACCTAAATGTTACAATTTTTTTTTTTAATCTCAAAAGCTGCATTTTTATCAGTTAAAGCAGTCAGATTAGATGTTAGCAGGTTCTTACTCTTAGGGAAAACTATGAATCCCAGGGAATCTAATGTACCAAATTTTTAATGATTTTTTTTTAAGGCCATTCCTTTTTAAGTTTGTTCCTTTTCAGTCTTTATGCCCATTTGACAGGTCCAGTCCAAAGGCTATTTCTACCTACGTAGGTATTAATAGCTAAATAGGTACTTAAACCAAAGTAGCCGTAATTTTCGGGTTATAGGTCGATGGGGTATATAGGTCGAAAGGCTCATTTTCAGCCTTAATTTTTGAAAAATCCTAAGATAGGACGAACTTACTATATAGGACGAGGCTTTGTTTCCCGTTTTCACAAGATTCTGAATACAACGTATCAAATTCTATTATTACCGGTCAATTCCGTGACATGAACGTATCAAGAAAACAAACAAATTTTAATGATACAGCATTTAAATAAAGTTTTTTAAAAAATGTAGTTAAAACTTCTTTGAATTGTGTTACTACTTTTTTTGGCCAACTTTTTGTTCAATGCCTCCGTAGTTTCATACTGTTGTTAAACCAGAGGCAAAAATAACACGTAAATACGTTTCTTATTTTAAGCTATAATTCGGCCACAAAAGAATAATAATACTGAAAACAACTTGGAACATTCCTAATATAGTTTATTCAGTTAGTTATTTACCGGTGGACTAAATTGCTTCGATGTCCGCCATTTTCATTTTTAGTTCTTCAGGGATTTGCTAAAACCCGCAAACGACCATTGAATGTATATATAAAGCAACAGTATGAATTGAAATAATATTACACGCTGTAAGTTTAATTTATAAATTTAATTGAGAGTACCGGTACATCCACAATTTGACAGTCATTATGAATTTCATGGCTTTGTTTGTTCAATGATTTAATACCCTATAACGGCACGTGGATTTGCTAATCATGCCCTGCGGGTATTAAACCAACACAGGTGTTGAAACCTTTGTGTGTACACAGTGTAAATCCTTTTATCTGTCAGACAATTAAAATTCGTTTGAAGCCAATCTTTGTATAGTGGTAATTCAGTGTACTTCTTGTACAATTTTTTATCATCCGCATGTATATTTCCATAATTGCTTGTAAAACTTCAAACTATCTTTCAAAACGATTTTTAGGAATTGCTTTGAACAATTTTTTCACTCATTTTACATTAAAATAAATATAAGACTTTTACAATAAAAAAATTAATACTATTTCAATTTATCAATTACTATGTAAAACACTAACTTGTGATGTTGAAAAATTTTCCGTATTTTAAATTTTGATCTTTTTATTTTATGATTATTTTATAATTTAAAAAAATGGCTACCGCATGATAAAAACACTTTGAGGAATTATTAACTTGATTTTATACATTTTTTTCCTGGTCATCAACATTTTTTTAATGGAATTATTTTGTAAACAAGCTATAGAATAAATATTTTCTTGTTTACCTTGGCATTAATTTTTCTGCGTAAAATAATGAAAAAAGTTATAAAAAGTGGCACAGATTTGCTCTGAAATTTACGTAAATTTTATTGATTTTGGGGCATAAATTCGTAAACTTGAATTAGAATTTCCAATTCGTATATTGGGCGACCCCATTTACTTGGGAAAAAAAGTATCGACCTATAACCCGAAAATTACGGTAGCTATTTTTACCTACTTTTTGTATTATCTGCATTTTGTGGCCAAAAGACCGAACAACACAACATGATGAATACCATAATTTTTTATACAGTCACACAAATGATGAATACAACAAAATTTTGGCCAAAAAATGATTACTTGCTAAATCAGCAAATTTACATTAGTTTCTACGCAAAATTGTTATTTTACAAAGTAATCATTTTTTGGCCAAATTTTTGTCATATTCATCATAAGTGTATCTAGCTGCAGATCTGTAGCTCTCCGAAAAAAAATATTGATAGACCGGAGAGCTACAGTGCCACCCATTGAAAAAACTGTATATAATTTATTGCGCACAAAAAAGTGCGCTCGATTTTTGATTAATTCTTCCAAATTCTTACCTCAATTGCAAAAAATGGAAGATTTAAAAAATCCTCTTTCCTCCATCAAGTTCTCTCGTAGTTGACATCTGGGAAGCATATTAAAAAACAATTCGACACCAAAATGGCAGTATAAATAAGCGAAATGTTCGATGATTGCAATATCAGGGCCAGGAGGACTATTAACAACAATTATGAGGAATGTTTTGTTGTGGAAAGAGTCAAAGAATATGTTAGGAACACACGGTTAGTAATATTTTGAGATTACAGTTTAAATAACATGGAGAAATGAATCGAGAACCGAGCGCATTTTTTTGTGCGCAATAAATATACAGTTTTTTCAATGGGTGGCACTGTAGCTCTCCGGTCTATCAATATATATATTTTCGGAGAGCTACAGATCTGCAGCTAAAGTGTATCTGTATCAAGAAATTTGGTATTCACCATATTGCGCCATTCGGCCGCTTGGCCACAAAATGCAGATAATAAAAAAAGTAGGTAAAAATAGCTACTTTGGGTAGGTTTCAATACCTACTTAGCTAAATACCTACGTAGGTAGAAATAGTCTTTGGACTGGACCTGTTTGACTGTCTACGTATGGACATGCACTTAGTTTATAGTCTTATTGACTTAGTACGGACTATCAAAAGAACAACCAATATCAAGTTAGTTCTTACACTGCAGCTTCTGAGCCCTTTCAAGCGTAAGAGGTACTTGTATTTTAATTGTATGTATACTTGCAGTTACACATTTACTTTTAAACAGTCTTCTTTGGGGATTGCGAATTTCCTCTAAAGTAAAACTATTAATCAAATATCTTACCCCTTTTCTTTCGTCTACGCTTTTCTTGCAACTGGAGTTTCTTTTGCTTTGAACTAAACGGCTTTTTGCGAGGCATTAAGTTTAAGAAAACACTTTTCTAAGCAAAGAAATGGTACCTCCCTCTGTGAATAGTTGATGTAAACATATAACAGGAAGTTGGAGTGCTTGTCCTACGGAGTAAATTTTGTAATCTTTTTATTTTATGATTATTTTATAATTTAAAAAAAGTAACAGTAAAAACACCAGTCAATGAAAATATTTTATTTTATATTTTTTACTGGATCACATTTTTTTCGCGAAGAAATTATTTTTAAACATTTACTGCGCTACAGCTCTGTTTGCCTTGGAGCCGAGTTCGTCGATGGTAAACGGAAGGATTTAAACCAAGAGAAACAGTACCATGGACATGAAATAGTATTGGTTTATCGGGCTAAATAATACAATGGAATTTCCATTTTCGATCAACAATTTACTTGGGTCTACAATATCAAAGTTGGATAATAATATATCCCCTTTTAGAAAACATGCAGATGGGTAAGCTAGTGTGCATAAATTGTGACAACGTTACGCGTTGTATTCACTTACATGCTTTGGCCTGCTTTATTGACTGTAATTAAACATGTTTGTTTATGATTTTAAAAACATTTATTACACACTTAGTAATAAATACAGGATTTTTGCATATGCGATATGCCGGACGTCACAATAGCCGTATCAGCCGGGTACAAGTCAAAACGGCACCTGGTGAAAACGGCACTTAGGAAATATGCAAAACGGCACTTGAGAGTAGTCAAAACGGCACTTTAGAAAAGTTAAAACGGAACTTTTTCTTATTTTGAGACTTTGATATTGTTTATACAGAAAACAGATCTTTATGTTACATTTATAGTAATAAATGTGTATATTATTATTGATAAAAATGTTTTAAATATATATGTAAATAGACTATTAAATTCATTTGAAAAGTATTACACTTTTGTACAGTGGTTAGATTTTTTAAATGTACTATTTTTTCTGAATTATTATATATATATATTATTTTTATATGTCTATTATTTTCTAGAAACACATGAGAAAAGCTTTGAAAGCTTTGAAATTCAAAAATTAATAGTATTGCAAATATGTATGTGTCACTCTGTTTTGGGGGGTGCCAGTCACAGCTGAGTAATTAAAAGCCAGTTGAGTATGTTTACTTAGAATACACTTGTAGGAATAAGAAACAAAAGACCATTTCACACCTCCCTTTCAATAATTTGCTGATCGTCAATTTGCAATCATATACAGTTACTATTGTGTATTTCTTGTCAACATGACAAAAGGATTGTACACAAGTTAGGAAAACTTAGATATTCCTCTCTAAACTGTACATAAAATCTAAATAGTTATACAACATTTACTATTAAGTTTTTTACAATATAAAACCTGTACATAGAAGAACAAAAGCATTTTTAAAAAATATAATTGAAGAATATCAATTTATTTATATTTAATAATTGATTAAAAATTACGATGATACAATTTTATGCTGATATTGTTACATATAATAAGTGATTTCTATAGATGATAAAATGATGCTGTTATTGTTTATAATCTTGTCTTGAAAATAACGTTATATTTAAAAACAATGCTGTTATATTTTTAATTATAAAAAGGAGACTAAAAGATGAAGATACGGATATTTCAAGGAATAGAAAAAAAAAATCATTTCAAATTTGGTACATTCAAATGTATGAATCTGTGGAGAAAAGTATGTAAATGCATATGATTATACAGAATTTAATCATGCATATATCACTGAGATTTCATAAAAACTTATTAGAGTGTATACATGAATTAATTGTTTTCTTGGAGAAAAAAAATGGACACTCCAAGAAAAAAAAAATATTATCTTTATATATACTCACACACAAATATATATCAATATATATATATATATATATATATATCGAATTATCACTGCATATATACTTTTTTCTATAAATGCCATTTTGACCAAGTGCCGTTTGAACCATAATTCTATCAGCCCTGCAGGGCTGATATGGATTTGCAGGGCTGATATAGGTTATCAGCCCCTGCAGGGCTGAAACGGATCAATATCACACCCTAAGTAAATTAAACCACAAAAACAGTACTTGTGATCATACACAACTTTTGGTGGGTTCATATTCTCTTAATTTTAACCTTTTGAAAATAAGGTTAATCTTGATTTACAAATAATAGATTATTTTCAAATTACGGATCGAGTGCATTGAAATAGAAATAGAAACAAACCCAAATCGTATGAGACAATAGGCCATGTACTTGTATGTAAGAAGTCCATGCATGATTATTTACTTATTTTCTTCTCAACTTCATGTATGTTGTATTTTATTACTAAGTATGTAATAAAGATATTAATGCATACCCTTTTCCACATCACATCCTGTATCAGCCCTCAGGCCTTCGGCCCTCTGGCTGATATTGGGGTCTCGGGCTGATATAGGATGTGATATGGAAAAGGGTATGTATTATTCTCGATCTATATAATATTTTTTATGCTTAATGAAAAAAAATATCATTTCGGGTTTACTGGGATCAAAGTCTCAAAATACTTTTACTATTTTTGATGAGGCCTATTTAAAAAAAAAAGTATCACTTAAGTATTTGTTTGTTTGTTTTTAACTCTGAATTTTATTTAAAAAGAAAATGCTAATAAGTTAAAGCATGGTTACCAAGCGACATTTATTTGGACAAATAACCAAGTTTCAAGCACTTCTTAGGTCAATTCATGTAATTTGTTGAAAGTGAAGGATTGTTTAAATGTTCAAGCATGCATCATTTTACACCATTTTTGTGTGACCGTTATGTTGTTTTACGAGGGTTGTTCGAAAATTATTGAGACATAGTGTTTATTTTGCTTTCTAATGAACGTCATGGGGTGAAATTTTGCATGTACGTTTGACATACACTTAAAATTAATAAAGGCAAAAAATATTTTACAAATATTAAATATTTTCTGTACAATGCTACATAAATGCGTCAATAGTAGGGGTACCCGGAGCAGTCACGAAATCAGATATCGAAAATATGTAACACCAACGTTCTAACTCTTTGTAGACCCATAATAATAGCGAAAATAATTCAGTTTTATCTGTATAATTTTTCAGCTTTATTTCAAATTCGTGTTGTGCAACTTTGGTAGAATTTTGATCACAAAGACGGAGATCATTAAAAAATTAAGCGCGGTAGATAAATCTGCAAAGAACGAAAAAATGGATTTTGACGTCAAGGGCGGAGCAGCCAGCATACCTAAAATTTTGTGTATCGCAATGTAGAACTCTTTTCCAGACTGGACGACCTGCTAAAACAATAACAACGAGAAAAAAATAATGTGCTGGTTTTTTTATTTCATTGATATACAGTTTTTTTTTTTACAATTCAACCAGAGTAAAATCAAAAGCTCCGGACAACCATCAGTTATTACGTACGATGTTAATATCGTTACGGTATTTATTTCGTTGACCCGCGTTGCATAAATCGGCACTGCATGATTCTATAAGTCATCCTTTCCCACAAATGAAAATTTTACACTGGGGTAGCAATGCCATACAATTTCAAAGAATAGTTTGAGAAAAGAGACTGGTTGATTTTTGTAAAGTTATATGTAATAACAAAGAAGGAAAAGTATTAAACATGCAAAACCATCTCCGGGTGACGTGACGTTAAATGACGTAGCGATGCTGCGTCCTTTATGGAGTAAATGTAATTGTCTCAATAATTTCCGAACAGCCCTCGTAATCATCAAATCCAAAATAAAACAGAACATCAGTAAAATTATAATCACAGTTATAGATATTAGGAAATTGCATGGCTTCCAGTAAAGGTTACAGCAAAAATACAATGATTATGTATATGTAACATCTTAGTACATACCCTCTACTTGTTTTACAAATTATTTAGACTCTGAATAGATCACAAAGTTTTGAGAATCTACCTTTTTTATTTATTCTCTTAAGATTGTACATTATGTTTTTCCTTTCAGATATGACACAAGACAACTTAGGAGACAACTCATTGAAGTCATTGATCGGATGGGAGAAGCATCTGCAAGGGTAAAACAAATTAATTCATTAAGGATGAACTGTATAAATACCAGATTAAAAGTACTATAGGTGTACATTTTCCAATTATTTTCGCTATGTGTAGTCACATTTGTCAGGTAGTTTGAAATTGTTTACAAATCTTTTTTTCTTTTTGCTTTGTATACGATACAATGACATTCTCATCTTTCAGGCTCAGGGACTTAGAACCATTATTACTACAGGACGAAAGCTTGAGTTATCAGATCATATTCTGTATATTATGAGGGACGATCAATTAAATGAGTAAGTTTCTGTATATTTCATGCAATTAGAATGATTCTTATTTAGCTATGAACTTTAGATAATTTACATGTATGCAAAAGTTTATTGACTTGAGGTGTAGTAAATATAATATAAAGACTACTGGTACTTCATACTTCCATATGAATTTCTTACAGCATATATACAGTTTGGTATTTAGTTTTTATTGCTTTTTTTTTATTTCAGCAACAAAGGTGGTGTAGTTGGAATATTAAAAATAGGACATAAAAAATTATTTGTGTATGATACCAAGGGTCACGTACATGAAATGGAACCAGTATGTGTTTTGGATTTTTATGTTCACGAATCCAGACAGCGAATGGGTTGTGGAAAACTGTTATTTGAATACATGTTAAAGGTAAATAACTACCCCTGAATAAATATACATGTCAGTATTTTTATGGTGAGTGTTATGGTGAATGTTAATACATTCATTAAAATTTATGATATTCATTTCTTGCAGGAACAGAATATTGATCCACATCATTTAGCCATAGACAAACCATCATTTAAATTCAGCAAGTTTCTACAGAAGCACTACAACTTAAAGGCAGAACTTCCACAAGTTAACAATTTTGTCGTATATGAGGGGTTCTTTAGTGGACGGCCATATGAGGACAGTTTAAGAGGGAGACGGGGAAATTCCAGGCCTCCTATGCACCCAAACTCAAATTGTAGGAATTTATACTGAGCATGTCATATCATTGAAAATTACATGACAGAAAATAAACTATATTGTTGATTTATGAGTTTTCTGCCATTTTTCAATGCTCCTCATTAACTACAAAGTATGTCAATAGAAAATTTTGCTAGATTTTTCTGTTAGTTCTAAATAATGTGTAACCATTGTCTGTTTCAGATAACAATTCTGAGATAAAGGCTGGCAGGAGACAAGGCTCTAGTCACTACAGATACAGGAGTTCCCCCTCTAGTCAGCTGGAGTCTGACAGCTATCATCCCTCCAGTAGATCATCCCCACGACGAGGAGAGAACATGGTCCGTGTCTAGTCACAAATAGCTTCTGTGATACAAATTTTATATTTTAAATAATTAGATATACAACTGTGGAATATCTTTAAAAAGACAGTTGAGTGTGTGTTCCTGGCTAAGTAACTAGATTTAATTTTTCAGACTCCAGATTTGGTCCCTACCCCTCCCCGAGCTCCATCACATATGGAAGTCTTGGAAAGATTACTGAGTGACAGAGAGTAAGTACCGCACACCTTGTCCCTGGTGTTAGATTTCATGGAGCAATTTATTCATATTATGAAAATATAAAGTTTTCTATAGATTATGATTAAGAAACATTATTAACAAATACTGAGTACAGTCAAACCTGTATTAAGAGACCTTCCAACGGAGAAAGGAAAAAAGGTCACATATGACAGGTGGTCTCTTAATACAGGTTGCTTATTTTTCGCAGTGTTCAAAATATACAATGCTGAAAATATCGCACGGTATGTGAATGTATTTTATAGCACCTTATGTTTATTTCCACTTTTTAATGGGTACTGCTCAACTCTAAAATGCTTTTACAATATTATCCTGTTAAGAAATAAAAATTTCTTGATCCACACATGAGTTATTTGAATATTACAGTATAAAATGGCTGCAAAGTTTTTTCCCCCTAATAATAGTTTTTTTTTTTTAATGATAGCCTATAAATAACTTCATATGTTTGCATATTACTAAGAATAAAAATTGTATCATGATTTTTGTTATGCACTTGGTATCAAACTAAATTATATTTATGACTGAAATATTTATTTCACCTAATTGATTTTTTTTCATTACTGAACTACCGTGTCTAATTGCCTGTTTGTGATTTAAATCACTTCAATTATCACAAGGTGTGGGTGCTAGCTAGCGTGTGTTTACCTACCCATTTGTGTCACCATGCACTTAAATAAACATCTATGATTAAGTTACGTCTTAAATAAAGTTAAACAGGCAGGATTTATAACCGAATGTCCATTTGGCCCTTATAGCATGAAATGATCTCGGGATCGACCTCGAACGTTTATGTTCAAAATGGCGCTCGATCACTGGACAGAAAAACGTGATGTTTATGTTTTAGATTTTAATGTTTATTCAATAAATATCAAAGCGTAAGTAAACCTATTCATTTATAAATTTTGTTTTATTCGTAAAACTCGCATTATATAATTATTAAATAAATAAAAGCGTGTCTGTAGTTGTTTTGAACCAAAAACGAAGCATGTTCGACTGAAATCGAAAGTAGAAATCGGAAATTATGTAGTCGTTTAATTCAGGTAAAATTGCTTGAAATTGCTAAAAATGGTCAGGAAAAACACGGTCGTTGGTCGCGTTAGACAGGTGGTCGTTTAATACAGGTAGAATATATAGGGAAAAGCGTTGGGGGGAATTGTTATGGTCACATGTGACAGTGAGTCGCTTAATACAGGAAGTGTCTATCGGCACGACGGTCGTGCCGATTTCGTTATCCGCACGACGGTCGTGCTAATAACAGTTCTTATCCGCACGACACAATAGAGATAACTCTAACATTAATAAATTATTATATCAACGCTGAACGCTGTTGGTGCCAACTTGGTGGGGCAAATTATATATATATGTACAGCGAACGTATATTTTTTACCCCCAACCAACGAACGTATACTTTTCACCCCAACCAACAAACCAACGAACGCATATTTTTATTTTATTATTTTATTCTTCGTCGTGTATAAATAAATGGACATATATTTTTAAATATTGTACCATAGTTAGGTGTGATTTCTTTTGTTAAAAGTGTGGGTTTTCTGTACATAACCCACACTTTTCTACTATAACTCCGCCCACCGAGTTGGGACTAAAGAACTATTTATAAAACGATCATGCACGGTTTTTAAATGAAACAATCATATGGGCTTGTTATACCAAATTTAGGAGAGTAAAAAGGAGTAAAAATTTTCAATGGTATACAGCATTTTTGAAATAAATAACAGTTAAAAACGGCCAATAATACTTTAACTTTAGTTAAAAGTGAAGAAAAAAACTTCAGAAATCGCTTGATTTTTAAACATTTTTTAAATAGTGTAATGACCAGGGTGACGTTAGCTTAGTAGATTCCAATATATCGTTGTTTTGATAACCAACAAAGGAAACACGGTACATACTTGACGTAAAAACAAGTGTACACTACTGTACTTAAATAACCTTTCCGATTGCGGATCTAGCCGATCGAAGATCTAATTGAAATATACATAACCCCTAACAAACATTTCAATCAACCTACCACCGTGCATGGCAAAATTTGTGTCAGGTTTACAAAAATTTAAGTAATCCAAGTTCATAATAAATTTCTTTCAATTACTAGTATGTAATTTTGACGATTGAAATTTACGAGAAAGGAAAAATCATTTCAAATTAACATATCATTGAAACCAAACATAAACCAAACTTTTTAAACGGGCCTAGATATGTTTAATTTTTATGTCGCTTGCGTGGCCCAGTGGTTAAAGTGCCTGCCCTAGAGTCACGAAGTAAGGAGTTGAATCCCACTGTGGGACGTAGAGACCTATAAAGTATAAACAGAGGTCCCGTGTCGCAGAAGGTGTTGACGGGAAGAAGATCCCTCACGGCTCAATGACCCTGAGTGCCGAGTATAGGGCAAAATTTGTAGCTCTCCAGTGGCAAGTAGTGGCGTCTCGATATATATGAGCGAAAAATTCTCGAGAAGAATGTTAAACAACATACAATTAATTTTTGAAAAGTATTGTATACAAATCACTTACCCTATATTCGGTGGACGTGGTCAGAAGGACACGAAGGAGCGTAAAATGATATAAAATCCTAATGCAGCATTGAAACCAAACACTTAATGTTTCAATCAAGCAAACCAGTCTGAACGATTCCTAAGCTGACTTACATATGAATGATTTTTGAAAACTATGGTACAAGTCATTTACCCCATATCACACTGTTGATTATGTGTGGATACCCGATGGGCGTGGTCATAATGACAACTCGGGAGCTACGCTCCCTCGTGTCATTATGACCACGCCCATCGGGTATCTACACATAACCAACAGTATGATATGGGGTAACTACTACTTATTCATCCTTTGTATTATTTCATTCTTGGGTATTTTTCTAAGGTTATGTTGATTGGAGCAAAAAATATATATATTATAGCCTGTACACAAATATTTTTCTCATAATAATATACTTTCCTTTATTTACGGTCTTAATTAGTCTTTCCCTATTCTCTCTCTCTCTCTCTCTCTCTCTCTCTCTCTCTCTCTCTCTCTCTCTCGCGCTCTCATTTCTTCCGAATACTTCATGTAAAAATTATAATATGGGTAAAATATTATGTCGAATTTTCCCTATTATTTTTTGAGACGTTTACATGATGTAAGTCTCAAGTGCCGCTGAAATTGTGCACGTGGATTGCGCCCACAGTCGAGAAATTGACCATGCGGTAAGTAGAACTGCGATAGTTTGAAGGATTCAAGTGTGAAAAAACCTCGCAGATTTTTAGACAGGGGCGACCCCTAGTCCCCAAAATGATAGAGAGAATCCAGTATATGTTATTCTTGTTTTGTTTATAAATATGCTATATTGTTTCGGAAATAATTTTAAAACCCATAGTAAAATAATAACGCCTTATTCTATGCTTTATTATTTTAATTTTTATGTACAGCATACAGGCACTTGTTTTGGAAATAATTTTTAAACCCATAGTATAATAATAACACAAGGCGTTATTATTTTACTATGGGTTTTAAAATTATTTCCGAAACAAGTGCCTGTGGTACAGCATTATTTTAAATTAAGAAAACTATTACTCAGTATAAAAATGCGAAATTTTATTTATTTAGAAAGGAACACAACTGTGAACATGATGGATAAAACAAAACATCATAAAACATGAAAAAAAAACGTTCTGAAAGAGGGTAACCTTGTTTGTTCTTTTAATTATTACCACAGGGAGATCGTTATCTTGATTCCTAGATTATACTAGTTCATGTATCATATCAAGGGTGTATATAAAATTAAAATTTGCGTGTCGTATTTCGAATTAAAAATGCCGTTTTTTAGGGGGGGTCTATCTTTTCTTTTCTTCTTTTTTTTTCTTGGAAAAATCATATAGTGCAAAAAACAACTAAATCACATTAAAAAAAAAACACTCTTGCAGGAACTCCTGAATAGTAAGCATGGAAAAAGGTAGGTTAACTTTATGTCGATGTCTAATAAATAAAATTTGTTTTGAGTTTCAACGTACAGAAGCAGAACGACATGTGAAAAATCATATTTATCAAAGTAAAAATATAGTACAAACAAGCAAATTCAAAGAATTGTGGTCCCCCGCTTTCGGTTTCTTTGTGGATGAGATGTTATTTTTTATGACATATTGTGTCTAATATGAACATCCTATCATGTCATTTATTTAGAAACTATCATTGAAGTTGATTTTTTTGGAAGGATGAAAACCCTAATCCTGACCGTTAAAAAGTTATGACCAAAGTAAAAAAAGTTTTTTTAAAAGTAGGTCAACTCCAAGGTCAAGATCAAAATGTCAAATTTATTTTTATTCAATGAAAGGTTTTCTCACAAGGATTACATATGTGAAGTATGAAAGCCCTAGCCCTTACTGTTCAAAAGTTATGGTCAATGTTAAAGTTTTTTCATAAGTACGTAAATATTTAAGGTCAAGGTCAAAAGGTCAAAGTTGTTGATATCCAATGAAAGGACTTGCCACAAAGAATACATATATGAAATATAAAAGTCCTAGTATCAACCGTTAAAAAGTTGTGACCAAAGTGAAAGTTTTTTTGAAAAGTAGTTAAAACTCCAATGTCAAGGTCAAAGGGTCAAAGTTGTTGGTATCCAATGAAAGGTCTTCTCACAAGTATTACATATGTGAAGTAGGAAAGCCTTAGTCCTCACCGTTCAAAAGATATGGTCAAGGTTAAAGTTTTTTCATAAGTAAGTAAATCTCCAAGGTCAAGGTCAAAAGGTCAAGGTTGTTGGTTTCCAATGAAATGTCTTGCCACAAGAAATACATACGTGAGATATAAAAGTCCTAGTATCTACTGTTAAAATGCTGTGACCAAGGTTAGTTTTTTAAAAGTAGTTAAAACGTTATTGGTATCCAATGAAAGGTCTTCTCACAAGTATTACATATGTGAAATACAAAAGCCTTAGTCCTCACCGTTCAAAAGATATGGTCAAGGTTACATTTTTTAAATAAGTACGTAAATCTCCAAGATCAGAAGGTCAAGGTTGTTGTTATGCAATGAAAGGTCTTGCCACAAACAATATATATGTGAAATATGGAAGTCCTAGTACCTACTATTCAAAAGTTATGGCCAAAGTAAAAGTTTGGAAATTTTGTGTAAAAGTGGGTCAAACTCCAAGGTCAAGGTCAAAAGGTCAAATTTGGTGGTACCCAAAGAAAGGTCTTGTCACAAGGAATACACATGTGAAATATGAAAGTCATAGTTCCACTAAATCAAAAGTTATGGGCAAGGTTAAAGTTTTTGTGACGGACAGACTGACAGACGGACAGACTGACGGACAGACGAATGAGATTTAATGTCCCCTCGCTTTCGCGAAAGCGGGGGACAATAAACGTATAATTAATATAAATTAATTTTGAAGTTTGTCGTGCGAATAACGTTTATAATTCGCACGACCGTCGTGCGAATAACTTTAGTTATCGGCACGACCGTCGTGCGGATAACATCGGTAATTAGCACGACCGTCGTGCGGATAGCCTCGGCCCTTAATACAGTGGGTCGCTATGACAGTTTTGACTGTATACATATTATTTTGATTGATTATTTCGAATAATGTATATATTTTTTTAATTCTGACATAAGAGTATTTTTATATCATTGTCAGTGTTCTATGATATGCATTCTGATACTGTAAAACGAGAATATTGGCGCACTACTAATTTTAGCGCCTTGGACGCAAGAGCCCCTGAACGCTAAAATTTATTGTGCGCTAACGGATTTCTAAATATCATTTGTGTGTGTTCAAAGCTTTCACATAGATACATGTAAACCGAAACGCGCGATTACGTAATGTCAAAAGGTTGTTGGATTTTATATACACTCTAGCACTGTATATGGTAGGATCGATCGAGAAAGTTATGCCAAAATATAATTTAATTAAACTATTGTTAGTTGTTAACTTGTTACCCGATACTTATCATTAGCACCTTCAAAGTTTGGCTTCTCGGCGTGTCAATCATCTATCGCCTTGAGGTAAATAATGCAATCAAGCATGGCGATTGAGCTTGCAGACAGTACCTGATAATGATTACCGTTTATCCAAGTAACATTCTTACGATGCATGCATTGTTGTAATATGAATAAAATGCGTAAATATTCCATCCTTTTATTTAGAATAAAATGTAAATTAAATTTAACATCGTGCCACGTCCATATGATTGCAACACCACGGTAAAGTTGATGAATGTTTACTTATATATGGGAGTGTTACTGTGCATTTTCCATGCTTGACTAACCAAAAAGTCAAGTACGGGGGTGGATAAAAAAAACAATATCACATTAATTTTATATATTTTAATACTCAGTAAGTGCAAGCACTAAAATTTATTTGTGCCAATGCATTCCTACTTGCGTTTGCGCTAGCTAAAATACACATGCGCCAAATTTTCTTGTTTTACAGTATATATATTTAACACATATAATAAGAACACATCTTTCTTTCTGTTCTGCAAAATACTCTTGTTTCTCAACTTATTTTCATCAACTTACTATTCATTACAATACTAATTCATATCCTTTATCACAAACTAATCCCTTTTGCTTGAATTAATACATTTTGAATCTGCACTCTCTCCTTTCCACAGCAAAGTCCAAGACATAAGGGGCCCCTCTCCTTCCACAAAACACAGAGCTTATGGTGCAAGCGCTACACATAGTCGGCACACAAACCCTTCCCCTGAGGTTGAATCTCGACCTAATACCACCTCTGTACTCAATTTACAAATTAGGAGTGAAGGGGGGAGAGGAAGTCGGCACTCCCAGAACAGAAACCAGAACGCTCAAACAAATGGCAAAACCAGCCCACCTCTACTGCAAAGGGAACCTCCTATCAATTTTCAAGAAAGGGTGAATCTTCATCAGGATTACATGGGAAGAAATGGTCACCTTAAAGTCACAAAAGCAGTTCCTTCCAGGTCAGAAAGTTATTAATTTCAGAAACTTGAAAAGCAGAAAGCACAAAATTAAACCAGAGATGTCTTTTAATTCAAACTCGAATTGGACGTATTAATTCAAATGAATTAAGAAATGAAGCTCTTAATTTTAAGCAGCAGTGTATTAAATTTTGAAGAAAAAAATGAGTATATTATTTCACATCGTTTCCTTTCTTTTAACAGTTTACCATCCATCAACAACAATCAAAACAAAATCCAATATGATGACAACCCAGCAAAAAACATTTTAGCAGGAATTCCCTCTCCTTGGAAGGGAAACTTTCCGAGCAATTCTAATTGGACTGTGTATGGAACACCCAATAACTATCAGACTATAGGATCTAGGCATTATAGCCATACAAGGTTGTGGTGAGCAGGACAGGGCAACAGTTAATCTAGTACTGTCTTCAAACTTCTGCCTTCTTCATGCACAAGTCATAATAGCCACAGAGAAGTTCAAACTGTGTTTTAGAAAATTTAAAATGCATTTGTTAAAACTCTGACACTTTTTTCTCTGTTGACAGTAACAAAAAATGCATAGATCTGAAAGTAAAGTATAGTATTTAATGTATAGCATTTCTTCAAAACATTCAACTTTTTTTCACAGCACTTTAGAGTCATTTTTATGGCAAGGGTTAGATGAGAAGAGAATGTAAAGTTATGTGGTAGTGTTTGAATTGAAGTGTGATTGTGGCTTTTTTATGAATCAGCTTGGTTTTGTGCAGTTTTGAGATTTCTTTTGCAAGATAACAGACATTGTGAAATGGATTTAATATCTTGCATTTTTAGTTCTTTTTCTGCATTATTCTTATTTTGATCAAACATTTGAGTCACTGAAAAAAAGATTTGTTTGCATATTCAAATCTTTTGCCAAAGAAGATTGTTCATTTAATAATGTGTTTCACAATCATTACAATTCTTCATATAAAAGTTGAGTCACAGTAGATAGGGAAGTTATGGATTGATTAGCAAATATTTGAAACTTAAATAGGTTAACATGAACCACATGAAACTAGTGTTAGATTGTCAATCTCATGTGTGGATCCATGATTTTTATTTCTAAGGGAGTGGGGCAGGGTTCTACATCAACCCAAACAAGCAACAAATTGAAATATTTTACATGTAACTAGCAAAAATAACTTGAAAGTCAATTTTCTTCAGATGCATCACTTTTTTACGATTTTAAGAAATGTCCATGTTTTCTAGATGGTACCAAGGTCATATCTGTTTACAAAGAAATTTAAAACTCAAAAAAAAAAATCTTAGGGAAACCCAACCCTCCTTTCCATAGATCAACGCTTCCCATAGATTATATGAGTTTTCTGCCTTTAACTTTTAATTATGTGTTTTATGTGCAATGATCGAAAGCTTCTCAATATGTATCTTTTCCCATTTAACAGTTCTTCAAAAACAAAAAGATGAAATTGTTTATTCGTTCGGAAAAGAAGAGCTGGAAACCTTAAGGGATGCTCTGATACATGTAACTATTCAGGCATTGCATATTGTGACTGCTTTGAACACTGAATTGTATTCTAAAACATGAGATCAGCTGCTTCAATGTTTTATTGGTGCATTTATTATTTGTATTTTATTTAACTAATGAACTATCAAAATACAAGTATTATGTACATTGGAAAAGGGTCATATTCATTTTTGGCATAAAGCTGTATTTTCCCATATAATTGTCAACTAGCATTTACATAAGTTTAAAGGAAATGATATGAAATGAGTTATGACATGGCAATGATACTTTGATTTCTTGTCATCTTTAGAAATGCTATTTTAATATGCTTAAGCATCTTGGGTAAATATGTAAATTGTGTATTAACATAAATTAATTTAACCTTTTTCCTGGTTTTGTAGAAGCAGCTGATGTAAAGTGTTTGATACTGCCACTCAGTATTCTTATTTAGTTTTTGTTCATTTGATAGTTATATTTCTGTATTAATTTGTTGATTGGGTATGCTCAGGCTTTGTATCAATATTCATAGTACGTGTACATAAATCTATAAGGTTGTTACCATATTATTCTTTTATCAGTGGTGCTTTTGTTCCATGGTTTTTTAGGGGGTTGAATTTTGTCAAAGAAGATTTCTGTACTTTCATCATTTTTACACCAATTTCAAAATAACCTCTTTCCAAATATCTCTTTACAAGTAGATAATGTGCAGAATTCAATGAAATGATTGCACTTTATGTTTTTATCTCTTCTTCCTTTGACTTAGGCAAACAGTTATAACTTCAGATATATTTTATCATTGACTTTTTTTTGCACTCTCTATAATAAAAAATATTCACATATTTATGGAGTTTATTCAGACATCTACATTTTTTTGTGATAGTAAATATTTTTATTATTAGAACATGATAAAATGTGTTCAGTAATAATCATTATTAAGCACTGCTTGCTATATTATGAAATTGTTATGTTTTTTCTTAGTATATGTTATGTGTCAAAAAGCTTAAATTGTTTGTTTTATTTATCTTTGTGGAACAGTTATTTAAAAAAAAGAACATATTAAAACAATACCACTCTATCTGAATCATCTTTTTCTTATTGCAAAAAGTTGTCTCCTTAATATAAAGCACTTGCATTGTACAAATTGAACAGGCACTAACCATAATGTTACTTGGGAAGAAAATTAAACATGTAACTTTCCATCGCTCTTCTTGAATTTTGGAGGTCTCTCAAGGAATATACTGAATCTCAAGTATTAAATTATTTCAATTGCAATACCGGTAGTCATGTACATGTATCTGAATACATAAATTTTTGAAAAAAAATATTGCACTGTGTATATGTGTAAAAAGAGTGGTTTCAAAAATGTAAGAAATGTATAGAAGGACTTGGTCTGGGACAAATACATGTAGTAAGTTAAAAGCTAGATGTAGAATTGTAGGTAATTGCTCACAAGTATGTAATAATTTGCTTGTAGTTTTGAACATGTCTTTGGAGATTTTCTAAACTTTATAAATTGTACTGTTGCTGTAGTTTCATGATTTTGCCCACTACAATACACTAGAAATCATCACTCAGACAAATCAAATCAATTATTTTGATAACCTTTACTAGTTTGCATTTCTTTCATACAGAATTGAACAGTTATCAGCCTGGGTGCTTGAAATTTTCTGGATTTCAGTTTGAAGCAATCTGCTACATTTTGGCCGATTTTTGACAAATTTCTGAATGTCTTGCAGCTCTTTTAATTTCCATGGATATTCCTTGATTAAAATGTGCACTATTTCAAAGTTAAAATCTCTGTCAAAGAAATTTGGTTGTAGCTTCACTCCAAACTTTACAATTTCCTTTGCTAAATTTTTCATGTCCATCATGCAGGCTCTAAATAAGGCATCTCTCAAATTCTTTTCATCCTTGTACATCCCTTTACGAAGTATCTCAATGCAAGTCTCTTCATCTGATACAAAAATCATTTGGTTAAAGACTTGAAATGGAATCGTGGAAGTGAGTGAAAGCAAGACTTTTATGACTGCTGGTTTTCTTGATTGTATGGCTACGTCTAGAAAAGACAGCATATCGTCATTATTCCACTTCATTTCTTTAAGGATATTCAGAAATGTCTCATTCTCCACAGTGGAATAATCAGGAATCCCTGGTATAATGCTGACAACGAAAGAGGCATTTACAAGTTTCATGCATCCCAGCTCGTTGAATTCGGTCACTAGACACGGAATATCTCTCGAACAAGCTACAAGGTACGAGTTTTTAAAATCGGCGAGAGAAAGAGCACCTTGACGTTTTTGAAATAATGCTTTGACCAACTCAGGGTTAAATTGTTCTTTTGAAAAATGCACACAAAAATTAAAAATATTTTTAGAACTAAGTGCCATATAATTGTTCTTTAAAATGCATTGACAAAGTTCTAAATCCCTATTTCTTGCAGCCTCGTCAAAATAATTTTGAAGTGTTAAAACATTTGCTTCCTCTTCCAAAAATTCCATGCGTTCTTTGCCGTCGCCAAAATCGTCGTCATAGGAACATGAAACCTCGTGCAGAAGTCCTCTGGAATCTGATAAACTCTCATCACCTGAGATCGATGCTTCTTCACTTTCTAGCGAAACAGTTTCAAAGAAAGATTCCGTTTGATGACGAAAAGCTTAGTTTGTAGATTTTTTCAGAGGGATCTGTTTCCTTTTGAAAATCTATGTATGTCATGTTCCGTAATAGTTTTGGTACCTCCGTATCTTCAAGAAGAACTGGAATAATACAATTCCGTCTCTCCTGGACATTCTTTCTAAAGGCTTCTTGTAATTCCTGCCAACACCAACCACTGTTTACAGAGGCTGGACTTAACAACACCAAAATTCTATCCGACTTATCCATAAAATTTGTTATGTTTTCTATAATTTCAGTTCCTGGAAGGAATTCCCGATCCGCAAAGCAACACTTTATTTCAAATATGTTTTCCAGGTCCATCATCAACTCTGTAGCTTTCGCAGAGTCTTCAGAGCTATGAATTATGAAGAGATCGTACTCGTATGCTTTATCCGCCATTATCCTCTAGTTTCTTTTTACAATATAGAGAAAATAAATGAACTCATACTCGTAACAACTTGTTTATACCGTATTTAATACTCAACGTTATCTTTGGGCCTGTCAATTTAAATTACAATGGAGTGTACTTTTATTACATCCTATTTCCTTAGTGGCGAACGAGAATAGAAAACTCTTGGTTAGGTCATGTACTAACGTACATGCTTCAATAGCCACAATAAAATTGTGTTACCAGGTAGATTTAAAGTACAATCTATTCTAAAAAAAAAATAATAAAAATTGCACAATGATCCGATATAAAATCGTCCAAGGTGGAAGTTTTTTCCCTTCTTTTTGTGTTGCTTCTGATAAAGCAATATACATGTAGTTCGTTTTATTAGACCTACATGTACATTAAAAATACAAATGATAGATTCACAAACAATAAACAACAAAGTCTCTACTACCTTAAACTATTCAATATGAGTAAATATTCTCCAAGGGGAGTTAAATAACTAAGTACCAAATGAGCTGGATTTTCAGAAATAAAGGAACTTCAAGAGATTTTTTTTCATTTTGAAACATAATGGAAAAGTAAACGCCTTTATATAGTAATTAGTTTCCCTTTAAATGTCACTAGTCAAAATAGTTCAAGCACTTGAAATCTACAAACTAGTACATGAACTATTGGGGAAAAAATGAGTTTATCTTCTTTATTTTCACATTTTCAAGTACCAGCCGTCTCCCACCAACCTACTTGTAAAACCGAATTAAGTGTTATGGTTTTTATTTTAGTCTAAGACCATAACGCTAAATCCCTTTATGCCAAAAATGTGCAAATTACGGCGCGTTTCTCTGCGCACAGTTTGGGAGAATATCTCCAGAAGTGGTCGAACAACTGCCTTTCACTCCCTACACTTAACCATATTTTGCAATCAACCTGTATATTTTATCCATCCATCCCAATCACTTATAGCTGTCTTTACAGACCAATAAACTAGCTTGTTTTGAAGTTATTGCTATCATACAAGAAATTCAAAACCTGCAAGTTGACTGTTCTGTAGAGATGACTATTAAGAGTTAGGATATGGATAAAACATACAGGTTCTTGGAATATAAGTGTTTAGATGTCCTCATTACATGCTATTTTTACGTCACCAGTAATGCCATTTCAAGCAGCTGTAGAGCAAAGGGTGAACCGAGCAAAGAATATGTCAAGGAAAAAGATTTTTAATTTTTATGGTTTAGGCCACACCCTTCTATATTCAGGGAGATAGAGACCATAAAATTTTAATTTGCATTTCTTATTACCAACATACGCTGAAAACCAGAATGGAAGAAATAAAGGATTTGAAAGAAGAAGCTGAAAAGTTCAGTAGCTTATTTACGAACAACGGCCGGATGACAAAGGACAAAGACAGATGTAGAAACAGTATCCTGTGTAACTCGTGGCGACCTAGCAAACAGTTGACAGAACTGATCAAGATAAGAGTACATGTAAATTTTTATCTAGATTTTTAAAATTTATTTCTTTGAATTATTCTTTTGAATGATTTGAATAAATGATGTGCATTTGGCAGAGACTTGATTTCATAATTACGGTTTATTGACGCACCGCTTTTCTTCTTCTTTCGGTCGTTTTTTTTAAATCATTTCGCATCTATACAGTTATCAGATAGAGTGCCGAGATTCCAAAACTAATCATAGAACTACTGCAGTGACCAGCTGATGACTTTGCTTACTTCAACGTTAATTACCCGTATTCTCACAACAATATACTAGTGCTCACGTCTAGTTGTCATAATTAGGAAAAATCATGTTTTGTTGTGAAAACTTTTCTTTAGCACATAAACTTGCACTTCTTTCATACAAAACTGTACATTTATCAGTGGAGACACTCGAGAGTTTTTGGATCTCGGTTCGAAGCAATCTTCTGCATTTTGGCCCCTTCAAAAAATTCTCCATTTCTTTCAGTTCACTTAAACTCCATCGGTAGTTAAGAATTAAAATTTCTACTATTCCGAAACTAAAAGCCTTGGATAGGAAATTTGGGTGCAGTTTTACTCCTTGCTTTAAGATCTCTTCCGTCAATTTTTTCATGTCCCCGATACACGCTTGAAATAAAGCTTCTTCTAAGCTGTTTTGATCTTCGTATTTTTCTCTCTGCAGTAACTCAATGCAAGTTTCTTCATCCATAATTAAAATCAACTGAGAAAACTGTTTGAATGGTATAATGGGAATGAGTGAAAGCAAAATTTCAAGTATCTTTATGTTTTTTGTAGAAATTGCTTTGTCTAGAAATAGCTTAAGGTCTCCGTAATCCCACTTCGTGCCTTTCAAAATGTTGGAGAGCGAGACATTCTCCACCGTAGAATTTACAAGTTTCATATCCAAAATAATGCCACATACGAAAGAAGCATTCAGAAGTTTCTGGCATCCCAGTTTGTTGAATTCAGCGACAAGACACGGAATGTCTCTCCAACAGGCGGCTCGGTAACAGTTCTTATAATCAGTCGGGGAGAGACCATGGTCAAGCTTCTTGAATACCAGCTCGACTAACTCTTCATTGTATTCTTCTTTAAGTAAATCTAGACAAAAGTTCAAAAGGTTATTCAAACTTAGTTGAGTATGAACATTCTCCAAAATACACTGACAACGTTTTAAATCCTTTTTACTTAATGCTTCATCAAAATACCCCTGAAGGGTTGCTACTTGTGTTTCTTCTTTCATAAATTCTAGACTTTCTTCCAAATCAGTGTATTCCTCGTCATCAGTAACTGAGTTGTCAAATGGAATAATTGGCAATTCATGATAATCCAAACTACTCTTACTAGTAGTAAGCCATTCATCCCATTTCGATTGATGTTGAACATGTTGAAATACTTTGTGTATTTTTTCGGCGGTATCTGTCTCTTTTTGAAAATCTATGTATGTTATGTTCCGTAATAGTTTTGGTACCTCCGTATCTTCTAGCAGAACTGGAATAATACAATTCCGTTTCTCCTGGACATTCTTTCTAAAGGCTTCTTGTAATTCCTGCCAACACCAACCACTGTTTACAGATGCTGGACTTATCAACATTAAAATTCTATCCGACTTATCCATAAAATTTGTTATGTTTTCTATAATTTCAGTTCCTGGAAGGAATTCCCGATCCGCAAAACAACACTTCATTGTAAATCTGTTTTCCAGGTCCATCATCAACTCTGTAGCTTTCGCAGAGTCTTCAGAGCTATGAATTATGAAGAGATCATACTCATATGCTTTATCCGCCATTATTCTCTATATTTTACCTTCGTTTACACATCAATGCACAAACACGTATTATGTTGCTTTGTAACATAATTAAGTTCCGGGGTTTTTTGTTGTTATTTTTTTTTCCCTATCATATAAATTGTGTACTGCTTTGATGAAAGTCTATTTTTAGTCACTTCCTTCATTATTGTAAACCACTCCAACGTGTATCTATTAGGCATTATCCTCTACCGTTCTGTAAAAGAGCTTCGGGCATGAGACAATGACTTCCATATTTGAAAGCGAAACTAAAAATATTTTTATTCAAAGGACAAAATAAATGTGTAATGGTATTATAATCGTGATGAAACGAGATCTATATAACTGTTTGGAATAAGGGTTTAAATTCTGCTAAAAGCTGAACATTCAGAATTTTTACATGAGCTCCAGGAAGGAATTCTGATTGTTGTCATACATTCAGAGAGTTGTTAGACTAGAATTTTGGCCAAAATCTTCCGTTTGTGTTATTTTTTCCGCATGTTAGGATGCGCGTGGATGTACAAGTATATGCCAAGAACATCCGATAAAGTCATAATTGCTATGTTTTGCATCAAAGAAAGGGATTATATTTATGCATGGATTTGGCAATGTTAATTTAAAACCGTTTCTTCCCAGCTGTAAGGTTTTCTTGATCATCAAAAAATTCTCTTTGAGTTTACAATCAGTGACCTTATTGCTATTTAGGATAAAGTAATGTAATTCTTAATACGTATTAGTTCAAATTGAAGTTTTCCGGAAGTTTGGAGAGGACATTCTAAGTTGGCATAACTTGTGTCCAATCCCATTGATTATGTTTCAATAAAATATGTTTAAATCAAGTTTTCCGGACTTTCATGCTTGTACATAAGTTGACCACTTAAAAATATTCTGAGGGGGATTTCCAGCGTGAACTGTCTGTTGATCCTTATTGGTATACCTTACTTTCCATTCTGTGGAAATGTCACAGAAAAAAAATGGTTTATAATAATAAATTCTCGATTGATTGATAATGCATCTCATTATGTTAAGATTTCTTAAGCTTTATTCAAATCTAAACCCATAATTGGCACGTAGGGTCGAGTGTTCTTTTTGGTGCCAATACATGTACCTACTGCGAGACGGGACCTCAGTTTCTACGGTCACATATGAATCATCGGTCTCCACATCCTGCAGTGAATATGAACCCGTGACGTAAGGATCGGCTCCTTCCTCCTAACTTTAGAGCAGCCACTCGAACCACTGCGCCACGCGGGCAACGTGTTGGTATAAATTTGCAGCCCTCCAGCAGCAAGGGTTTGCGCCTCCACATGGGTGGAAAATTCTCGAGAGGGGCGTTAAACAACAAACAAACGTTTTCAAGTGGAAAAAAGGGGTCTCGAGAGAGGCTAGCTGCAGAACTGTAGCTCTCTGCTTGAGAAAATTCGGACAGATAAAGCAGAGATGCTATATATGCAGAGAGCTAGCTACAGTTCTGCAGCTAGAGAGAGGCTTTATATATGAACCATAACATATAAGTATGTACATTTTGTCAAATCAATCCCAACATTTTTTTCAAGAATAGACTTCTGTTAAAGGTGCATGGACAGAGATTTGAAGTTAATATTTCTGTATATATCACGACTTATATATTAATAGCATTTCACACAAAAATATATTAAAAATTTTCTTTCATCTGAAAGTTATTGAAACTTCAGGTGGGTTTGATTGACACATCCTTGCACTCTCACTAATTTAACTTTTATTCTTTATACTTAGTAAAAGTGGCAATCTTGTTGTGTATTAAAGAAAAATATTGAGACTTTAATCCTGAAGAAATAATCATATACTGAGTAGAAATGTTAGAAAGCAAAACCCCTTCATAAGTATCCTCATTCCGAGTTTAGAAAATTGATCACACCCATGAAACGTACACAGCTTTTGTAAACAGGGCACGAGCTCTGTTATTGTTGATGTTTACGATTCACCGGGTGCGTTCAATTGTTAAAGTCTGCTCACCACAACTGCACGGACTGACAATCTACTATGTGTATGTTTTGCTTTCAAACATTTCTACTCTGAATTTTCTGGATTATAGTTTTAATATTTTTCATTTATACACAACAAGATTGCCACTTTTCCTATTTAGTAAGAATAAAATTAAAATTTGTGAAAGTGCAAGGATATGTCAATCAAACCTGTCTAAAAATTTGAAGTTTTAATAACTTTTAGATGAAATAAGATTTTTAATATATTTTTGTGTGAAATGCTATTAAATGGGTCGACACTGGGCCTTCGAGCTTCTTGATCCGACAATGAATTAAATAAGTAGTATAATTCAATGTATACTAGTAATCCTGTTTAATGTGTAAATCTGTTATGTTGGCTTCCTAGCAAATTAAGAAATACAGGAACACTGTCAGAGTGGTTTTTGTTTTTAAAATAATATTATTAATAATCAATTTTATTCTCCATGGAACTACAAATGTATTCCATACATATTGATACCCACAAGTGATCTCGTTTTTAACTTGTCACCCACGGCTGATGATTAAAAGACGAGTTCACCTGTGAGTATCCTTCTTCTGCAGGGAGATTCTCACCTTACCTCAACTATCCTCCGTTTACTCCGATACCTTCCATCACCTGTCTCTGTCCTTGGCTGCTCCCCTCGCTGATGCCCAGCTACTCTAACCCAACTGTGATCTTTTTTGAACTGTTATTCTTCTCCTTCTTTAAGTTGATTTCGGTCGGCCTACTTTCTTCTTTCCTTCTGGTTGCCATGTCCGGACGGTGGTAAAAATTTTGAGTTCTTCATCCTCAGTACTTCCACTTCCTAAGGGTCATTATTTCATTCGCTCTACCTTTCTTCATTCTATGATGAGGTTCCTCAACTGATATTTTTGGACGATCTCACTCTCAGGATTTTTCTGAGGCATTTATTCTGGTGTCAAGGTGTATCTTCTTTTTGTCTCGTTCCAGTGTTTTCCATGTCTCACTACCATATATTAAAACTGACAGGGCTAAGCTGTTTAATAATTTTACTTTTGTTTAGATGGAAAATTTTGACGATTTCCAAATTTTCTGAGCAATCCAAAGTGGATTTTAGTTTTTTTTAGTAAGGTTCCCATCAGATCCTCCCATTGATATTATCAAACCTCCAAGGTAAATACAGGTTTCTACATCCTCCAGGTCTTGCCCATCAATCTTGACTATTGCTCTATTATGTCAGAGGTTAGATTCATCACACACGTTGGTTTTCTAAATGTTTATACTGAGGCCACTTTGAATAGAAGTTTTATTTAGTCTTTATGTCTTTTGTTTGATGTCCCGAAATTTCCAAGAAAGTAGAGCAACAGCATTTGCAAAGTCTAGATATTCAAATTTTGTTGTGAATTTCCACCTTATTCTTGTTTGTACCGAAAATTTCTGTAGTTCTTTTCATTACAAATCTATAACCAACAAAAACGGGAATCAAGACATTATGCAACCCTGCTTCACTCCTGTTGTAACCTGGAATCATTCAGATTAATCTTCTCCATCTTCTTGGACTGCTCATTAGAGTGATTCATATCGGAGTTTCACCATTCTGACCAGTCTATCTGGGATGCCGCAAAACTTCATGATAGACCATATAGGCTCTCTCTATGAATGGAGTCAAATGACTTTTCAAAATCAACGTAGTTAATAACAATGTTGAGTTCCATTCGGTACATTGTTTTATGATGTTACGGGGTGTAAATAGTTGTTCTGTTGTACTATTCCCTCTTCTAAAGCCAGCTTGTACATCATGCAGCTGCTTTTCCACTCCATCTTGGATCCTTTCTATCACTATTCTTGAGAATACTTAGCTTGACACCTACATAATGTTATACGCCTATATATTTATTACATGAAGATTCATTGGAATCTTCACTATCAGGCCTTTACTAAAACCGATGGTATGGTTTCTTGCTTTCAAATTGTTGTGAAGAGATTATCCAAATATCTTGCTGTTGCCTCTATTCAGCTTTAAACATCACAGCTTTTATCTCATCAATTCATCCAGCTTTCCATTCTTTTTTCTTTATAGAATTGATTATTTTTCCTTTCCGTATGGGGTTTGTATCCATTTCATCTGCTACTTGTCCTTCGTGTTTGGGTGTTCAGGTTGTGGTCAGTTTAATATTTCTTGAAAGTGCACTTTCTACCTTTTTTTTTTCATCTTGGCTGCTCAGGATATTGCCCCCTCTGTTCTTTATTGCTCTTGTCGTTCCTTCTTTCTCATAAATTAGTATTCTAGTTATAGCTATTACACTGTTTTCCTGTTTCCATTACTTGCTGTTCTCTCTGCTTCCGTAATCATGTCTTCTGTCCACTTTCTCGTCATTCCTTATGATTTTACCTCTCTTTAATTGAAATTTGTTTTCTTAAGCCTCTTTTTAACCTTTCTGATCTGCTGTTGACAAGTTGGAGTTTTACCTGCTTCCTTTCTTCAACCACCTTCCATGAGTATGTGCTTATTCAAGGGTTTTGTACCAAGAATGATATCTGCTGTCTTGTTGTCATTTCTTGTAACCTTTTATCATATATTTCCAGATGTCTGGACCTTAAATCAATCTTATAGGGGCCAAAATTCAGGGAACCCCATTCTTTTTACTGGCATAGTGTACCCGGTATTCTGTGGAAGATTACACCATGCGATGGGCAAAACGTGAAAAAGAATACATTGACACGTTGTCAGAATGGATTAAATGAATCAGATGTATGTTACGCGAAGAGTTCTAATTGCAGGGTAGTTTTATATTGTTAGAGTGATTTGCCCTTAGAAGTAAAATAGAAAAAAAATGGTTATTTACAGTTGATTACACAATATATATTAGACTAAAATATACTTAACATTATCATAGCATTATCTTAGACCAAGAATAAGTACATGTTCATTTTTTCAAATGATTTTCCAAATGTAAGTAAACAACAGTGTTTTTGCTCACCCATAGTCTTTGAACATTTTCCCTGCAGAATTAAGACAGGTACCCTCTGTTAGAAATGAATTAAATAGTCTCAATATGCACACCATTGCATAATATTTTTCCATTGCTTATATTTAATCACTTAATTGTTTATTTCCTTCATTTTTAGCACCCTTCGGTATTGGTGTGCTTAATAAACGTAATAGCCGTTCGTGGCGTTGGAAAGCCGTTTGTGACGTTCGAAAGTTACATAAAGCAAATAAACATTGCGAGGAAATAAAATGACAAATTAGTTTTTAATGCACATTTGCTGTATTTTATGTTAATTTTAAAAGCCTTACATGTAATTCTACTAGTGGTAATCCAACTTACACCTACAGCTCAGTTTCTAAGGATGAAATTCTTCACAATCATATGTCAGTTTTGAATATATTTTTAATATTCAAAACTTGAAATACCATATCCATACTGGATTCCAAAATTTCATAAAAATCCTTACAATTACAAATATACATAACGGGTTCCGGTAAATGTTCCATGGAGACCCTTTCTTTACTCCTCACTAAAATACCGGCCCGGTATTAACAGTAGTGAAGGAAAAACTTCAGAAGCTCTGTGCGACAACATATTCAAGAAGTGGTGTAAATCAGATGTGGATACTTAAAAATTCCAAGGAACTTTCTGGAGAATTTGAAATCAACAATTTAACCAAAACTAACAGCTTAAAAACGTATGACTTTTCGACTTTATACACAATCATTCCTCAGGATAAATTTAAGTGAATAAAGTCCAGGCTTTTTGATATTGAAGTGATAGCTGCTTTTTCAATAAAAAATGGAATCATGATGGAGATCAGCTAGGTTTTCCGACAATTTATTGGAAATCCCATGGGTACCGATTGCACCCCGTTATAAGCAGACCTATTTTTGTAGTCATACAAGGCAGAATTGTCCAAAATCTTATACGTGAAAAGAAGAAAACACTTGATGTGGCTATCAACTCAACATTAAGATATATCGACGACGTATATTGTCAATTAACAATGGTTATTTCCATTCTTAAATTATGTCGATACGATATATCCTTGCATGCATGTAAGCTTGATTTAAAAGGTACCACATGCAGAGTCTGGCATATCTGTTTCATATTTGAATATTTAACTTTAAAAAAGACGTAATTTGTTATGATAAACGTAATGACTTTAACTTTTCAATTGTCAACTTCCCGTACTTATGCTGTATACTGGTACCTTCAACCCTTGCATATGGGGTTTATATATCTTTCAGTTGATTCAATACGCAAGAGGTGCTCTAATTAACGAGGTAAATATTGAAAAACAAGTTGATGAAACAAGATATCAGCAGTCTCGTTTGATCATTTCGTAATTAAAGGTATATTATCGATAAAATATGACCTTTTCAGCAAATACAATTTATCAGTGAGTCAAAATTAATACTGAGTGACGTTTTTCATACTAATTGTTAGGCCATTATTTACACACTGAATTGGGACGGATTCTTCCGTTATTTCCCGATCATGACAAGGAGCACACTGCGGGTGTGACCGGTCGGCAAGGGATGCTAACTCCTCCCTGGCACTTGATCCCACCTCTGATGTTTTGCAAGTCCGTGTTTGCAACGCTAGCTGTATTGATTTAAAATGGACTCTCGAAATTGAATACTGTTCATTATATCCATATGATTTCATACTTTCTAATTCTTCTGAAACTTTGATCTAATAAATCTATTTTTCATCTCGAATGTGAATGCTATCCTTTCTTCTTTGGTGACATCATATTTCTTTCAAGTGTACAGTATCTGTAATCTGCATTTTGCTCGTGTTTCTTCGAGTTTATTCTGAGCTTACTATAACCATAGGCCTTGGTCACAGGACGGTGTACTAGTATTTTATAAATTCTATGTTTTACAAGGTTATCTGAATATACTCACTAGAATAAAAATTTTAAAAATCTCTGAAATTAACACGTTTTAAAAATATCATATCTACTGTATATAAAGTTTATATACATTAGGTGTGATATTTTTGAAAAAGTGTTAATTTCAGAGATTTTTTTTTATTTTTATTTAAATGAGATACACCTAGTAAAACATATAATACATTTTATTATACTTCTGTTAAAATGTTTCCTATATAAAGTTCAGAAGGTAAAATAACTATTCTTCATAGTCAAAAATTATCCCCTTATTGCAAATGACATATCATTATATATATTTTTTGTTTTAATATCTTCCACCCCTCGAAAAATTTTCATGCAATTTTTGACGCCAATTTTAATTTCTAGCGTTAAATCCATAACCAATGATGATGTCATAATGACTTTAAAGTAGCATTGTGACGTCACTCATAAAAAATATTCCAAGGTATTTTAACAAACGGCTGTCTTTATATATTAAACTTTCAAACGTATTAATCTATCTCCAAAGAAAATTTAAACCTTTAGGTAAATTGTCTGAAATTATTATATATAATGTTCTGAATTGTTTGAAAGAACGTTAAGAGTGAAGGTAAAACAATGACAGTCAAGTGACTATCCTGGTCACTATGGTGTGTAAAATGGGTAGCTCTTTCATCAAACCCTTTGATAATCACGAAATAAATACTCATTCCCTAGGGAAAGCCCGTTTTTGATAATCATGAAATTTACGGACATAGTTTATTATTCAAGCCTTCGCTCAAAATGTTGTGTTTTTGAATGATTATCACCGTTGTCCTTTTCCAAGTGTAAAATGGGTAGCGCGGGTTTTGATTTAAACTTAATTTCGGCAGCATATTTACAATTATTTCATTTGGATCTTTGAAATTGAACAACCAAAACATTTAATTGTTGCAATAATAAATGTATTGAAATTATACATTTTTTGACTACCTGTGACCAAGCGCCTTTTATTTCCGATGTTTCAGATAATGACATATAATTGAAATATAAATGACTCTTTTTTTATTTGCATATTTATATTAATTTTTTCCAATTTATTTCTTAGTACACAAAGAAAATTATTTAAAGTTTATTTGACTTAATTCAAAAATTATAATCTTATTGCAAATGACATATCATTATATATATTTTTTGTTTTAATATCTTCCAACGTCGAAATAGATGGGCTTTTGGATGTTGGTATTTTTATTAAACTTTTGGGTAATTAGCCATCCCCCTTCTTGATAACTCGTACGTAAGATAACCAACATTCAACCAATGTTCCAGATATTCTAAACCATTTAAAGTAAGAAGTTAGATTGAAACGATAACTTCTGATTTTTTTTATTTCATAAAAAATATTCCAAGGTATTTTAACAAACGGCTGTCTTTATATATTAAACTCATTCAAACGACAATTAATGGAACGAGTTACCAAATTCATGTGAATCCTGGCTTGGTTGTGAAACTGCGGGATAAAAGCATTATTGGAGTTTTTCTCCGCTGAATTAGGTAAATTGTCTGTAAACAAGACGAATTATTATATTAAGGAAGGTTCTGAATTGTTGTAAAGAACGTTAAGAGTGAAGGTAACGAACAATGACCAGTCAAGTGACTGATCGACTGGTCACTATCATCACCCTTGATCATTGGCGCTTGGTTTCAGGATGGTGTATATGTGTATTATGTGTTTTTCTAGGTGTGTCTGAATACCCTCATAAAAATAAATATAAAAATTCGCTGTAATTAGCACGTTTTAAAAATGTCATATTTACTGTTTATAAACAGGTCCAGTCCAAAGACTATTTCTACCTACGTAGCTATTAATAGCTACACAGGTATTTAAATCTACCCAAAGTAGCTATATTTACCTACTTTTTGTATTATCTGCATTTTGTGACCAAAAGACCAAACAGCACAACATGGTGAATACCATATATTTTGATACAGTCACACTATTGGTGAATACGACAAAATTTTGGCCAAAATATGATTACTTCCTAAATCTTCAATTTTACATTAATTTCTATGCAAAATTGTTAATTTCAAAGTAATCATTGTTTGGACAAATTTTTGTCATATCCATCATCAGTGTGACTCTATCAAGAAATATGGTATTCACCATATTGCACCGTTTGGCCACAAAATGCAAGTAAAGCAGAAAGTAGGTAAAATTAGCTACTGTGGGTAGGTTTAATTACCTACGTAGCTATTAATAGCTACGTAGGTAGAAATAGTCTTTGGACTGGACCTGATAGAAAGAGTAAAGGAGTGTCACTCTCTATCTTGAAAATCAAGGGTACCTCGGTTTACACTTATTTTCATCTATATCTACATTTTTCCTACTGGTGTCGGGTGAGGTCTAGCTTCAATAATGATCTATTAATAGATCCCCTACACTCTATGTAAAAGTGAAAACGGAGTCATCGTTATTATTTAGATTTAAAAATAATTGCCTGACATAGACCTGTATCAATAATTGCCTGACATAGACCTGTATCATAACTTTATCGGAACTTTGGTACTGCTTTTTGAATGGCTAGGATAAACCTAATTAAACTGTGTTAATTCACAGGAGACAGCAGTTTTATCACAGGAGCCGGCAGTTTTATCAATAAACCAATTAAAACATAACCTGTGAGCTTCGCAAGTGAAGCTTTACTTAGTCAAAATAACAGATGCATGTGACTCAATTCATGTCAGTTGATGTGTCCCACCTGATTTCTGGTGCAGTCCCCCTCTTATTCTAATCTAACATAAACAACATTTCGAAAAGAATCGGCCCCTATGAGGGTTTTCCTGTGGCGTCACGATTCGATGTTGAACTGAGCTTGGATTCCCCTACATTTAAATATTTAAAAAATAAAAAAAATATTCAATCAATGAATTATTTGTGTTTTTTTTTTTATATTTTTAAAGCAATAATATACCAATAAATGTTTTTAAATGAAGTAAAACTTACCTAAGTCAATGAACACATTTTGAATATATTGTTACGCCACAGGAAAACTGTGACATTGGTTTATCGATAAAACTGCCGACTCCTTTGGTTTTATCAGTAAAACAATGTAAACAATAACAATGCATTTTTGGCAAATTCTGCTTTTACGCCTTATTTAGTCAAAATAACAAAACAGATTCGATTCAATACATGTCAGTGATTAGCCCACCTGATTTCTTGATGTCCCCCTCAGATTCACCGTTATTGGCTGTAAAATCTATCATAGATAACCTTCTGAAAAGAATCAGTAGCCATAATGATTTTCTTAAAAAATTTGCTATGCGCTCATAGCTCACAGGTTATTGTTTACAGTGTTTTATTGATAAAACTACCGACTCCTAAGTTTTATTCTACAATTGTTGTAAAAACGTTTGTTGGGAGATAGTTATATGAATCTGTCAAAATATCGAAAATAAATATGTAATAATTATAATATTTTTTAGTTTGCAGATTAATGGTGCCAAATCCATTGCTTGTACTCTGGCCCATATGAGAGATCAATAATGCTGTGTTTATAAGTTGATTGTATCCTTGCTTGCACAATAAGGTGTGGAACCACTTTCATACAAAATCATCAATATTAAGTAATTACATATTATTATTGATAAGGGATATCTGTGTAACATCTGTCACAGCATAACTTACAAGAACTTGCAGTCCAAGACAAAATGAGTCACTAGAACTCCAAGTCTAAAAGGAGTTACTGGAACTCAAGATGAAAACTTGAGTTCATGGTGTCCTTCACAGTAGATTATAATTATGTACTTTGTATAATGTATACAACTTTAAATATATTAACCTGAGTACAATCAAGCTAAACATTAATTTAAAGATATATTTGTGTAAAAAATGATTTTATTATCATACAAGCAGCAATATATATTTGGTGTTTCTGTTGTATTTTAAGGTTGATTATAATGCCATTTATGAAGTAATTTATTTAGATTATTTTTTATAGAGTAGAGAGAGAGAAGTTAATTAGGACAATGGACGAATTCAAAGAAGTAAGTGGTTTGGGCTCTTTCTTTCTCTTATTGATGATTCATAAAGAGCCTTTTATTATATTGTCAGGATTTTTTTCAAATATTGACCCTGAAGAAAGGCTGGATAAAAAAAGAAAGAAAGAAAGATTGGCAGGTTTTCACTGTAGTTTTACACACTGGTTTTGCAAAAGTTTAGATTTTATTGAAATAGATGTATCTTTTTTGAAACACATCTCTTAAAGTTTGTAATATTGAAAAATAGCTTTCCATGACCACCTACAATTTCTCATATTAACAGAGATGACCCCTGAAAATTTTAACAGTTCAGTTGAAAGTTGAATATGCCAATGACCAAATGTGATAGGGCTCTTTTTTACATGTAGATATTTACTCAAGCCAAAGGTAACCATACAAAAGCATTCTAGAAAAGAATTATTTCTTATGTAAAGAAATATATGCATTATCAAAGACTCTTTGCTTGTAGTATGAATTACAACATTTTTAAGAACGTAAATACCATAAATATCAAGGTTATTGAACTTAAATTATGGTATATTGACACTTGTTGGTACAGTGTACATACAAGTATGTACCAAGCTTACAAAGGCAGTTTTAGCCAGTGAATTCTTCAGAATTATGTATTAAACTAAAATATCTTTTTCATTCATACAGCAAACCTTTTATAATTTCTTATGCATTGGAATATTTTCTTAGTCTAGAATTTTGTTTTGTGGATGGATTTCAAGCTGTACAATCTGAGAAAAGATGTAAAATATGTAAATACGAGGGTTGTTGTAAAAGTTCGTGGACAACTGTCATATCTGTTTTATTTGACGTCATATGTTATCCAAATTTGGTAGAAATATTTTAACAATAAATCCAAATGATATGTATTAATTTTGACAAAATAATACCATTGATAAAAAACTTATCCAGATTTTAAAAATGCAAAAATCGAATCGCGGATCAGGTCAAAATTTAGCCAGTTACAGATAATACAATAAATAATGTCTATAGTCATATTCTCTGTAAAATGGAGGAAAAACGATAAACTACCTAGAAATTCAAATTAAGAATTGTTACATCGATATGTTTACCGAATTATGGTTTTATATTTTGCTTTGTTGAAAAGAAATTAACTTGAGAAGATAAATAGTCCTTATTGAAAACTACAAATACGATGATGTTTTAGAACGCCACGGAGCAGCAGATACCGAAGCAATTTTGTGTTTTTCTCAGGAAAAATCCTGAAAAAACTCTACAATGATGAATGAATCAAGAAAATATGTCACAAGCGAGTTGTACATGTGTGTACAAATAGTGCAGGCAATATTAGAGTGACAGAGACTCTGTATCGGATGAGGATGACCTGTGAAGAAACGGTTTTACTGTAAACATCTGAACAAAACTTTAAAATTTGAAACGTAAATGAAATACAAAGGCGCTTCGGAGTTGCTTATCCTGTGAAAGCAGAGTTAAGTACTAAAAGAAATTAAAACCTTAACAAAGGAAATTATACAATGAGATCAATTCTTAAAAAAATAAATGTCAAGTATTAGAAAAAGAATTTAATGAATGGGCATTGGAATATTCTGTGTGATATGTATAGGTATGGTATCCATTATAAATTCTCGACGCTATACGTTGACGTTACATTGACGTTTTGTTGCTCCGCGGGTACAAAACATGTTGATTTTAAAATGAAGTAAATTTATTTGTGTTAAATCGAATGGAATGAAACTTCAAACATCAACAAAACAATTATTTTTACATATTATAATGTGCTTGTTTTAAATTTCCAGTGAGTAATATAAGGAAGATGGACATCGTCCACGAACTTTTCGAACAACCCTCGTATATATACACTGTAAGATGGCTATTTGCATAACACAAACCACTTTGCAATCAATTGAAAACCTTGAATGCAGAAATGCTATATGTATATTTCAAGTATTTTTTTTTATCACAGACAGCTAACTTTATATTAATATTTTAACCATTTAAGCAATTAAGACAAATAAAATATGTCTTGATAAATGTTACACAAAATCTATCTATACATGTAATTTAAGACTGCATTTTTATAAACAAAAATAAGCTAAACTTGATACTTACATGTTTTTTACATCATGCATTTAAGTCTTGTAAAATATAAGCAATATTAGAAATGCATTTTTTAATATTGCTTTATAAGCTATAGTATATAAAAATATGAGGATAATTTGCATAAAATTTAGAATGTAAGTCAAGAGTATTGTTAATATCTTGCTAATACTGCTACTGCAGCATCTAACACAGCTAGCTAGTACCGAAAACCAGTACATGTATAAACTATAAAATTTGATAAAAGATGTACAATTTAAATTTGTTTGAATGAAAAGAGTAAAGATAAACTGCAACTACTTGAAATAATATGAAATACATATTTCCATCATGAATGTGTTGTTTACAAAAATTTTTAAAATGTATATAATTACTACTCTCTTTTCAGTTTCTGAAGACATGCAAAAGTTACATAAAGAAAGAGCCATCCCTTATCAAATTAATCAAGAAAAGACATCGTGAATGCAGTGCAAAATACTTACGGTCCTCAGAATTTTATAACAGTCTACAAATTACTCGTGCACAGATCGAAAGTAATCCCAAAGAAATCTATCTCTATTTAAGAGATTTTCTAAAAGAACTCAAAAATAATAAAATAGATGAGAATGAGATGAAAAGAAAAAGAGATAATGCATCCCCAGCTGAAGATCATCATGAAAGTAAGAGATTCAAGCAAGATGAAGAAGGGAAAGAAGAAGGTTTTTCTTCCACCTCTGCTGTTGAATCGGGAAATGTCTGTGAAATTTCAGAAAGAAGTGCTAAGCCTGGAACCTCTTTGGCAACCAAATTGAAGGATAAATTTGATAAATGTGAGGAAGGTCAAGGTGACACAGCTAATGAGGGAGGAGAAATGTGTGAGTCTGACCCTGAAATTCAAATAGAGTCCCTGGAAAGTTCCAGTGAAGAAGAAGGTCCAAAAATTGTGAGAGTGTCGAAAGTTACGAAAGAAGCTGTTGAAGAAAAACATCTCAAAAAGGCGCCTAATGAAGAAGAAGATGTTGAGGATGAGATTTCTAACAAGGGGAGGTTATCACAAGATGAGGAAAATGCTGAGGATAAAATTCACAACAAACACTCTGTGTTACTAGAACAGGTGGAAGATTTTGAGGTGGTGCTAAATGAGGATTATTCAAATGGCAGTACAGGAAGCTCATTGGTCAATTACAATATCTCAGGAACCAATAAAGACTCTGCTTGTGATTCCACTGTTTTGGATGAATCTGACATCATATTAGGCAATGTAGAAAAAGTAGATGTGGAAAATAGTGATCACACTTTGGCAAATAAAAGACACTTTAACCTAGAAAAAGTTTCAGAGGAAAGCTCAAATCGAGGAGATGAGAAGGTGTCTAAAAAGTCAAATGAGTCATCTGCTATTGATAAAGAAGAAGATGACAAGTCTGAATCAGCAATGGATAAATATCCTGATTCCACTACCACAGAACCAACAGAAAAAATTCAAAGTAAAGTTCCAATAACACCAAGTAAATATAAAGATGTTTTCCAAAAGCTGAAAACTACTGCCAACAAGGTGAAAAGTCTTCCAGTGTCACCAAAGCATGCAGTTTACTCACCTGACAGTAGCTCAAAGGTGGAAAGTGGTAGCAATGTGGAATCTCACAATATAGAAGCAATGGATATTGAAGAGGATATACATCCATTGCAAGGGAAAGACATAAAGAAGGATGAAAAAGATGATTGTATTGCAAGTAAAACTGAAAATCAAGCAAAACTGACAGGTTTACATAAACTTGAAAAGTCAAAATGTTCTTTATCACTGAAGTGCAAAAAGAAAGATCAGCAGACAAAGGATACTTTACATAATAAAGATTCTTGTGACAGTGAAGAGACAAATCAAGAGAAATATATTGTAATTAGCAGTAGTCAGGATACTGATGAAGATGTTAGTGAAAAACCACAGTGTGCAAGAAAGCTCACAGATGATTTCTTTGAAAATTGTTCAGAGAGTCCGTTGAAAATTATACATGTAGCCTCTGGAACTGCCATAGAAGCCATGGATTCTGGTGAGGAGCAAGAAAAAGAAATGGAAGTTGATTCTGTAAGCAGAGGTGAAGAACAAAAGAATGTCACACAGGATGAAAGCAAAACCAGTGATGTCATACAGGAGGAGAGCAAAACCAATGATGTCACACAGGAGGAGAGCAAAACCAATGATGTCACACAGGAGGAAAGCGAAATCAGTGATGTCACACATGAAGACAACAAAACCATTTCTCAGAAGAAATTAGAGAAATCAAATTCCAGGGAGGAAACTAAGGAAGAAGGAACAAAACCAGATATAAAATGTACTGATGATGAACCATCAACTAGTGCAGAAGGAGGAGCTAAAAGGGAGAAGAAGGGTTCAAAGAGGCAGATTGAAAGACTAGAAAAACTGCTGAAGGTAATCTTTTGACTGATTAAAAACAATTAGTTTTTTGGACGCAAGAACAAATATATATAAAGTTTCTCAGTGTGTCACACTTTTAAGTTACCAGTATGAGTTACATTGTAGTTAAAAATACTTTTAGAGATCACATATTGATTTATGTATACAATGTTTGAAATTTGCACACTAGGACAGGATGATAATGTTTAACTATTACAGGACATTCGAGACAAGATTGAGGCATTGAAAGAAACAGAAGTGGACTTGGATGATGAAGATTCAGCCTACATCATGGAGGAAAAATACCAGAAAAAGTTTGTCAAGGTGTGGAACAAACTTTGTGAGATCAAAGAGAGCAGCACCGACACAGGTCGACCAGTGGAGAGGAAATTCAGATATGAAGGTAAAATAAAAATAAACACAATTTCTATAGGTCTATTGAAATTTGAAATACATGTTTGAAGGTCACTGAAACAAATCAGATAGTGAACCAAAAAATATTGATATGAAGGTAAAATCAAATAAATTGATATAAAGAGAAAAGAATTTTCATATACATGTAAAAGTATGAAGGTTATATGACACATAGGTTGAATCCAGAGAGGAGAAATTAGGATATCCCTTGCAAAATGATAACGGTAAACATTACTTTAAAAACCACAGGAAGGTATTGAGATACTCAAACAAAATACATGTAAAAAGTAACATACACGTAAGAATAGGCAGTTAGTGATTAAAACCTGGATGAACATGGGTGCGGAAGTTTAGAAACTCTCCTATTCCAAGCAAGGGTTAGAGCAAGTAGAAATTTGCTGACTTTGGACAACAAAGCAGGGATGAAACAGAATTTGAATAGGGTGCAGAGCACTGATACAGGGGAAATATGTATGCAAGAAAAATGATGTGTATCAAAGAGGGGAAAAATCATAGATTTAATATATTTAATCTTAAGTTAAACTACATCATTTAAAGACATAAATTTATATTTGTGCTATTTAAAACAGAACTAAGTATACTAATTTAATATTTTCTTCATAGGCACTCGTTATCCAGAGATCAACAAGAAAATTGAAAAATTTGTGAACAAGACTAAATGTTTTCCAGACTATCATGATGTCAAAGAGATAATCATCAGTGTCAATAAAAGCAAGTCACTCCGCATAAAGTAAGGCTGGGAATGGTGTAAGGAAAATCTCTCTTGAACTTTGAATATCATTGTAAAAGAAAACATCAGTGCTTCTTGCTTTCGGTCCTGCTAGTACAAAATTATAATTTCAAAGGTTTATTTCCTGTACATTGTACATGTATTATAATATGCAGTTACTAGCTGTCAAAGGTAGTTATTTCTAAATCTGATGGTGCAATTGATAAAAAATTTGTAAACAATTTTGCCCCATTTTATTTGCGACGACTTTAGTTCTGTTTAAGAAATTATGCTTTGTTAATTTTCGCGATCAAGCCTTTTGGCCCGAGTTTTATAGACAGATACATTTTAAGGACCGGTTCGCGGCGAGAAATATTCGCGATTACAGTATCAACTAGGAAAATTTTTCCTGTATATTGTATTATAGTATTAAATGTTTGAAACAAATGATTATCAAGAAAATGTACATTAGTTACTACTGGTAATATAGTATTCCCAGATGAAATAGGACATAAGTCTTTATTTAGGTTCAGGGGTTTAGGATTAAAAGGCAGAAAGAAGATCTAAACAAATCTTACTTCATTACTAAATGTTTCATTTTGATTTAAGCATACCAAGCACAATGAAGTCACATGACTGTAGTGAATAATTTAAATTTTCTAGGACATCAGCCATTGACCGACTTGCCAGGGAGGCCTTTGCTGATGTGGGAGATCAACTCCAGAAGAGAAGAGAGCAAGATTTCCAATATACATTTCTTGGTCACCTCCCTCCAGAAAAGAAAGTAGTCAGGTAGAGCTTTTTTCATTTGGAAATATGAATTTTAAAATACATGTATGTTTTGTTTATCATCAAATTTATACATATACCAAATGTTATGCATTGAACTTACACCATGTTTGAATGTCCACTTAATGTTTATGACACCTTATTTTCATGAGATTGATATTTATAAGTGAGACAAAATTTTTATGAATGTCAGTGATCACTCTATATAAATAGAAATGTAAACATGAAATTTTTATAGCCTTTTAATGTTTATGAAAAATAAATTCATCATGAATAAAAATTTATCTGCAATATATCATTAAATAATATCCTTCTTGAATTTTTTTGTTCCATATAAAGTACAAGATAAATTATGTTTGTATTGTATGTATACACTGTATGAGTACAATTTTCATACAATTAACACACAGAAATGAAGATGACCCAGCCTATGATGATAAAGCTCTACAACTAAAGCTGGAGGAAAACAAGAAGATTTCCAAGAGTCGCCTGAATGAGGTGCTAGAGAAATACGTCCAGAAACAGGAGAGGAGAGACGAGGGGGAGGATGATGAGGACGACACGCAAGAGGAGGAGGAAGATACCCAGGGGGATGAGGAAGAGGAGGACAATGAAGATGTAGACGTCCCAGAAATGGACCAAAGTAAGGACTGTTAGGATACAGTTATTAATGCAGATGTACTGTTTTATATTGAAGATTTTGTGTCACATGCATAGCAAAGCAGATACTTTTATGTTGTCTCATTCTTTTTCCTTTTATTCGAATGCCATGCAACAAAGGCATCATCTCTACTCAAGCTATCAATTCTGTATGTGAAAAAAATATGAAAATGTTTCCTTCTTTCATCATAATTTACTTTTAGTTCTGAGTGAAGAAACTGTTCGCTTGCTATGTAAATGTACATTTGTAAGGGGCATTTACATCCTTATTTTAAGTCAATAATATATTCTGTGCCACTGAATGCATATTTAAAAGACATATCCAATTTACAGGTACACAAACTCTACATTCTAATGCAATTGTTTTGTAAAACACGTTTTGATTGGCTAATGCACTGATGTTTGAAGCAGTAAAACGAGCATAACGAAAGTGAAAGCTTTTCATTGTGACGTCATAATAGAGTGACGTAAAAACAATGCACCTGACATATTTGGGATAACAAAACTCAACCAAATAAGACGTAAACAACAAACAAAATACATAGATTGCATTAGAATGGGAATAACCATCTTCTAATTTGGTATTTGCAACCGTTAATGCTGATTTAACGGTCGCAAACATCCGTTTTACCGGCTTCGCTTACGAGTCGCCGGTAAAACTCAGCTTGTGACCGTTAAATCAGCATTAACGGTCACAAATACCAAATTAGAAGATGGTTATTTCCTTAATGTACCTTTCCCACTGATATTTTTTTTTTTTAGATATTCTCAATTTTAAGCCATAGTACCATTATATGTTCTTACACAAAAAATAGTACACATTCCCAGGAGTTTTGACCAGATAAAAATGTTGAAAATGCTAGACTACCTAAGTATTTTTGAAGAAAAATTAATATAGTTTAAGCTGGACTTTCCCAAAAACTTTGATTTAGAGGAGGTGTTAAACAGGCATCATAAAATTTCAAAAAGGTCCACCATCCTTCATCGTCTCAAGCCACGGTCCGGAGTCCGCATATAGCTCTCTCCTACCTGTGGCTGCTTGAAAAACTTTGATTTAGATTGTGAGGTGTTTTTGTTTCCATCGCAATTGAAATCAACAATTGACGTCAACAGTTTACATAAAATTTCAAAAAGGTCCACCATCCTTCAATCATCAGAATTTTAAATTTAAACAAGGAACAAGAATTTTGAGTTCAAAACTACAATGTGTATGTCCTTAAAGACAATTGAATATGTTGGATTAAAAAAATGACATTACTTTTCTCTAGAAATTTTGTATGTTAAATCATATCTTAAATGAATTTTACACAAAAGAAAGATCTAAAAATGCTTATATTGTTTTTGCAGTCATAAATGGTGAATCTCAAGATGGAACCCTGGACAGTAGCATTATCAGTGAGGAAAGCAGAGAATTAAGTCTACCTTCAATACGTACGCTATTGTTCTGTTGAAAAATTAAATTCCTGTTGTTTATTACATTTTTAAAGACATTTGAAATATTTAGTTTTTTCTTAAAACAAATCATTTATCATTGGAAAATCAGAATTAAAATTTTTAGGATTGAATAATGTACAATCTTCTATTTTCTCAACAACTTAAAATGTTCCTTTTAGGTTCTGAAATGAAGAAGGAGAAACCAGAGACAGGCAAACAGGAGCGATACTCGGAAGCTAACGTTAAAGGTAATATCAGGAGATGGAACTGACTGGCATCTTTATTTCTTTTTCATGCCATATGTCATTCAAACTTGGCAGAGAATATCCATATGTAAATGGAATTCATATCAGATGAAGGGTTGTGCAACCCTTTTGGGATATTTATGATTAGTAAAAAGGTGGAGCAATTTTAATTCTTTAGAAGGAAACTAGCTATGAAAATATGATACCCAATGTCATTGTAGACCAAAATAGAAGTTAAATTTAAGCTAGGCATAAATGTAAAAATGGAGCCTACACTTTTGTTCATTCATAGATATCTTCAATCTGTTTCATGAAGTTGTGGGTTTAGCTTTTTAATCATAAAAGAACTAAATTAACAATCTTCTCATTTTTTTGCCAAAACATTGCCAATTAAATCTTTTTAATTTAACTGCCATAATTTATATTGCAAAAATTAATGGGAGTGTCCAAGTGGTATAGAGTTTTAAAAAAGAAAGTCAAATCATCGGTAAGAATATTGATGGAGAGGAAGGAAAGGTTTCACTGGAGGTTCCTCTTTGTACACTGTATTTTCCTTTCATCAGAGGTTTGGGAACCAGTGACTGTAAAAGATGAAGTGAAAAAGGAGAAAATAGATACAATGAATGCTTTTCCTGTTGTCCTTAAGCCAGTGGATGATGATATTGTTTGTATTGATGATGATGATGACGATGTGATGGTGGCACAAGAAGATTTATTAGACTTCTCTCATAAGCGAACAAAGCAGAATACCAAACATGAGGCTAAACCAGGTTTCTGTTATGTTTTTTTTAACATTAGATTACCAAATATATGATGTACTTCTAGGGAGAAAAAGTATGTGGAGGGTAAAATTTTGATATTTAATGAAAGGAGATGGGTGAACATGACGAGCAATAAGCCCGTAGAGCAACAAACATGAAGGTGAAAAATTAAATCTTTATTATATCAAAATTTTCCTTAATATTTAATCTATCATTAAAGTATACTTTAAAATCTCTACAACTTGCAAAAATCTCATGAAGATTGGAGTTATTTGCCTATGAAATATTATACACACACGAAAGAGGACAAAACAAGTAATTTTTTCATACTATAACATTATTTTTCTATATGAGTGGGTCTTCGCTCCATTTTTTTGAAAGTTTACCTCAAAGTTTGCTTACAAATATGCATATTTTGGTTACCAAAATTATGGAACAAAGACCCAATAACATTAGAAATATAATTTTATGACATAACTTTCGTATCTTTTCAAGAAATACTTGAAGTCCACTAAGTCAATGGTCATATCACAAACATGATTTAAATGTCACTCTTCATCAGGACTTAAGTAGCATATTGGTTAGCGTGCTAGTCTCCATAGAGAATGCTACTCAGGATTTTTATATTGGTTAGCATGCTAGTCTCAATAGAGAATGCTACTCAGGATTTTTATTGCCAGGGTTTGAACCCAATGGATACCATGTTATTTTGTTTTTGTAAAAGAAAAAATTTTAACGTAAAAGAACAAGATATAGTTTCAATACAAATTAAGCCCTATATTTTTCTAAAATATGAAAATTATATAAGAAATCAAAATTCATTCTTTCTGAAATCATAGGAATTTCCTGCAGTAAGAATACACAAATCGTTTGTTAGCTCACCTGATCTGAAAGCTCAAGTGAGCTTTTCTGATCACCCATTGTCCGTCCGTCCATCTGTCTAGCTGTCCGTCTGTCCGTCCGTCTGTAAACTTTTCACATTTTCAACTTCTTCTCATGAACCACTGAGCCAATTTTAACCAAACTTGGTACAAAGCATTCTAGGGTGAAGGGGAATTTAAATTGTTAAAATCAAGGGCCAAATCCGCTTCCAAGGGGAAATAATCAAGAAAATAATAAAATAGGGTGGGGTCATTAAAAAAATCTTCTTCTCAAGAACCACTAGGCCAGAAATGCTGAATCTGATGTGGAAGCATCCTGAGGTAGGGTAGATTTTAAATTGTTCACATCATGACCCCCGGGGTAGGGTGGGGCCACAATAGGGAATCCAAGTTTTACATAGAAATATATAGGAAAAAAATTTTAAAATCTTCTTTTCAAGAACCACTGGACCAGAAAAGCTGAAACTTATTTGGAAGCATCCTGGGGAAGTGTAGATTCTAAATTGTTCAAATCATGACCCTCGGGGGTAGGGCAGGGCCACAGTAGGGAATCAAAGTTTTCCATAGAAATATATAGGAAAATTCTTTGAGAATCTTTTTCTCAAGGCCCACTGGGCCAGTAAAGCTGAAACTTCTGTGGAAGCATCCTGGGGTACTGTAGATTTCAAATTGTCTAAATTATGATCAGTGGGGTAGGGCAGGGTCACAATATGTATTACAAGGGGGAAATCTAATAAAGAACAGAATGATCAAAGCTTCTTAGGTGAGCGATGTGGCCCATGGGCCTTTTGTCTCATATGACCTCCTAAATGCTAATTGTGACATCATTAACTTGTGCATTTTCCCATATTTTCTTTAAAAGTTGCAGAAGACATCAATTTTCAGTGGAATTTTCTTTCAGAAAACATACTCGACCACTGTTGCCCAGAAAAATTTTGAGATATATGATTTTTCATAGCAGTTTACATAATATAATTATCCAAAAATTAAAGTGATCGACGGTGGTAGACACTATTTTCTAAAGGAAAGTTAGAACAGAAATGAGTCATTTTGAGGCTTTTCTGCATTAAACTTAGAAATGTACCAAATTAGTTAAGTCATATTTCCAGAAAGGTCCTCCTTCATCCCATATTCTTTAATGATTTATCATATTCATCTACTCAACTATTGTTAAAGCCAGTTTCATAACTTTTTAAGAACATTAAATTTTTAGGGCACAATAATATTAGTTACACAGTCAGTTAGTGACCTAATACGGATTCATACAGGGTGTGAAATGGAAATCCGTATTGGGCGAGGCGAAGCCATTTCACACCCTGTATGAATCCGTATTAGGTCACTAACTGACTGTGTAACGAATTTATCCCGCTGAAGACCTTTTTCGATTTTAAAAAAATATTTGCGCATATTATGAAAATATTATGTTTTAATCCAATAACAATCAACATAAAATATCATTACAGTAACAAGAAATTTAACTAAAACTACCTACGTAAACCGTTTCTTAGCCGCCATTTTTATTTACAATAACAATGCTTCGAACGGAATTGCGTGCCCGATTTTCATATTACTCCTCGATGGAGACGTAATACGGAAACGGAGACGTAATACGGAAAATTTCAGGGCGTCACGTGATTAGCTTTTATCCAATCAGTAATCGACAAATTTGTCTGAAGCGGGATAAAGCTCTAACCATACCTTCTTTTCCTCAGAAATTTTTGTTTATCATGATTTCATAAAAATCAATAATGAGAACTTTACTCTAAATACTAAATTCACAATTTGAATAAGATTCTTATATATCTGAAGCTAGTGGGCTTTCTGCACGCTAAGTTTATCATGATTTCATAAAAATCAATAATGAGAACTTTACTCTAAATACTAAATTCACAATTTGAATAAGATTCTTATATATCTGAAGCTAGTGGGCTTTCTGCACGCTCCTTTAATTTGATTTCTGATTTTTTTCATTTGGTCCATTTCAGATGAAATTAAAGAGAAAAAATCAGGAGAAGTACCCAACATCATACAATCTCTTCACAAAGAAATAATGAATCAGTTTTATTCTATAAAGTCCAGCATAAACAAGGGCGAAACTCTCTCTTCATCGACAGTTAAACCAGAAGTGTACACAGGGAAGAATTTTGTGGAGAGAAAATTTCCTAGTTATCAGGTGAAGAACAATTCAGGTGTTTCATATACAGCATCATCTAAAGTTTTGTCAAAAACCAATCAAAACAGAGCCTCACTTTCACGGACCAATGATTCAAGAGCCTCATGTTCAGGAAGTAGTGACAAAAGAAAGGGAGGTGAAATTAATGATTTAAAATTTGTTCATAGCAAGAAATTACACTCCCTTTTAGTGAGCAATACTGAGAAAAATCAAAGGGAATTGCAGGATAAGGAGATCAAGTTTATACCACTGAATAAAATGGGGGAAAAATTGTTAGGCGAATCAGTTAACCCAGAAAGGGGGAATCAAAGGCTTGACGTACCACACACAAGTGAGGAGAAAACCAAATCAGACCCTGAAGAAGTTGTCATATACCCTAGTGCTGGACAAAAAATTGTCAATGTAGGTGGAAGGCATCCCCAAATGTTTAAAAAAGGTCACTCTAAACCTTGTAAAAATGTCAAATCTCGAAAAAGTGCTCCATGGAACCATATGGAGGGGACAACACCTGTACTTCTGGATATAAGTGATGAGAGTTCAGCTGAGGATGAACCAGTGTTCAGTTCACATACAGAACCAGTTCAAACCTCATCTAGTTCAGCACAAGGGATTTCTGCATCACTAGGTAGAGTTTTGCAATGGACAAATAGCTCTGAAAAAGGGAATAAGTTAGGACAAAGTAGTAGATTATCTCATGTAGGAGGAGAAAGAAAACATGTTCCCTCAAATGCAGTAGTGAAAGTTCTTAAACAGGAGGAAGACGATGATATTATAATTTTAGATTAGTGTGTTCAGATAGAGATTTCCTTAACTCAGACATATATTGACAGACAATTATCAGAGATCTCGGTGCAAAAAAAAAATGAAACTACCAGTACTTAGTAAACAGCTGAAATAAGAACTGATCTAATGTATTTGATTATGAGATCTTAGATTCCTTATGACAAATATATATATTTTTTTTCTATTTATTTTAAGCAGATATGTTGATATGCTTGATAATACATTTTGATACATTGAACATAAACAGAAAACAATTATGATTGCTTTTACATTGCTTACTTATTATTGTATTTGTTATTTACATGTACAGTGTATATTTATTTCTTAATTGTTCAAGGTGCTTAAAGCAAAATGAAAATTTTATTAATGTTTTTAAATGTCTCTAGAAAATGTAGTTTTGTACTCATATTTTGTAAATTTGAATTTAAGTTTCACACTCAAAACTTTGAGTGATGAATCAAGATGTACAAAAAATTAATTAAGCCACTAAACAAGGTTATTTGCAAATGCATTGTTTACCATAAGCGTAATTTCATAAATTTATGAGTGAATATGTGTAAATTAAGATTTTATGTTCAGTTCGTTTTTAATTCTAACAAAATTTCCAAGACAAAAAGGTTTATTCTGATTTCTTAGCCATAGAATGTCTAATTTCTGAAAGACTGCCTTGAATATGTCTAAGATCACAAACGGTTTTCTCATGCTTTTCTGATTTACTGTTACCATGATTAGGGGTGTGATCTCCACTACTAGTTCTAAGTTTTTTTTTCCACTGCCTTCTCAGATACAATAGATTTTCTGACAATCATAGGTACCACTTCTAAATCTAACTAAACTAATTATTTTGGCTTTTATGTGTTCTCTGTCTTGTGTTTTTTGCTAGCTCCAGTTTTATCAGCCATTGTGAGTGAATTGTGCTTGAATATGATTTCACAACAAAGATAGTCTTAATTTTAAAGAGTCTTCAAAAATCCAAAACTTATGTCGCACTCTTGGATTGAGCTATAAATTCCTTCACACAACATTGTACACACTTAAAATCACAAAGAAACAGTTTTGATGATAGAAGATGGAGCCTAATATTTTTGGTCACTCCCAGACTATCATCTGACAAGAACTCTCCTCATTATTAAAAATTAACTAAGTACATGTACTTGTATATAGAAATACCTCATTGATTTTATGATATCCTTTTAAATACTTTGCAATCATGTATCAGGGTATCATTTTAATATTGTGTGAATACTTATATGTCTTTTTTTTTGCAATGTGCATTTTCAAATGATCTGTGCTTGTCATTGCATTTTATTATGAGTCCTATTGAAAAATTTTAAAACAACTAAAGTTGGAATCATGTACTGAAAAATTGCATTTATATATAAGAGTCGCAAATCAGTGTTTTAAATGGTACTTTACATCATCAGATTATGAATGGATCCTATTTCTTACAGTCAAATGCACTAAATTATAGCTCATTGTATTTTTTTTAATGAATTTTAATTACAGGGAATATTCTCAGGAAAAGCATTTTTTTTAATCTGAACATTTCAACTTCATAACAAGATCATAACAAAGTGTGTCTAGTCTATTTTTATGCCCCCCCCCACCCCCTTTGAAGAAGGGAGGGTGTTTTGCTTTGCTGCTGTTTGTTGATGGGTCGGTCTGTTGGTCCACCAACAGTTTTCATTCATTTTCTTTGCAGAGGTGGCTTGTGCTGAATATGAAATTTGGTAAAGAGATTTATCATAAGAATATCTAGGTCAAGTTCTGTTTTGGTTGTGATCGAGCAATCTCTGACAGAGTTATGCCCCTTGGACTTAAAAAAATGGCAATTATTGGGGTGAGGGCATCAGTGTTTTACAAACATATTTTGTTATATATCATTTGACTTCAAATTTTACTGACAGGAAAGATTGGAGGCTCAAAGTCATATTCATGTTAGTCAGTCAGCTGTATTGTCAGTGAAGCATTTACTGAGGGTTTTCTTGCTTAAAACATGTATGTTAACTAAAAATTTCAATAAATGTGTACATTTTTTTTTGAATTGTCGTGATATATTTAGATTGCATATTACAAAAATGCTCTGTACTTGAAGGTATTTTTTTATGAATAAATATTTATTGCTTATATCAGTAATCTAGAAATAAAACTAATTTTAATAATTATACATCCTTACAAACTATAATGAATTCATTTAACTACTAGGTGCATAATCATTTCCTTGGTTAACAAATTCCCCATGTAAATAAACTGCTGGAGAAAAGTACTTCAAAACAAAGCTAAAAATGATCACAATGTGATTACTCTGTTGGCCAAGGGCAAGTAAGCGGTGTGTATTCTTTGTGCTGTTTGATGGAAAATGGTGGAAAATTGTCAACAATATGACTGAACATCTTAGCATGAGATATCTCATTCATGATTCATTTTTGCATGGCACAGTGGCTAAAACTAAAATCATTTAGGAACAGTAATGTTGCTTCTGAGCTCAATTAAGGAGATGGGAATAAATCCAATGCCATATACTCCTACCTGTTAGTTTAGTACAGCATTGAAAACATTAAACTCTCTCAGTTGTTGATTAAATGGTTTTCGGCAGAGTGGTCAAATATATTATGCAATGTTGAACCAGTTCAGAGGGATATGAGTTGATATCTAGATAAAATAGATACAGAAAATGATGTAAAAAGATAAAAATTACCTCTTAAATTCAGTAACCAAAGTAATTTTTAAACAACAAAACACTTACCCCTAGAATCAGAGATGGGATCAGATGCAAGGAAGATGAAAGCATCCCCTTGCAACCGATCATACCTGCCATGAGTCTAAAGGTAGACACTAATCCGTACTCGATTATGATATAAAAGCAAACAAGAGTATAAAGATTTTCTCATTAGATTCCAAAGAATCCCCTGAACTTCGGATGTCAATCTGATATTTTCCTGTTTCTCCCTGACATTCTCCAATATAAAACCCTGTCATTGTTAAATAAATGAATCTATAGCCAAAACAAAACTGGAAAATTTTCAAGATTAAGCTATTTTTAACCCTTAAAGCAATATGAGCAACATTTTTGCAAATTTTATTTTGCTGTTTAAATGTGTTATTATGATACATAAATTGTATGTAACTTAAACCTTTATGGTCAATTGGACTAAAATAAAGCAGAAGAAAGACTTCTTTACACAATCCAATATACAGTTTTATATAAGAAATCATTATTGTACAGGACGACAGTAATGTAATTTTGATTCAATCGAAGCTTGTAATTGTTCTTCCATCGAAAATACGAACAACAGAAGTTTATCAACGTCGTGGTTTCTGTCATTGAAGTAGTTATTTACAATTTTGCTACAAAAAATTCCGACACCAAAGTTGCAGCTTATATATATTGCTTTAAATACCAACAAGAACATATTTTAACCACCTTATTTGGGTCAGAAATGTCAGGGGAAGATGGGATCATCAGAGACTTAGTTCGGGGACATCAGAACGTCAGGGGACATAACATTACCTTGAATTGATGAAATGCCGTTGATAGATGAAGACTGACCACATTAAGATTTTTCTTTTCTGACCGTGGTTTAGGTACCTATAGTGAAAAAATAAATATACAGTCACTGAAAATGTAATACCAATGGAGAGGTGACAAATGATGGAAAAAATATTAGCGTGAAATATAAAACGTATCAATACAGAGGAAGGGAGTTATATTCTATAGACAGGGGCATCATAAGGTAAGAAATATATGGAGATAACAAGCAGTATTCAAGCTCAAGAGTCAATAAAACAATAGAAAATAGGAGCGGAGCAAACACGGACCTCCAAAACATTAGAGGTGGGTCAGGTGCCATGGAGGAGTGAGCATCCCCTGCCTACCGGTCTTGTGTTCCTCGTCACGATCGGGAAATAAGTTAAAAAATCCGTCGTCAATTCAGTGTGTAAATAATGGCCTAACAATTAGTATGAAAAACGTCAGTCCTCATTTGACTCAATGATAAATTGTATTTTCTGACAAGATCATTGTATCGACCATGGAACTAACGAAATTATGACTTAAAACGAGACTATTGATATTATTGTGTTGTTAACTTGTTTGTCAATAATCAACCTCGTTTTAGAAATTGTACATACGTAGAGCATGCTCAAAAATATGTATCGAATCAACTGAGAGATATAAACCCCGTATGCAGGTGATGGAGGTATATTGCTGCATAAGTAAGGGAAGATGACGATTGAAAAGTTAGTCGTCACGTTTATAATACCGGTGTGAAGCTTGATTGTTAGATTAACGTCTTTTTCAAGTAAAATATTCAAATATGAAACAGATGTGTCAGACTCTGGTATCTTTAATCTCAAGCTCACCGAAATATATCGTATCGACATAAGAATGGAAATAAACATTATTAATTGACAATACGTCGTCGATATATCTAAATTTCGTGTTGAAAACCGCAACAAATGTTTTCTTCTTTTCACGTATAAGATTTTGGACAAGTTCTGCTTCATATGAATACAAAAATAGGTCTACTAATAACGGTACCCATTAGAATTCCAATGGATTGTTGGAAGACCTGGTCTCCAAAAATCACACAGATATTGTCAATCTGAGAAATCAAGCATCTTTTGATGTCAACTTCAGAATACTTGATGAACAATCAGAATGTTTTTAACAAAATAATTTTGCAATCTGACCAATGACAAGGTAATCAAATTCACGAGTTCCATTTTTATTGAAAATGCAGCTGTCAATGGTAATAAAAAGCCTGGACTTTAATTTATCGTGGGGAATGGTTGTGTATTAAGTTGAAAAGTCGTAAGTTTTTAAGCTGTTAATTTTGGTAAAGTCTTGTGATTTCAAATTTTCCAAAAGTTCCTTGGAAATTTTAAGTATCCACATCTGATTTACAGCACTTTTCTAATATACTGTTGCACAGCACTCTTGAAGTTTCTCCTTCACTACTGTTACATGTAATATCTTAGTGAGGAGTAAAGAAAGAGGCTTGGTTGTACATTTACTGAAACCCGCTATGTGTCTCTGTAAGGATTTTTATGAAGTTTTGGAATCCAATATAGATATGGTAATTCAAACTCAATTTGGTTGTTTGGAATATTAAAAACATTCAAAACTGACATATGATTTGAAGAATTTCTTCCTTAGAAATGGAACCATGAGTATAAGTTGGGTTACCACTTAGTCTTGTAGAATTAAATCCAAGTTCTAAAATACAATTTATACAATGAGCCTTACAAACGAAGACAATGTTGTTACCTGCTTTGTCAGTAGGGATCAGTACCTATTGATCGTTATATCTATTTTTCACTTCTGGATTATTGAAAACAGAAGGAAAGAGATGGTTTTCATATTGCCTCTCAGTGTTTTAATGCGCGATTGTATCGCAGATCTGATACATTTAATCCATTCTGACAACGTCTTCTTGTTCACATCTGGCCCATCGCCTGGCATAATTTTCTACAGAATTCACAATATTTACGAAATTCCGAAGGATCGGGGTTCCCTATCCTAATAGGATCTCATTATTAAGGTCCTCATTATTAAAATTTAATATATCTACGTAACTAGTAATAACCTCATTATTAAGGTCCTCATTATTAACTATATTTACGAAACCAGTAATAACGTGTCTAGCAGGACTATAGTTATAGGGTGAAAAAGAACATGAACACAAAGGAGCTAGGATTATGTTTCAGAAATTCGATATCCAGGTCCTATATACTACTTAACATGCACTGTCATATATATATATATATATATATATATATATATATATATATATATATATATATATATATATATATATATATATATATATATATATATATATATATATATATTTAATTTGGACTGCAGCATTCTGTTTATATATATATATATATATATATATATATATATATATATATATATATATATATAGATATATATATGCATGTGAAAACTTTCTATATTAGTGAAAGTGAAGGATAAAATGATAACAGAAACCCGAATTACTAAATTATTTTGGAATCTCTATCGCGAGAAATCTCCTTTTATTGGCCTGGACTTCAACGAAAGGTCTATATAATAAATATAGAATAAATTTTCTAAAATATTCTCTCATAACAGGTAGAAATGTCCTGATTTTGATTAAAGCAACTTTTCTTATCATTGAGTAAGTTTAATTTAAACTGCTGCAGAAATGAAAATTGAGATTGTGCGAGTGGTAATCAGAAATAAAAAAAATATTTGCTATAAAATGTTACGACATTAGGCAGTACACGTGTTGTTTGAAGGCAGGGCTCCAATAGGAGACTCCGTGAACGCCTGGCATATATAATTCTTTGTTAATTTTCTTCAAGACTATATAATTAGAGCATTAATATAAATACACAGCATCATAGTCAAATCCGTGATACCAGGGGTAATTACAGGATATGGCAGGAATCGATAAATATATATAAATAAATGGTTTTGAATTAACAAGTTTATGTGTGTATTGTAATTTTAATATACATGTATATTTTATGTGTGGAAATAGGTCAAGACGTTGGCAAATTGTCTCAATGAAGCTGCAAGATTGTTTCTATTACTTGCACATATTATTCAAATGTATTATTTTTAAGATTTGTTTCAGTATATCAACCGAAATAATTATCTATCAGGATATCATTTATCATTTTGAACTTCAGTCACTCCTATCACTTTTTCTGGGTTAAGCTGCGCCTTATCTTGTCATTAAACATTGATAGAAGACATAAGGTATGGCTTGATTTTTTTCACATTGCAAAACACAGAATGATCGTTGTTTTTTAAACGTGAGACGATTTTCATTTCACAAAGGAAGAAAGCATCATTGCGTTGAGGGAACAACTATGTTGCGTTAATTCCTTTGGTCCAAAATAATTTGATTTGATTTTTTTTCTTTGCATATTTACAGATATGTTAGCATTGTTTGCCCTGATTTCATTTGTTGGTGCAGCAAGGCAAGTCTTAATTTGAAATCTTTCTTATCACTCTTTCTTTCCTCTTATCATAATTTTTTCATGGACACATACTTTATGTGATAATTTTTTTTAAATATTGATTATGCAATTCAGCTGACGCAAATTCAATAAAATTACTTAATTTTTTCAGACATTAATGAGTCTAACCATGTTAAAAACATGCAAGATAATGCTAGTTATGTAATTTTAATGGAGTAACAGCCATATGCGTAACCTCCCCGTGTGCAAAATATGAAAAGAAATAAAGTATTATGCGTTGGAAACATGTATTTATGATAAGATTTATAATCCAAGTTTCTCTGCCAAAATTTTTGAAACTTTAATTCACAAAGATTGCACTTAACGACGTTTAACCCCCCCCCCCCCCAAAAAAGAAGATTTTTAGAGATAATTATAAGTAGATGAGTTTTATTATAAATGCACAAAGTAAGCTATACTTTCACTTAATTTACACTCGTGAATTCAAATTTGAAAATCAATTGCAAGTCTCTCATTAACAAGAACACAAAAAATACAATGATCGGTAAAAATTATATATACATCTGTTTATTTGTTCACTGTAGTTTACGGAACATTGGTAAATTGTAGACAATTTTTCGGAGTCTGGGTTACTTATTTTTATCATGCAACTATGGAAATGTGTATTCTTTCTTTGGAAGCTGATTGTGATATATTGTCTATTATACATCATAGTAGAGCCGTGAATATAAAGAGTATCATGAGAGTTCTGTGGTTTATTCTTTGTAAACTGATGAGAAGCACCTGCATGCAAGACTTTTGAATTGTCTTTAAAAACATCAAACCAATATTAGAACTATAGATTGGAATGGGAAACAACGTCTCGTGTAAAATACCTTTCCATTATTGTTGTGCAATAAAACGTTTGTGACAGAATTATACACATTTAGCCTTTTCTTTGCCATTTTTTCCTTAATACTGAACCTGTTTTGCCAAGTATTGAGAACTTAACAATGCATAATTTTACAACAATTTGCAAACAATATTTTGTATTTTATGAAAATTATATAACTTTCTTTTACAGAAACAAACAAATTACCTGTATATTCAAAAGCAAATGCTGAAAGACCCACTCACATACAGACAGACACTCACATACAGACACACACTTTTATTTACTTAACGAGATCTAGATGAAGAGAATATATTTATATATGACAAAGAGTATTAGAAAATCTAAACCTATGTTCATATATTTAAGTATTTGTTCGAAAAATTGACCATAAGGAACATTATACAATGTATGTAGTTTGTTGGATTGTTTCTATACATATTACATTATACACCAAGATGTGTACACAGCTAAATACAAGTCTTCTTTTTCGATAAATCTATGCTTATTTTGTTTTGATAAATAGCATCAGTTAGCATTAAGATGTGTACACAGCAAAATACGACTCTTTTTTTCATTTTTGTAAATAGTATCAGTCAGCACAAAGATGTGTACACTACAGCTGAATACGGGTTTTCTTTTTCAACAACTCTATTCTTATTTTGTTTTGGTAAATAGCATCAGTCAGCATATAGATGTGTACACAGCTAAATATGAGTGTTATTTTTCGATAACTCTATGCTTATTTTGTTTTGGTAAATAGCATCAATCAGCAAGCACATGGACAGGATCCCATTCCTTTTAATCTGGACACCAAGATCGGCCAGATTTTCCACGATATGGACGCAGACAAAGACTTCTTCATTTCTACGACTGAAATCTCTGCCTTCTTTGGTCCATATGACCTGAGTAATCCCGGTAAAAAGAATGTGTAGAAATTATGCAAAATAATGGATAACCTTGATTTATAAAAGACTTTGAATGATCAGGGATATATTTACCTTAATTACCCTAGAAATCAAATTCTATCAAAGTAAATTCTATTATGAAACATATGGATATAACAGTATTCAAAATCAAAAGTCCATAAAACAATACAAAATAGGAACAGAGCAAACAACAACACCTTCAAAACATAAAAAGTGGGATCAGGTGCCATAGAGTAGTGAGCACCCCCTGTCGACCGGTCACACCCGCCGTGTGCCTCTAGTCATGATCGGGAAATAACGGAAAAATCCATCGTCAATTCAGTGTATAAATAATGCACTAACAATTAGAATGAAAAATGTCAGTAAGCATTTGACTAAATGAAAAATTGTATTTGCTGACAAGTTCATTGTATTGACCATAGGACTTACGAAATGATGACTTTAAACGAGACTACTGATATTCTTGTTTCATCAATTTGTTTGCCAATAATTTACACTTACCTCGTTCTAGAAATTGTTCATATGTAGAGCATGTTCTTGTGTATCAAATCAGCTGAGATGCATAAACTCCGTATACAGGTGATGAAGGCATATTGTTGCATAAGTAAGGGAAGTCGACGATAGAAAAGTTAAAGTCATCACGTTTATCATAGAGCTTAATTGTTAGATTACCAATAACGTCTGTCTTTTTCAAGTAAAATATCCAAATATGAAACAGATGTGTCAGACTCTGTGGTATCTTTTATTTCAAGCTCACCAGAATTTATCGTATCGACATAGGAATGGAAATCACCATTGTTAATTGACAATACGTCGTCGATACATCTAAATGTCGAGTTTAAGGCCACAGCAAGTGTTCTCTTCCTTTCACGCATAAGATTTTGCACAAATTCTGTTTTATATGAATACAAAAATAGGTCTGCTAATAACGGGACGCAATTGGTACCAGTTGGAATTCCAATAGACTGTTGGAAGACCTGGTCTCAAAAAAAAACACACATTGTAGATACTGTCAATAAGAAATTCATTGAAATTGTTTCGATGTCAACTTCAGAGTACTTGTGTGTACAGCTATACAATCAGAAAAAGTCTATCATATAACCGAAACATACATTTCTCTTTTTTGGATTAATCAATCAAAACAATAAAATCTTTTGTTTGGGATATTGTTGAGCCTTCTTTTCCAGGAAACTTGCCTGTTAGTATAGACCTCAATGAATTCAAACAGAGCTGGGACTATGGGGACACCGAGGCGCAGAAGGAACACATCTTCAACCAGATGGACTCCAATAAAAATGGCGCCCTCACTGAAATCGACCTCTACACTATTTTTGGAACAGCCGACCAAAACGGAAGTACGGGTTTTTAATTAGCTATGATAAAGGCGGTGGTTGACTTAAGGACAGATGATACAAACAAACTTTTGTCAAAAATTTTGAATATAACAACTTGGGTCATGTTTTAATGACTATAATGAATAGGTTTCACCGCGTAGTTTTTAAATTTTTATTCAAAGTTGCACAAAAATGGAATTTGAAGTGAAAAATATTTGTATAGAATAAAAAGGATGGTTTCAGAAGGGTAGAATTTGAACGCCACAGAAGGTTTACAATTTCTTTATATTCTAGAAATTTATTATTTGCATCATTTGAAATAAAATTAGGTCAAAAAATATATACCAATCCAAGCATCCATTTTTTGTTTGCATCATCTGTCCTTAAGAATTGAATGTTGGAATTTGTGGTTGCTTCATATACTTTGTAAAATGTTAATATTGTAGTCACAACAACTAGCTAGTTTATTCATAATTAATGGTATTCCGGAATATACATTCAGTTACAGGTGATGAATTACAAAGGTTACAAATTCAACTGTTTTCTGATATTAATTAGCTATTGGATAAGAATAATAAAATGTGTTAGCGTGGCCTATTTCTTGCAGGAAAAAAGTTTGAGGAAAATATTTCTCTCTATTAAACTCCTTGCTTTTATCATTCTACCTATTTCATTTACGGGCTACCCATTTACTAATATGCATCGTAAGTAAACAAACTGTATTGTTGTTTATGTACAATTTTTGAAGATCGATGTTTTTTGTTTACTAACCTGCGTTTAATGCACATTAAAATTACTTTTGTGATGGTTGTGATTTTGGAATATGCAGGATTTACCTTGTATTATAAAGTTCTACATTCATGTCTCAAAATTTTCTGGAAAGTTTCGTTATATCGGATAATATTTCAAAACAAACCCTGGGTTCCAGTACTTGTATTTTTATCACTTATGTATTGTGTAAGCAGGTTGATAACTACCACCAGCCTCATATCTTTGTCCTTTGATCCTTTTATATAATATATCGCTGATTGTTTTCTCTACCTCCCCTTAATAATGTCGTAATGAACAAACTGTTTTCTTTGGCTTGTTTTTTCTCATATATGTCAGAGCACTAAACATGCTGATAATACAGGATTTCAAGTCTACCGTTTTGTGATTCAATGATTTTTTTAAATCTAATTAATAGCATTCTAACATTGAAAAAAATTCACTCCTTGTATCTAGTTAAAAGAGATCATGGGAAAATATTCTCTCAATAATTTGATTATTCACTGCTAAATTAAAACAGTGTCCAGTTTCTGTATAATTGTCTACGATTTTTTTCTATCATTTTTAGATGGTGTCATTGATTTTGGAGAATTCGACATCTATATGAGAACAGTGAGTTATAATTTAACTTGGAGAACATGATAGGCACTATTTCCGTTTTTTATTTAACGTTGAAAGTGAAGTATTATTGAGCACTTCGAGTTGTTAAAGTACTATTATCATAATACAATGGTTCGTAGCTAATATTAGTGTCGGCTTTGGAGTTTTCATGTATTATCTGTAGAAGATAACTATCATGTAATAAAATGTTATAACCAAATCTAAAGATCCTTTTACTGTTTTATAAATCATTGAATATGGATAAAAAGTTTTATAATATTTTCTGTGTGATAATTAAATAAGCTTAAGGTATGTAACGAGGAAATCCACCAGCTAAGTTTCAGAGATGGACGATAATTTAAAAAAAAAAACAAAAAACAAAAAAAAACAATAATATCACTGCTGGACTGAAATAGTCCTACAAAATGTATTATTGTTTTTTCCCTGTATGCTATATTAATTTTTTATTTTTAAAAAGCGATTTTTTCATTTTCCATAAGTAATATAATATGTTTTGTCACAAAAAACTTAGATACACTAAATTTCATTGAAATAATTATAGGAAACAGTATTTAGGTCATGTTAAAATCATCTAAGTATTTTCTTCTTTCCAGAACATCTATAACAACGTTCTGTAATGGATTCGGCTGTAAACATCAAGGGTCTCATTTAATAATAAAAAATTATGACAAAGGATCTTAGATTTCTTTTTTATATAATCTTATTATTTTTATTTATTTATATTGTACAAAGAATAAACTGTGCAAAAAAAGCTAGATGGTCTGTGAATGAAATTTATGGAGATACCTTATAATCAAAATGAAAGTTTGAAATCCATCTTCTACGTACATGTCCATGTTTTATCTATTTTGAAAATTATATTCCACCTAATTACATTAATGCAAGTACTTTTAACCCCTTACTCCCAAATCTTTCAGTTATAAAAAATTCACATGCATCTTATAAACATTTTCTAAAGCTTTTTTGTCACAAGACTCTCAGGTAATTTGACTCTCAGGTAATTTGGCATCTATTTGGAAAACGATTCTGAAAAATGCTATCAATCCTCGGAAAAGAAAATGACAGATTAAAAAAACAATTACTTAATGAAACACTGTGGGGACGTAAAAAAATCATTTACCTACATGGCTTACAAAAATTAGTTTTTCACGACTAACAGAGCCTGAGCCTAATTGAAGGTTACATGAACAGTTAAATTACATTGATACAAATCAATATATTACTAGCAACAATACTGTCCCGGAACAAATAGATCCAATCATTTATAAGTTGCATTTTCCCGTGTACTTTAACACAAGAAAGAAGCATGCTCCAATTTTTTTTTCAAATTAATTTGCCTTTTCTCACTATATGAAAGCACGAAAAGTGTTAAGATCAATATGTTACACTTATAATTATCTATATTTACATATTTTATCAAATCACAAGTAACAGCATGTATAAATAACATTTCAAAGTTTTATTACAAAAGCCATATATCACATAACTGTCGTATTGTATTTTCTCTTGACTACAACAAACAACATATTGGACATAGATTATATTACACATTACAATAATACTTTTATGATCATTTCAGAATATATGCATTACTTCTACGGAGAAAATAAATATGTGCAATTGTGTATCATATCATATAACAAATGAACCATTTAACAAACATATTTTCTAGCAATTTCTATACTCAGTATGTACTGCTCCCTGCTAATAAAGCAGGTAACAACATTGTCTTCGTTTGTAAGGCTCATTATATAAATTATATTTTAGAAGAGCCTGGATCTAATTCTACAAGTGGTAATCCAACTTTTACTCATAGTTCCCTTTCCAAGAAAGAAATTCAAAATCCGGTGTAATTTTTGAATATTTTAGTATCCCAAAGAACCATAATGAATTTGAACTACCATATCTATATTGGATTTCGAAACTTCATAAAAATCCTTACAAACAAAGATACATAGCGGAATCCAGTAAATGTTCAACTAAGCCTCTTTCTTTACTCCTCACTAGGATATTAACAATAGAGAAGGAGAAGCTTCAAGAGTATATTGCAGCAATATATTCAAGAAGTGGTGTAAATCATGTGGGTATTTAAAAATTATAAGAAACTTTTGAACAATTTGAAATCACCAAAATCAACGGCTTGAAGAATAACTCTAATTTGCCAAGAATCTTAAGGAAACATACGTTGAAATGTAAATATAGAGAGATAACTCTATTATTTTGGTAAAACTTGGGATTTTCACTATAGAAATCAACGGAAAACGGAACATATTTTTAAAACATCCCCCACGTGAAACAAAAGTTCCTCTTTACAGGTAATATGGACTGTCATTTCAAAAATTCATACCAAACTTTTTGTGTTTCACGCTGTATGATAAACGTGATTACTTTAACCTTTAAATTGTCAACTTCCCTTACTTATGCAGCAATATACCTTCATCACCTGCTCAGGGAGTTGATATCTCTCAGTTGATTCGATACGTAAAAGCATGTTCCATGTATAAACAATTTCTTGAACAAGGTAAATTATTGACAAATAAGTTGATGAAACAAGAATATCAGCAGTTTCGTTTAAAGTCATCATTTCGTAAGTTCTTTGGTCGATACAATGACCTTGTCAGCAAATACAATTTTTTCATTAAGTCAAATGCTGACTGACGTTTTTTCATACCAATTGTCAGTGTATTATTTATATACTGAATTGACGACGGATAGTTTGTTACATCTGTATGCCCTACTGACTTTAAACGATGAATGGCCAGATGACTTCAGCTTTTCAATCATCAGTATTCCTTGTTTATGTAGTAATATTCCGTTTTTAACCTACATATATGCGGTCTAAATCTCCCAATTCAGTTGTCCCAATGGTAGGCTACTGACAGATAAGTAAATGCTACAGGGAATTCAACAATCATTAAAAGTTAGCATTACGTTAACTTTACTGTGTTATAATGACGATTTTAGCAAATTTTACATATCAATGGGTCGGGGTTTTTTAATGACATACTTCATAAAAATTGTTGGGTCTTTGCTTTATACTAATTTTGTATACGAAATATTCTTTTCACCTGATCAAAACATAGGAATCACGGTGGAAGGGGTGGTCTATAGGGGATGCTAACTCTTCTAGGCATCTGAACGCACCCCTGATATTTTCATTGATTTGTGCCCCGTTCACAGTTCAGGATGGAAGAAAACATTATATAACAATTTAAAGAAATGTTGTAACTGGTAAATTTAAGACAACACATTAAGTTATTATTTTGGTACAAACATTTTTCAAATATTGAAAAATATCCCATGTTTCGGTTTTATGTTTCTAGATAATTAATTGTCTTTGCAATTCAATGACAGATTTTTTTTAGATCAATGACAATTTACAAATCTCCCGTGTTTTTTTTTTTTTGTTTTTTTATCTAAAAACAAGAATCTATAGACAACAGATTTCTTCATAAAGCCATTCAATTTAAAAAAGTATCTCTTATAAACTTTTATTTTACAAATGGCTTTGGTGCAGGGATATTTCGAAGTTCAGGAATTATGGATTTTATAACGGACTCTTGGGACTCTCCACGGGGTAAATCCAAATAAATTTACCTTTCATTGTTGTTATCTACACTAAAAGTATTCCCAGATCTTTTGTGAACACAAGGACGATAAAATGCAATATTTAGAACATTATTCTCACCCTCCCCATTGAATATATTACGTAGCCATGAATATATTTTGAGAGAAATGACATTAAAAAACCTTTAGAATTTTTTTTTATTACCATCATGGAAAAGTTCTTATCCTAAAGCATATCTTTAAAAACGTCTCCGTAATCACTCAAACAAATTACTTTGAATATGGCCTTCTTTATTTAAACCACAATAAACAGACAACTTAATTACGGAAGTGTGTAGAAAGTTGATGCTTTCACCCTACTAGACGTACTTTTTTCTTCTTTACTCTCTTATAACCAAAAAATTCTCTATAGCAGTATCTCTAAAAACAAGTTTCATCCTTGAAAATGTCTTTCTTTTATTTCTACATTTATTAACACATAATTAACCACTTTTAGAGAAAATCTTAAATATTTGAAAATATTTAATTAGCAGATACAGATTTTTTTGTTCACATTTCATCAGTAAAAGAATATTTAACGATAAAAAATTGCATTCTTTGTACGTTTAACTACCTTTTTCACTAGATTCTGCCTCTCTTTATTTCAAATGCTTAGATACAGACTGGCGGTTTTTTTTTCATACCTAAGGGTTTTTTATATGTGTTTTTATCATACGGAAATCCCTGTATCCCCCTCCTAATTTATCAGATAGCGAGAGTGAAGGTTTGAGAATTTACTTTTAAATCTAAAGGGCGTAGGGACACTTGTATGTAATGATCTAAATTATTCGAGTCTTATCAGATGGTGCTTTATTGCTTTAGTTTAGGAAATCCAATGCCAACTTTATTTTTCTGGCGTGAGATAAGAAGAGCTAAACACGTATTGGTTCTGTACCATTTAATAACGTGATGTAACTTTCATACGTTCCTTTTTTATATATAAAAAGGTTAAATTGCTTAGATTCATATTTCTATTTACAAGTGATCAATTCTTGAACTTTCGAAATATCTTGAAAGTCCATATGAGAGAAGGAATCACTTATGGAATGTTAACCAATATTTGTTAGAATGATTCACCAATTATGAGATTGGAATTCAGATATTCAACAGAGACGTTCAGAAGCAGAAAATCTAGATATGAAAGGGAATTGCTCCGGGCGTAGCGATGTTGGATCAACTTTCAAAAATAAGTTATCTAACTGATTTTAGATATATATATATATGAAAAAGAAAACGTGTGTCTTACTTTTTAAATATTGAAGGGCATGCACAAATACAAATAAAGAGAGTACATCTTAAATGTTGTGAAATTTTTCCCCATTCAGTTGGTAGTAAATTAAAACCTTTTTAAGCCCGTAGAGAAAAAATAATAATAAGTGTAAGATAAATTGCATTGCAAATTTCTAGCTAAAGACAATGCTTAGAAAAATAAAATAACTTAAAATATTCAAAACTAACATTACAATAAATGCTTTCCTCTCAAGATCAATGGTAAATATTGCCCAATCAACAGTGCGTACCGGAGAGAGAACAGAATAACGGGAACGTTTGGAACGGATTGATGAAGTCGTAGTACGTACGGAATCTCTTTTGTTGTGCCTTCCGCTTCCCCTGTTAGATCGCCTAGAGAGTCTTTGAGGGCCATCGCATATACTCGGTTCTATTAGTTCAATAGACTTCTCCTGTTTTCTTGGAGTTCGAGTCCCATGAATTGTTGAATAGAGTAAATGTAAAAATGTAGACACTGGCATATCCGAGCTCTGGTTGTACAAACAGGACAAGAAAGTATTAATTATTACCGAAAATGCACTGAACAGTAATTGTGATGACATAAATATTCCAAAAGTGAAGATGTGTCTCGAAGTTGTCGGAATTTCATCATTTATTGCAAACAAGATAAAAGCAAAGGCTAAAAATACTTCAATGGATGTTGACACTTTTTCTCCACAGTCAAAAGGAATACAGTAGCAAGCTAGATTTAGGCAAGACAGAATTACCAGGGGTATTATCACAATATTTAAGTGAAATGAAAACATCCGTTTTAAGTCGTACTTAACTTTAACATAGGTAAAGTTCTTTTGAGCATATGTATATTGAACTCTTTTAAAGTTTTTCCCAATTAGTTTCCATTCACCACTTTTCCCAAAGTGATATGGGGTTTCGGAACCCTGTTTGATTCGAAATTGTATTTGCTGGTCGGTAGAATAGAGAGTCCCCACTCGTATCTCACACGTCTGTCTATCAAACGGATACTTCGTTACGTCTATTTCACATTCAGCTCTCAGCTCCTTAGTTAACCGCCATTTTATTTTACCCTCTGAACTTACTTGTACTATTGACTCTGTATCCAAGCATTTACTGTCAGAGAAATCATTTTCTATGCATATGTCAGGACTCCAAATCAACTTCAATGGGACAAGAATTGTGTCGTCGACATTGTTAAAATGTTTAGAGTTCCACGATACAAATTCATCAATCCATGTCAATTCTATTCCAACAGAGGAGGATAATGTCTGATGTTTTTCGTCAACGTCATAAATACTTTGAAGTACTAAACTGATTTCGACCGTAATTGGCGTGGATGAATTTTTGACTGGCCTAATGCAGGTGTTATAGTCTTTAAACACCGTGCTTTGAACAGGGGACTCGTGTGAATCTCCTTTTACTGACCAGATAATAATTCCAGACATCACACAGTACACAGCGATAAATACTAGTACATCCATTCTCAAAATCACCCGCCTCAGTGTATGACTGTACTCACGTCAGATTAACAAATATATTAATACATCACAGACGTGGGGAAGAAGATATAACATAAGAATCGTATGTCACATATTCAAATTAAATATGGTTTTTGGATTTTCTCTTTTGGTAAGTAATCTTCATTTTTGTTGATTATGTTATGAATCAGTCAACTTTTAATGGAAAGTGTTTTTAGTATTTTTCCTAAATGCATGCATTGATATTTTTTATTATAATTTTCTGTATGTTATTTTCATCCAATGTCATTTCTAGTGATGTCAGATACAAAGATCGATTTTATTTCACTTGAAATGTCCATTATGAATTTCCTCGGTGATTTCATATTTTAATATTTTTATTAAGAGAAAAAATTCCCTGGTGGAATCAAACTCTTTCTGTTTGATCTAATCATTCAAAAACATTAATAATCGATCTTTTGAAATCTAGAATTTAAATGATTCAAACTCTATTTGCAGGGAATTTTATACGTAGTTTCCAACTAGTTATTTTTAAGATGATTTTCTAAGAATGACTGAAATATGCGCATATCAAAGATAAGGAGACAAGAGTTATACAACATAAGGATATGTAAGAAACTGCAACTGAGCTTCAGTGATCATTTTATGAATTGTGAGCAAAATGATAAGTTTGTGGATTTTGTTGTATTGTTTATTGCAGTGCGAGATTAAAACTACATCGGGATTTAAACACCAAGAGCATCCAGAATATATGCTCTTTGAAAAACTCTTCAATGATACTGTGAACAAGTACAATCCGAATGTTCGACCAACACTGGATTACCACAAGCCAGTCACAGTTAATGTTTCAGTCAATCTAGTAACGCTGCATTCGTTGTCAGAGCGGTCTCAGACGCTTCGGACCACTGTATGGATTGATCTGGAGTGGACCGATCTACACATGACTTGGAACCGCAGTCTTTTTGGTCATATCGACTCAGTAGTTGTTCCACAAGAAAAAATCTGGATACCAGATGTATGCATTGCAAATGAAGTAACTAACAACAAGTGTTTGTTAAAATCAGAGAATGGAAAATCACTGATTGACTATACAGGCAAGGCCACACTTTGGTGGAACAGGGAGGTGCAGACGAGATGTGACGTAGACATCAGCCGATACCCTTTTGATACCCAAGTGTGCTCCATTCGTATCGGAACTTGGTATTCAGAAGATGAGAAAGTTAAGCTTACACCAAAATCCGATAACATTGACTTTAATAACTATGTCCTCAGTGAAGAATGGGACATTGTTAGCTCAAGCATTAAAACAGTTCCCATAGAAAACGACAAAAATTTTACTGAGCTGGAGTTCGTCATTGTAATGGACAGGAAACCTTTATTCTATTTGTATAGTACTGTGCTGCCTATTCTTCTATTATCAGTGTTAAATATGGTGTGTTTTCTTGTTCCCATTGAGTCCGGGGAGAAAATAGGCATGACAATGGCGATATTTTTAACATTCGCCGTCTTTATGACTTTAATTAGTTCAATGGTTCCCAGATCTTCAGAACATGTGTTTAAATTTGGAATTTTCATGACCATGCATCTTTTGATGAGTGGCATGACAATACTCTTAGAGGTCTTTGTAAGCCATATCTACTATAAACCAAAAGGAACAGACATGAACAGGATGTATACTTGGATATTAAATCATTTTGTTTCAAATGACAAAAATGACAACGAAAAACGAAGTTCACTGCACGCAAACGAAAATGACGTAATGGTGGGTTTCGGTTTTGAGACAGATCCTTGGCAAAAATTAGCTATAGGACTGGACAAAGTGTTTGGTTATATTGTTACCATCATCAACGTCTTGTTGATCCTTTTGTTCTTTGTAACTGTAAATATAGAATGATTTGTGAATGAATACTCATAATGAAATTCTTATCTAATCTGTCCTTATGTTTCTGTAAAAAGTTTAGCGTTCCAATCATTAAGTTTTTTGAAGTTTTGAATGAGTAGAAATTAGATATTTGACAAAGGAAAGAAAAAGGTTTACTAAAGACCTTCATTGGCTCTGTGAATTTCTGACAAATAAAAAATGCTGAGTTTTAGCTGAAAATAAGTTATTCTATTTCATAAGTTGGCAGATTCATAAAATACTTTCATCATCTCATGTTGTGCATGTAAAAACATTAAAATATTAGGCAAAGAAAACAAAGAACAATGAAAAGACCCAAAATAAATCCAATTTTTGTTCTACTAAATTAATGTTTGATATGCATGGTGCTATTGAAAAAATTATTGTTTTAAAACCCAAAATGCAAATTCTACCAAAAAAATAAATAAATGAGAAATCAAAATTAAAACACATGTAATAAAAAAAGACAAAATTCTACATGCAAATCTAGAGAAAAAAAAACAGAAAGTGAAAGTTGATGACCTTCTTTTAAAAAATTGTTTGCTTGTCCTTTCCCGACTGAGGTTTAAAAAAATTGGCAAGTAGAAGAGACGTTTTTTTTTAGTTAAAACATCTTTAGATGTGGAGTTTAAATAGTTATTAGACCCATAATAAAAAAATGTTTCCTAGAAGTAAAAGAAATTGAGTCGAACGCTTGTAAATAACTGATTTGTTGATGGATTTTCACACTGACAAAGTTCATATTTCTGATGGAAAATAACTAAACATAAAGTACTATTCTGTTCCTCTCAAATAGTTGACACTATGTAATTCACCAAAGGCATTAACGTTATAGTCTAAAGTGTTTGATTTATCTATGAATATGCATCATCTCTGGAGAAATCAGCATTCATTGGTTGTGGTATTTATCGACATTTATGTCAAAATGCTTAAAGCAACTTATTTTCCGATGCTTTCAATTAACAATCTCATACTGTAAGCGAAAGATACTTTACTGACAAGTATACAGGACTTATCAAAACTTTTTTAGAATTTTTATCATTTTTACATTAAAACTAAGCTATCGATAAACCAGCAAACGTTATCAACTTTAAGCTAAAGTTTTCAATTTAAAGTTAAAGGTGCATAGACACAGATTTAAAGTTAATATTTTCTGTATAATATCACGACTTATATATTGCAATAGCATTTCACACGAACACGTATTAAAAATCTTATTTCATCTCAAAGTTATTGAAACTTTAAATTTTTGGACGAGTTTGATTGACACATCCTTGTGCTTTCACACATTTTAATTTTATTCTTAATACTTATGAAAAGTGGTGTATTAATAAAAAATATTAAAACTTAAATCCAGAAGAATAATTATATTTAGAGTAGAAATGTTAGAAAGCAAAAAAAAATATATCGTCATTCTGCGCTTAGTGTTGTGTACAAAGTTTAGCAAATTGAACACACCCGTGAAATGTACACAATTTTTGTAAACAGGGCACGAGCTCTGTTATTGTTGATGTTTGCGATTCACCGGGAGCGTTCAATTGTAATGTCTGCTCATCACAACTACACGGACTGTCAATAAACTGTTTATGTTTTGCTTTCGAACATTTCTACTTTGGATTTTCTGGATTATAGTTTTAAATATTTTTCATTAGTTTGCCACAAGTACGCCACTTTTCATAAGAATTAAGAATAAAATATTAACTTTTAGAAGAATTTTTTCAATAACTTTTAGAAGAAATAAAATTTTTCAAAACATTTTCAAGTGAAATGCTATCGCAATATATAAATTGTAAGTCGATATATACAGAACATTTGAGAAAATATTAACTTAAACTCTGTGTCTATCCACCTTTAAATCTGGGAATAGGATGTAATGTAAGAATACAGGAAATTTCAATGGTTTTTGTATTAAAATCAAATTCAATTTAAGGTGATTAATAAAATGTGGTGTATCTTTTTTGTATCTTTTTTAACATCATAATTAGGATGTAAAATTGCGCCAAATAATTCTTTTACATATAAAATTCTTTAAGAAAAAAATGTACATATTGAAGATAAGTGTATTCTGTATTTTTACTGAACAATTCAAGATGTCATTGATAGCGAGCGCAGCGAGCGTCGCGAAGCGACGCTCGTCAATGTGAGCTCTTAAAGCAACGCCTTGGCGAAGAGAAAATTCGGACTACAGCACATTCATTCGATAGAATTTTTTGTCGCAGTAATTTTGACCCACAATGCATCACTTGTTTTAGCTACGTTCTCGCGAGAATAACGGCAAATGTTCAACAAAAAGTTTACTCGCCTTGATTTAATGGATATATATTGAAGATAAATAGTAAACGAAACGTTCTTCATTAACTTTCAGTACTATTCAGGTTTTTCTTGGTATTGCAACTTACATACGACGTCATGTGACGTCAGAGTCTAGACGGTTTGACGACCCGATCTAAATTAAAGCAATAGAAGAGTTTGCGCTCGCTCTCACTGTCGCACCGTCAATATATTATTAATTCTAATTTTTCAATTACCCATGTTATTCGAAATCTCAAGTGCTTTTAGGAATAAAGTAATTGTTCAGAAAATTTGGTGACTTATTACAAAAGTCTAAGATTATTTAAACGTACTCCGATCCTCAGCCAGGAAGGATGACTCTTTGATATAATTATAATTAATTCAAGAAGTCTCAAAATGAAGCTTGAAAATTAAATCTTTTCATGCAACAATTTTTATTTTATTCCTCTCAATGTGTTTCAAGGTTGTTAAGTTCCCAGAAACGTCTTATAAAAAGTCGAAATTTTTACCCCATAAAAGTATTTTAAAATAACATATGAAAGAAATTGAGGTTTATTCTAATCTAGCCATAGATACAAGGATTTTTTTTTACATGATAAGAGATTAAAAGTGATTAATGGTGTTTTGCAATGAAAGGAAAGTCTTAATACACAATGCGTTGTAAAATGGTCGAAGTAAATGGAGGAAATTAAAGTACCTTATACATGTACGTATAAAAAATGTGCAATTTCTTCAAAAGCCTGGATACCTATGAATTTGATTTTTAAAATGAGTTTGTTGATCAAATTTGAATTGGAAAATGCATGGTAGGTGTTTTTATTCGCATTTCTTGAAAATTTATTTGAGATTTACTAATTTTCCCTATATACATGTAATATGATTAACTTTAAAGATGAAGTTTGAAGAATTATTGTGGATAAAAACACGTTAATCTAAAAATTCAGAGGCATTTTTGTGAGCTTTTTCAATTAGTCAATGTCTGATTTTCAGAACCTGAGGATCGGAGTACCTTAAACTGTTTCTTGTTTATTTCGTTTAAAATGACAAATTGTTGATTCAGTCGAGATATTTGATAGTTTGCATAATCAACTTAACAGTCAGTAGCCTGTTTTGATTTAAAAGTTGATTGTACTTAGAATGCGGTCTTGTTTATTGATCTTATGAGAACATAAAATCTTGTATGCAGGTGATATATTGCGACAGAAATGATGGAAGCAGCTAACGATTGAACACTTGACGTTTTTATGTTTGTTATACAGTTTACTTGTTAATTTACCAGCAAAGTCTTTCTCTAAAAACATCAAAATTTAAAACAGATTGTCAGATGCTTTGTTGTCTTCTATTTAAAGTTTGGGATATAACAACCAACATTTAAATGAATGTGAATATCATCATTTTATCTAATTGTCAAATTAAACACCACAGCAAGATACTACTTTTTACGTCGAAGCTACTTCAGATTTTATATATACATGTATAATAAAATTAAAAAAAAACAACTTTAAAACACATTTTCTTTAATATCAATATCTAAGTTGGTAGTTATTCCAAAGAAATAAATTCTTACTGAATGCTTTGCACAAATATCTATACATATTCATTAGACTGCTTGAATATTAATCAACGTATATATTTCATTTCAACATAACTTTATCATTTGTGCAGTATTTTGAAGTCTACATCATTTTTGTTTGTATGTTTTAGAACAATTTTGAAGAATAAGAGATGAATCAGAAGTATTCACATAAATAGTGTAAAAGGCTAGCTGTTGCAGAGTAATAATAAAACTCTTGAAAATTTTATCTGCTTAATTCTTACAAGAATCCCGGCAAGAAACAAGTAAACAAAATGTAATTTACGAATTTTCTGCAGAAAGGTTTTTTAAGAATCAATTTACAAACATTTCTAACAAGTGAAATTAAACAGAAAGATTTTGACATCAATGATAAAATCATCAATAATAATGGGACTCGTGAATTTTCATATATGAGTACAATAATATATTTTAACATTTTAAATGTATATGTATATTAAGAAGTGCCAACGATAGTATTGTTCTCCCGCCTACCTCCAAGTCAATTTTCAAAAGTTAACATATTCGAAGAATTTTTAATATTTGTTTATAGATAAATATATGGATTTTCATAAAACATTACTTATTCGAGAAAACAAAGAGGGATAACTTTGAAATTTGGGTAAAACTTGTGTTTTTCACTATAGAAATCAACGGAAAACGGAAAATGTTTTTAAAACATCCCCCCGTGTCACAAAAATTCCTTTTTACAGGTAATAAGGAATTTTATTTCACAAATTCATACCAAAGCTTTTTGTGTGACACGGGGGGGGGGGGGGGGGGGGAAACATTATATTTTATTGATATATTTATATTTTACTTATTTGCCTAAAACATAAGAAAAGATATAAGGAATATTTAATCATATCCAAGCCTCTTTCAAAATATGGTGATGCTTGAAAACTCCGATTTCAATGGAAAATGTCGTCTACCATCCTTTTTTCAAGAGCTGGAATTATGGATAATATACTGTTTAGCGCTGGTATTAAGACAATTCATCAATTACCATTGAACTGTTCTTTGTATTAAACAAAACTTTTATGGCCAAATTGCTATTTATATTAAATTAAATGGTTCCAAAATGTAGGCGGGAATCGAGAGTTAGATTGCGTACTTCTTTATTTCATCCTTAAATAATTGTTAACGGCATGTATAAATAAGATTTCAAAGTTTGATTACATAATCTGTACATGACGTAATAGTTGTTTATAACGTATCATAAGATAATCCTGAAGACAATTTTCAATTTAACAGACAGAAATAGAACGAAAATCTGCTTAATGTGGATCATGCAAAAGTATTTGTGGAATATGAATACATTGATTAAAAAAACATAAAAGGAAACTTTATTTGGAATTTTGGTACACTTACTGTGACTTTCACCTCGACATTCAAATACTGTAAAATCACATATTTTCTTGTGGTCAAATTTTCGTGGTTTGAGTAAAAACTCTTGGTTCGTGGGGACTTGAATTTGTGGATGAAGAATTGTTCGGTAATTATATACTTTTTATTTCGTGGTGGACATTAAAATTTGTGATTTCACAGTATATCAACGAGGTTTACTTTCATTTATATTTCGACTCGATATATCCCAGTGAAGTTGAGAAAAAAAATACCACAGAGGTCATCACATCTGTTACATACCTAGATATTCTACTGATTGTTGATGATAAGGGCCAACCAACAACTTAATCGTATGGAAAAATCAGATGACTTCAGGTTTCCCATCGCCAACTTTCCTTGTTATGTAGTAATATTCCGCTATTGCCAGCCTATGTGGTTTAAGACTCTTAATTTAGTTTATACTCGAGAGCGTGTTCTGAGGACGATAAGAAAGGAAGGCTACTGACAAATAAGTTAATGTTATCGGAAAATCAACATTCGTTGAAAATCAGCATCATGTAAATTTTATGGTCGTTATAATTATCTTGTTAGCAAATATATCCTATCACTGGATCTTATTTTGACATGTTTCATACCAATTGTTAGACCTTTGTTTTCCATTAGATTTTACCTGATAATACTTAGGGATCACGGCGGGAATAACCGGTGTACAGAGGATGCTAACTCCCCCTAGGCATTTGATTGCATCTCTGGAACTTTCTTGGATCCGAGTTTTAAGCTTTCTTCACAGTTGCAGGATAGCATAATAGATTATAAAAACTTTTTTCATAGATGTTTCAATTGTTTTGTGAAATATGCATGACAATACTTTACGTACTTGTTATAAAAAAAACAAGATTTCTCAAAAATTTTAATACTCTATGGTTCGTTTTTATGTTTCTAGATTATTAATTGTCTTTGAAATTTACGTTCAATCACGTCATTTTAAAAACTCAATAATAATAAAATACTTTTCTTATGTTTTTTAAAATCTAAAGTTTTAGACAACAGTCTCTTCATTAAGTTATTGGTTAAAAATTCATTATAAACTTTTTCTTTACAAATGGCTTTGGTGCAGGAATATTTCAAAGTTCAGTAATTAAGTGTTTTAGAACGGACTCTCAAGGCACCTCACGGTCAAGAAAATCCAGCAGCAAAGCACAATAAATGCCCCTTCGTTTATGATAACTGCAGTAAAATATTCCCATGTAGCAGAACCTTTATAAACAGAGGGACGATATACTGCAATATTTGAGCATCCCTAACAAATCCCCTTTTCTCCCTTGATACTAGTATGTTACGTGACGATGCATATATCTGGAAAGATATGACAAAAAGCTTTTAACATATTAAGAGGCCAAGTCAGTTTGAACTTTGAATGGAAAGTCAAGAATATTAATTTTCTTGAAATCAGTGTTTATGGATTATTTCTGTCACAATCAAACAAAAAAATTTACAAAAATACTGATTTCAACCATAACGACATTGTCGTATCCAAGGAAAAACATTTCCTTAGTTACCAGAATAGATTTTTTACTTTCAAAACAGGCAAATATTGCCATAAAAAGAGTATACTGTATTTGCACATAGATGTTGCCAAAAGATTGTTTGCAAATATTTATTTCTTAAAGGATGAAGACTTAATTCTAAGTTCTTTGGTGACCAACTAAGTATGATACGTTAATGTCCTATTTCTTATCATTAAAAGTGTTCCTGTAGTCAGTCAAACAAATTAGTTTGAATAATTATAGTCATTAATTAAAACCACAATTTAACACTTGCTTTTATCAAATTTTATTCCTCAGGCTATTCTAATTTTCAAAAAGGGAAGTATCTGTATCTTCTACTTAGTTTATCAGATCGTAAGCAAGTGATAGAAGATCTATGGCATCACGTGTGGATGGAAACACGTTAAGCTGATTTCGACCGTATTTGGAGAGGAGGAATTTTGCACAGGTCTAATGCATGTATCATAATCTTTGAATACATGGCTCGTGTGAATCCCCTCTCACTATCCAGATTGTCATTCCAAACATCACACAGTACACAACGATAGATACATCTATTCTGAGTTTCATTTTAGTCTGTGACAGTTCTCACTTCCGATCGGCAATTAATATTCATCACGGACAATTAGAGAAATTATTCTAATAAGAATCATATGCCACATACTCAGATTGAATATGATGTAAGAATTATCTATTTTGGTTGTAAACTCCAATTTTATTGATTATGTTGTTATGATTTAAATATTGATAGAAAATATTTTCTTTATGCATGCATTGATATGTATTAATAAAAAGTTCATGTACGTTATTTTCATCTGGCCCCAAGATCATACACTGAGAAACGGACTTATAAGTCAAAAAATTCAGTCCAACAAATTTATGTTATGTTAAAATTCAAATGTTATGAATATTCAAATTGTAGGCAAATTTATTAAATAAACAGAAGATATGAAAAGTCATACTTCTATCTTAAGTCTATTCTCAGTTTATGGTCTTGGGGCCTGGCAATAAAACTTTAGATGAGCTCACTTTTGACCCCGGTCCTACTTTTCTAATATTAATTTCTTTGGTAAAAGTGAGATTGAGATTTTAAAAAATGAGCTCCTTTTAGTTTTATGGCCCCGGAGCCTGATGCAATTTCTAGTTAGGTCAGATAAAAGTTTCGATTTTATTTCACTTAGAATTTTTAATTCCCTCGGAGATTTCATTTTTCATTATTTTATGAAGAAAAAACATTCTCTAATGGAACCACACTTTTACTGTTTGATTATATCATTCAAAAAACACTAATCATCAATCTTTTTAGAACTAGAATTTACATAATTCAATCTCTATCTTTACAGGGGATCTTATACGTTATTACACCCAGACAATTTTTAGATGATTTTCTTAGAATGAGTGCAATATGCTCTCATCAAAGATAAGGAGCTAGACAAGAGTTATGCAACATAAGAACAGAGTATGTAAGAAACAGCAACTGAGCTTCAGTGACCACTTCATGAAATTTGAGCAACATGTTAAGTATGTGGATTTTGGTGTATTGTTTATTGCACTGCGAGGTTAAAACTACTTTGGCATTTAAACGCCAGGAACATCCAGAATATATGCTTTTTGAAAAACTCTTCAATGATAATGTGAACAAGTACAATCCGAATGTGCGACCAACACTAGATTGCGACAAACCGATCACTGTTAATGTTTCCGTCAACTTAGTAACGCTACATTCGTTGATAGAGAGGTCCCAAACTCTTCGGACTACTGTGTGGATTGACTTGGAATGGACAGATCTACAAATGACTTGGAACCGCAGCCTTTTTGCTAATATTGACTCAATTGTTGTTCCTCAAGAAAAAATCTGGATACCAGATATATGTATTTCAAATGAAGTTACTAACAACAAGTGTTTGATAAAATCAGAGAATGGAAAATCACTGATTGACTATACGGGCAAGGTCACACTGTGGTGGAATAGGGAGGTGCAGACGGGATGTGATGTGGACATCAGCCGATACCCTTTTGATAGCCAAGTGTGCCCCATTCGTATTGGAACTTGGTACTCAGAGGATGAGAAAGTTAAGCTAACACCAAAGTTCGATAACATAGACTTTAGTAACTATGTCCTCAGTGAAGAATGGGACATTGTTAGCTCAAGCATTAAAACAGTTCTCGTAGAAAACGACAAACATTTCACTGAGCTGGAGTTCTTCATTGTAATGGATAGGAAACCGTTATTCTATTTGTATAGTATTGTACTGCCTATTCTTCTATTATCAGTATTAAATATGGTGTGCTTCCTTGTTCCCATTGAGTCCGGTGAGAAAATAGACATGACAATGGCAATATTTTTAACCTTCGCCGTCTTTATGACTTTAATTAGTTCAACAGTTCCTAGAACTTCTGAAGATGTGTTTAAATTCGGAATTTTCATGACCATGCATCTTATGATGAGTGGCATTACTATACTACTAGAGGTCCTTGTAAGCCATATCTACTTTAAACCAAAAGGAACAAAAATGAACAAGGTGTATACTTGGGTATATAATCATTTTGTTTCAAATGGCAAAAATGACAGCGTAAAACCAAGTTCACTGCGTGTACATGAACACGAAACGATGATGGATTTTGGTTTTGAGACAGATCCTTGGCAAAGATTAGCTATAGAACTGGACAAAATGTTTGGTTATATTGTTACCATCATCAACGTCTTGTTGATCCTTTTGTTCTTTGTAACTGTAAACATAGAATGATTTTCGAACGAACATTCAAAATGACGTTATTATGTCATATTATAATGATGCCTATAAAATTACAGATTTCTATTATATTACAGGACAACAGAGCAACAGCCTTTAAAAATTATCGTATTTGAAAAAAAATATTACCAATATTGGAAATATAATAAAGATTAAAATGATTTCATTATTTCTTGGAGCGGTCATTATCAATGAAATATAACTCTAATACATGAACAATATTGTGGCGTTGTAAATTGAAAAATATATTTGGAAACAGAATTCGCAAAATGTTTTGAAACCATGCGAAGGCTGTTTTATGACAATAGAGATGACTTTAACTTTTCTATTGTCAACTTCCCTTACTTATGCAGCAATACAGTGTATACCTTTATCGCCTGCATACAGGTTTTATATCTCTCACTTGATTCGGTACGGAAGAGTATATTATACGCATGAACATTTAAATGTGGTAAGTTATTGATATGCGACCAAAAAAAATTGCTTTGAGAGAAGACACTTTGTGGTGCCTTTGTCAATATTCATCTAGATGTACAAAATTTATTTTAATAGTAAAATGAAATAAAATCAATATTCTGTAGAAATCTACAGAAGAAACAGGGTTACAGTGTAGAAGTGAATATTATCAATGTTAACCCTCTGAAAACTGATTAGAATGATAGAAACACAAAATGTCAAAGTGTGAATGAATTTTGAATATTTATGCTAAGAATATACAGTTTCAATCATACATGTGCATTTAATTGATTTGTTTGCGGGTCTTCACGCTGTCCAAGATCATATTTCAGCTGGAGAACATCTAGATATAAAGCACCACTTTGTTCCACTCCCTATGTTGACACTATTTATAGCTAGACTGAAGACTACGACCCTGAAGACTACAGTGTTTGATAAATCTGTGAATATGCAACATCTCTGGAGAATTCGGCGGCATTTATTGGTTGTGGTATTTATCGATATTTATGTCAAATTGTCGTATTTACTTTGAAAGCAACTTATTCTCCGATGCTTTGAATTGATGGTCCCATAAGAATTAAAAGACACTTTACTGACAAGCATATAGAACTAATCAAAACTTTAACAATAAATAAATGGAAAACTTTGGTCAACTATAGAAACCACTGCTTTTTTACTAGATTTTTTTTCAATATAACATCCCAGTAATATCATCAAATAAAAAAGCAAATATTCTCAATTTACAGTCGAAAACGGAAAAATATCATATGGGTAAGTATTTTGCGAAAATAAAGAAAATTACATACTAGTAAACTGTATATATTTGTCCCTTGTAATTTCTTTTTTTTTCCATTAAAAATTTCAATGATTTTTAGGGGGATCAGGTCCCAAGGAGGATTGAGCATCCCCTGCCGACCGGTCACACCCGCCGTGTGCTTCTTTCATAAACGGGAAATCCGTTGACAATACGGTGTGTAAATAATTGTCTAACAAAGAGTACGGAAAACGTCAGTCAGCCTTTGACTAAATGAGAGATTAAATTTGCTGACGTACATGTATCATTGTATCTACCATAGCACTTAGAAATGATGACTTTAAACGAAACTGTTAACTTTCTTCTTTCATTTTTTTTTCATCATGATGTTTGTCAATAAATTATCTCGTTTTAGAAATTACTCATACGTAGAGTATTCTCTTGCGCATCAACTGAATGATATGAACTACATATGCAGGTGATAAAGGTATATTGTTGTATAGGTAGGTTTATCATGAAACGTGGTTGTTAGATTACCATTTTACTTTTTTCTAGTGAAATATCCAAACAGGGAACATATGTGTCAGACTCTATAATATCTTTTATTTCAAGCTCACTGGGATATATCGTGCTTTTAAAATCAAGATCTTACTTATCATAAGCACTTTGCGCAGATATCATTACTTGTACATCTATAATAACACAGATTTATTTGGCAGATTATTCAGATATTTGATGCCAGAGAGTCAATTACTTACATTCATGTCTTAATCAACTAAGACATTAATCAACTTATTTTATTACATAACAAACAATATTATTGGTGCTGTATTTTGAACCCTATATCTATTTTGATTGCATGTCTTGAAACAACTCTGAAGAATATGAGAGATACAATCTGAAGTATTCATTTTGATCATACAAAGATTACTGCACAACATTCCTACCCAACAAGATTCCTGGAAAGCAAAAAATAGAAAGGTAATAAAAATTTTCTAAGAAAAGGATTTGTTGCTTTCAAATATCAAAAGCATCAGAACATACGTCGACCAAATGGAAAATTCGAAAAACCAAAAAGGTTAATTTTAGCTCCCATGAATTTCTGCAGAGCAAGTCAAGAGATAATTCATATTAAAGTCTAGTTTTCAAAAAATATATATATCTTAAACTTTTTAGTCAGGACCTAGACTCTTTTGTATTTAAAAAAAAATCGCTCTACACAGATTATGCTCTTGTGTTTAAAATCTAATGGAAAAATTAAATCCTTTATGGAGGTGTTGATGATTTATTTCAACATAAAATAGAAAAGCTATCAAAATGTTGATGACATCTGAATGTTTATTTGAGAAGTTCTGTTGTAAATTTGCGATCAATATCTTTCTCTAGTAAAACATCCAAATTTAAAACTGAGGGACAAACTCTGTGTCCTCTTTTATTTCATGTTTGAGATGTATGGAATCAGCATTTGAATGAATATGAATGCTGTTTTCTTGAAAACGTCACCAATTTATCTAATTGTCGAATTGAAGGCCACTGGAAGAGACTTTTTAGCTCACCTCAACGAAGTTGGGGGGAGCTATGTGATACCCTCGGCGTCGGCGTCGGTGTCGGCGTCGGTGTCGGTGTCGGCGTCGGCGTCGGCGTCCCGGGTTAAGGTTAAGTTTTTTGGAGCAGTTTTCTTTTTAAGTACTTCTATGTCCTATATTGATTAGACATGCATGGAAGATATTTCTAATGTGTTTCATTGTACCAATCAAAGTTTCAGATGCTGCAATTTCAGCAAAGGAATGACCAGGTTAATGTTTTTGGTGCAAGTTAACATTTTTGGTGCAGTTTTTGGTGTAGGTCTCATTTCTGAGTAACTATAAGCCCTATGTTGACCAAACTTACATGGATGGTACATCTTAGGATGCATACTACCAGACTTGCTTCGGATGCTGAATCTGACCTACATTTTCTGGTTGAGTGAACAGGTTAAAGTTTTTGGTGCAGGTTTCATTTCGAAGATACTATGAGCCCTATAATGACCAAACTTGCATGGATGGTACATCTTAGGATGCATTCTATTTGCTTCGGATGCTGAATCTGACCCCAGGTTAAAGTTTTTGGTGCAGGTTTCATTTCCAAGTTTCTATGAGACATATAATGACCAAACTTGCATGGATGGTACATCTTAGGATGCATACTACCAGTCTTGCTTCGGATGCTGAATCTGACCTACATTTTCCGGTCGAGTGAACAGGTTAAAGTTTTTGGTGCAAATTTCCAAGTTACTATGAGACATATAATGACCAAACTTGCATGGATGGTTCATCTTAGGATGCATATTACAAGACTTGCTTCGGATGCTGAATCTGACCTACATTTTCCGGTTGAGTGAACAGGTTAAAAGTTTTGGTGCAGGTTTCATTTCCAAGGTACTATGAACCCTATAATGACTAAACTTGCCTGGATGGTACATCTTAGGATGCATTCTTTGCTTGCTGAATCTGAAAATATATAGGTTAAAGTTTATGGTGCAGGATTCATTTCCAAGCAACTTTGAGCCTATAATGACCAAACTTGCATGGATGGTACATCTAAAAAAATTGCTGAATCTGACACATTTTCCGGATTAGTGAAAAGATTAGTTTTTTATACAGGTTTCATTTCCAAGTAACTTTGAGCTCTATGTTGAAAAACTTGCATGGATGATACTTTAGGATGCACACTAATGGACTTGCTTCAGATGCTGAATTTACGTTTTCCAGATAATATACCTCGTAAAAGTTATGGGTGCAGGTCTATCACCAAGAAACTATAAGGCTTATATAATGTTGCACAAATGACATCTGAATGTTTATTTCAATCTTGCTTCAGATGCTGGATTTTGATTACATTTTCATGAAGAACTAGTTTTAAGTTTTTAATATATAGGTCTATTCCAAAGTATCAAAATTGCATAAATTTTGCATTTTTGGATGTACACTTTTTGTTGGTTAATTGTGTGATTGTGTGACTTAATTTGTCTTACTCTGTGTTCTCTTTTATTTTTATTAATTCATTTATAATATTTAGCAGAAATATATGGAGATAACGAACAGCAATCAAAAGTCAATTTACACAAAACAAATCAGAAGCAGACCAAACAGGGATATGCCATGGAGGATGCTGTTGTGCTTCTTTCATAAACGGGAAATAACGGGAATCACTACAATTTTATCTCCAATAAATCACGTCATCAAAAAATTATCTGATCAGAAACACGTATAAAACCTGTGCAGTTGAAATGTACATTTGACTTTTACATATTTAAACCACATTCTTTTTGCAATTTAAACACTGTATATTGCAAAAGTATTGAATGTAGGTTTCAAAGAAATATATTTAAACTGGATCTTGGTAATAAAGTGGTAAAATAGGAAACTGATTTGATATTGTATATTCAAAAAGATTTTTTTTAAGCTACAATAATAAAAGGCTAATTTTAATGCAGCGAAAGGCTCAAATTGTCTGCACTATTTTCACAGGTAAACAAACAAATTTACACTCCGGTGTTAAATGGAACAGCGTTAACGCAGCATGGTGACCTAATTCGTTTCTCTATAGAGAAAAGATCAGTCGTATTTTAGGGCTGCTAGTACATGTAGCAGAATAGAAATAAAGTCCTTGTTTTCGTGAATGGTCACACCCACCGTGTGCTTCGCCTCGGCTTTTATCTTTCATAAAACATTTCTCGGGAAATAAATAACGGGAAATCCGTGGACATTAAAGTGTATAAATAATTGTCTGACCAAGAGTATTGAAAACGTCAGTCAGCATTTGAGTAAATGAGGGATTGAATTTGCAGATGTATCTACCATAGCACTTAGAAATGATGACTTTAAACGAAACTGTTAATTTTCTTGTTTCATTTTTTTCATCATGATGTTTGTCAATAAATTATCTCGTTTTATAAATTACTCATATTTAGAGCATTCTCTTGCGCATCAACTGAATGAAATGACCCCCATATGCAGGTGATAAAGGTATATTGTTGTATAGGTAGGTTTATCATGGTTGTTAGATTACCATTTAAGTTTTTTTCTATTAAAATATCCAAACAGGGAACATATGTGTCAGACTCTATAATATCTTTTATTTCAAGCTCACTGGGATATATCGTGCTTTTAAAATCAAGATCTTACTTATTATAAGCACTTTGCACAGATTTCATTACTTGTACATCTACAATAAAACAGATTTATTTGGCAGATTATTAGTTTGAACATATTTCATTAATATACAATGGTAACACAAGTTACAACTTACATGTCTTAATCAACTAAGAGAGAGTCATTAATATTAACGTATTTCATTACAAAACAAACAATATTATTGGTGCTGTATTTGGAACCCTATTTCTATTTTGATTGCATGTCTTGAAACAATTCTGAAGAATATGAGAGATACAATCTGAAGTATTCAATTTGATCCTACAAAGATTACTGCACAACATTCCTACCCAACAAGATTCCTGGAAAGCAAAAAATAGAAAGGTAATTTAAAATTTTCTAAGAAAGGGATTTGTTGCTTTCAAATATTAAAAGCATCAAAACGTACGTCGACCTGTTTTCATTTTTTTTTTCATGAAGCAGACTTATTCAAAAACAGCAAATTTTGATTTTTTTTCAGTGACTAATGGTTCACTAGAATACAAGAATAGAATAGGTATGTTACTAAAGAGTCCCTGTTGGTACCAATGGAAATTCCGACGGATTGTTTGAAGACCAGCTCTTCTAAAACGACATAGATATTATCAATTAGAAACTCAAGCATCTTTTTCTTATTAATTTCAGAGTACTTTTGTGTACAACAAAATGTTTTGCAAATGACCAATGAGAAGGTAAGTATTTTCGAGTTTCATGTTTATTGAAAAAGCAAGTGTCAAAAAGCCTTGAATTCAAATTGTCATGGGGAAAGGTCGTATCAAGTGTTGAAAAGTACATTTGATGTTATTGATTTCTAAAAGTTCCTTGGAGTTTTTAAGTATCCACATATTATTTTTACCACTTCTCAAATATATTGCTGTACAATACTCCAGAAGTTTCTCCTTTAGTGCTGTTATTATTTTAGTAAAAGAGAAAGAGGCTTGGTAGAACATTTAAATGCAACATGGTATGCATCGTTGTTTATATGGACTTTTCAGGAAATACATGTATAGGAATCGGATCCAGCATACGTACGTACGGTATTCAAGTCAAGTCTGATTGTTGGGAATATAAAAAATATTTTAAAATTTACACATGATTTTGAACAATTTCCTTAGAAATGGAGTTATGGGTATAAATTGGATTGCCAATGGCAGAATAAAACCACCGTTCCTCTAAAATACAATCAGAATACTAGTAATGAGCCAAACAAAGACAATGTTTAATCCTGCCTTGTCAGCATAACTGATCAATCTAATTCTTAATTTACTTCTGAATTAATCATTGAAGACAGAAAGATAGATGATTTTCATATTGTCCCTCACTCTGATACTTTCATCCCTTCTGACAAAGTGTCAATCATTATTATTTTTAGCATGTTTGGTCCGTCGCCTGAATTCCATGGAATTCACAATATTTATTGAATTATTTATGATGCCAGTTGAATGATCGCGGTTCCCTAAATTTTTTCCCTTTTAAAATACAAGATTGAAGGTCATTAACTTAATTTACGTCACCAGTAATGATTGTCCAGCATGACAGTCTTTAAAAATACATACAACAGTGGTCCTTGATAAGTTAATCTTTGAGATACCGTTGTGCCCTAGGATACTGAAGAAAAGTAGAAGAGAAGAAACACTCAAGATTATTTCCTTCGATAAGGTGGGAATTATCTTTCTTGCTATGGTATCGATAGACGTTTTTGTCTAACTGTGTATATTTTTGACAAACAAGGACGGGTTTTTGTGTAATTATTTTTTTTTTAAATGAAAAATTTCTTTTTTCGCTCTCTTGAACAAATGAATTGCATCTGAAGAAATTAAATGAGCAGTCTGATTAAAATCAAACCTTCACTAGCTCTTCACGCGACAAAACAATAAAAAGGAGCTAGTGAAGGTTTGAGTCTGATTAAAATCAAACCTTCACTAGTTCTTCACGCGACAAAACAATAAAAAGGAGCCAGTGAAGGTTTGATTTTAATCAGACTGTTAAATGAGCAGAAAACTGGTTTGGAACAAATTGAAAGATTACAAAAATATACTTATTTCTCAAATATTTCTTAAGGATTCGAAAAATATACTAGTATGGCGGTGTTAGGTTTTTTATTTTTATTTTTTAACTATTAATTGGCTTATCATTACTTAGTTCTATCCGAGGAACTCCTCATGTCGGACAATTTAGGGTCAAGCCTTATCTCCTTCCCCTGTCTGTATGTAATCAAGTGAATAATGACTGCCCTCAATCGCATGTTACTAGGTTTGTACTTTTGTTTTTCTTCTTTAACATTATATATGTAATGATGATTTTTCATTAAAGATCTTGAAAAATACCGAAATTGACGAAATGCATCAATTCTTTTTTATTTAATCATGAATTTATATAGTTCTTGTGCTAGTATCGACAGTACATGGAGCTTACAATGGTGAGTTCATCTTTTTTTCTAAATATATATCACTTTCTCAAGGATTAATGTACATTCATATAAAAAATACTAAATGCATCAATTAAATAAAACATCCATTTCCATTACTTAAGTTTCTATTACATTACTGAAAAAAAACAATTTACTCTGTCTCAGAATTTTTTTAAAAAGTTTGAAAATTTGAATATTTTTTCTACGTTTAGGACGACTTTTGTGTTCTCACTGTCAAGGACACATACATAATCAGCAGTGCCACAATTTCCAGTTGTGTCATGTCGGAGAGGTAGGTACGTCATCCTTTCATATTTTAGCAGTAATGCTTCTTTTTGGTTGTGACTTGGATGAAATTTGAAATATGTTTATCAATAATTACAATTTAACTTCACCAATGATATGAAATATTATTCATGAGTAGCATTGTTATCCTCCCACCGAAGACCCTTTATTTTGTCAATTAATGATTAAAATGATATTATATTTAAGTGAATGTAATGTAATCCACTGATACCAATATATTATATGTGGATGTAAAGTTATCAATTGATACAACTATCATATATAAATAAAAAAGTTAGCCAATGATAAAAATACGCTAGATGTACTTTTTTATAGCCATTTATTAGTGCTATAATTTATCGTCTAAAATTGCCAACTCCAGCTTTTACTTCTTAGGTAAAAGAATTGTATGGGATAAAAAGCTATAATGTTGACGTCATCATTGATTGACATGAAGATTTTTTTCCAGCAATGTTTTACGACAACGTACAGTATACATGGACAGTCAAGACTTTACACTGGTTGCATGCCTGATTCGGTAAGGATAAAAATACCACTTGTGATTTTGACTAATGTATACTTTTTTCGATAACGGTTCATTTACAGTAACTTGCAATAGAGTTGAACCGTCGGTTTTTCAATGTAACAAGCTTTCATATCCCGACAATAATATTAAATTCGAGCTGATCTGACACAATATCGGAGACTGTGACGTAATTCGCTTGTTTTACAGGACTGTTCTTCCTTAGGATTCCAAAAGGTCGACCAGTCTGGTGAACTTCCTCAAGGAAGTGTCATCACACAACAGAAATGCTGTCATACCGACGGTTGTAATGGGCTACAGGGTAGGTGTTATTGCAGTTATCGACGGTGTAATGGGCTACAGGGTAGGTGTTATTTCAATTGTCGACGGTTGTAACTGGCTACAGGGTAGGTTTTATTGCAATTATCGACGGTTGAAATGGGCTAAAGAGAAGGTGTTAATACAATACCGACGGCTGTATTGGACTACATGGAAAGTGCTATTACAATTATTATTGTAATGAAATATACAGGGAAGGTGCTACAACAAAACCGACGGTTTTAATAGGCTACAATGTAGGTGTTATTGCAATTATCGACGATTTTAATGGGCTACAGGGTAAGTGTTAGTATCGACTTTTCTGAGAGGTTACAGGGTAAAAGCGATTGTCTAACCGACTATTCTGACAGGTTTATTGGGCAGATGTTTTCGTAATACCGTTACAATGGGCTATGGAGTAAATATTTTTGTAATATCAACCTATTTATGGGCTACAAAAAAGACGTTGTAACTCCAATGTTTGTTGTGAAACACAAGATACGTGCTATTGCATCAGTAACTGTTTGAATGAGCTACAGGTTATAGGTTATTCACAACTGTTGTTATATGCATTACAAGATGATACTTTTTATAAAGCTGATGGCTTTAATGTGTGCCTGGGTAAGTGATTTGTATTTTGGCCCATTACTGGTAAGAGATGGATGTTTTTGCAATACCTGGTAGCTACAATTATAATAATGAGGTAAATGTTTCTGAAACGGATCGTTATATAAAGTTATAAAGTTACGTTCCTTTTTTATATTGTTTTTCACAGTATATGTTCTCATTACATGTTGAATATTAAACTATTAACTTACCTTTATCCATCGTCTCAAGCCACGGTTCGGAGTAGCATATAGATCTCTCCTACTCTAGAATGGAAGAGAATCGTACATTTTGGCCGTGGTTTGCAACGATGACCATTCTGTAATCTCATCTTTAAACTGGTAGGTACTGGCAGTAGAATTGCGTGTATGAGTTGTTCAGAGGACGAGAAGTACGCCTCCCAGTGTCAACATGCCATCCTGTGTAACCCTGGGCAGGTAGGCAGGTTGGTTTTTTCCAGTCCTATCATATGAAACATTCAAAACAAATCAGCTTTAATTAAAAGCCTGCACAAATCGTGTGTATATACTAGTATGAGATTATATTTTCCCTAGGAATGCATGTTCTATCAATATTTGGACACGAGCACGTATCAAAAGAGAATACATCTGAGCTGCTCAAACCATGAGGTATGTCTAAGCTAATATATTTCTTGAATTTCAATATTGATATTGTTGTTTTATTGGTATGGATTATTTGAAAATTAACTTTTGTAATCATTGTACAAGTAGCACAGTTAAAAGTTTAACTTCAAACTAAGGTAAGTTAAGTTTTTTGAACAACGTTTCAATGTGTTTGTTGGCATTTTGTTTTGAACTTACTGAGGATGTCCCTTATCATAATTTTAACTCTATGCAAAGGAATAAAAAAAATATCAGCCTAGTTTAAAATAAAGAAACTGAGCCGTTAAGATTGTAAGATTAGCCACTTTATTATTGACTTGAAACTGTAAAACTCATTGATAGGTTTGTGAAATCCTACGAAGTCAGCCCATAATTTTCGGCAAAAGGGATGAATTAGCCATGAAAAAACATTGCTGCAACACAGATTATTGCAATATATTCTGGGGTATTTTATTTTTGTAATACACATTTTAAAAATAAAATAAGTTTATGAATTCAGAAAAAATATGCATCTATTTGAGTGCGCTTAAAAAGTATTTTTATGTACTTGTATGTATACTTATCCAAAACCCTCTAGGTAAAATATGAGCAGTGCTTTGATTTTTATTTGAAGACCAGACGTCTATTGTGAATTCCAATACACACAAAACTCAACATACCATGAAAACAACAACTCCAGTAAGGACGACGACGACAAAGAAACCAGTGTCAACAACACATACTACTCTTTCTACAACAACAACTGCAACAACAACAACAGGGGATCAGTTTATTCCTATAACAAATCCCCCGACAACACAAACTCCAACCACTCAACAAGTTTTTGTCACTTTAACAAACCCTGTGAGTAGAACGCCCGAGCAACATACTTCAACACCCGGACAACAAACTACACCTGTAGAACAACACACTCCAACTGTAGAACAACACACCCCGACCGTACAACAACACACTCCGACTGTACAACAACATACCCCCACACCAGAACAACATACTCCTTCACTTCCTCTCATACCAATTACAACATCCGCACATTATATTCCTATATCTCATACAAAGACAACTCAAATGACAACTGAGACAACAACTCTCCCGACCACAACAACTACGACATTGCCAACAACTTCCACGGAGCCCCCAGCCAACAGCAAGTACTTTTTTCTTTTATCAATCAGCAAAAAGATTTCTATGCTTTGTCAGCTTTTAAAATGGGATCATGTGGGATGTCATGAATCGCTTTCTGTGATATCAGTATTATACGTTTGCTTACATTTTAGCACGTAATTTAACTGATTAAAGTGTCTCTTGTCATTCTTAAACAGGGTATAAATCATTAAAATAAAGCCCCTCTGTTTTTCAATTTGACAAGATGGATAATTTTGTCTTTATCCTCAGTATAACACTGTGTTTAATAATTCTAATAATCTTCTGTAAAAACTTGTGTTTTACCATTGTAACAGGATGTTATGGAAGTAGCAAGAACTCTAACCTTCAGACGGTCATTAATTGTCCAGATGAAGCGCCATATTGTCTGAATAACCTAACTAACTATGTTGATGGTAAAGCTGAAGTTGCCAAAGGGTAATTGTAAACATACTGATAGACGATTCGTGTTTATGAAAAATATGATAGTCTTTGTAGCAAATCATATATAAATCTTATAGTGCATTAAAATTGGGTTCTTTTATTTTCATTCTTTTTAAATTTAATTTAAATTGAAGATGTTTTGATTTCACTTTAGTTGTGCCACGGCTGGTCAGTGCTACTGGGTACCACGTGAGAGTTCCTCCTTCTACTGTGACAGATACAGCTCCTCCCACAGCTATTTCGCGGAGTTCATGTGCTTCTACTGCTGTACTGGGGAACTATGTAACCATGACACCATTGCCTCCCCGGCAAGTCCCTTCCATCCAACTGTGATTCCACCTAACCCTATAACCCTTCCGACAGTGCAATCTAGTAATTAAACACTTTTACATTCAGCTATATATCAGAATAATTTTCTTTAAATTTTTTCTTGATTATTGAAATTTTAATTCAAAATGTAAATAAAATAAGGGGCCCTTTTCAGCTAATTGTTACATTTGCGATGATTGCCATGGCGCTGGAACTTTGTCGACTTGTACCGGAAGTACGCCATATTGTTTGAATCATTATAGCAATTCTCAGTGGGGCATTTCACATATAACAAAAAGGTTTGCAGACTTAAATATTATTTTTTGATAAATTCGAAAGTTATTTTTACCGTCAACGTCGATCATTTTGAAAATTTTAAAGACTATGATTCTTGGCGCCTACCCTTATTATGTTGCACTGAAATGAAAAAATAAGAAGACTGTCAAAGCGTTTTCTTTCTTTGCTGTATTTGTTTATTGTTTTCTCGTGTTTTTTTTTAGCTTTTATGCAGTTGAAAGTAACAATGATAGAAACTTTTATACAGTTGAAAGTTACAAAGATAGATGTTATATGTTAAACACACATAATTTCTTTATTAGTTGCAAACATATATTGATAAGAATTGTTTGGGCCAACAGGTGCGGATCCAAGCAGGAATGTCATAGTCAGTACTATGAATCTACCAGATATAACTTGTTGTGTTCCATATTTAATGAGAACATTCGTGAAAACATGCGGCTTGAGTGCACATTCTGTTGTACAACATCGAACTGTAACGAGCATGCACGACCTCCACAAAATACCTTGTACAAGGAATAAAACAAACATGTTAAAGTATTGATAATTAAAGATGGATATGTTTGCTTGCGTTTGTTATCTTGCATTAAAAATTTTGTGGCTTGGACTGTTTTTATATAATGTATTCTAGGGGAAAACTTCCATATTTCTCGAGAATGGTCATCAAATGTCATTTACGATAGTAAATTTGATGTTTTTTTTCATTTTGAGTAAATCAACAATATGGTTCTGATTTATTTACAGGAGGTAATGCATAATTGATAAACTGCATCCTTTCGTATATATTTCAAGATTCAATTATGAATTAATCTTCGCATACAGAAATAGGTGTCCATGGATCTAGATTACTACTTCTGATGCAATAATGAGAGGCTTTGATACAGCTTTTTATTATGTGTAATCATCTAAGAAACTTTTCTTTTTTGTTTATTTTTTACTTTTATTTTTGAATTTGCCCTTTCATTTTTGTTATCTGAAAAATTATATTTTCAATTACAAGCTAATTATGAAAATAAAAATTCCATATTTCCTCTGTGTGATCTAAACACTGTAGTAAAGCCTTAATCAAGTACTGAACAACATATCCTTCAAATAAATATATCATTTTTAGTCATTACGCAAGAACTCCTGATTTTTACTTACTTTATTATATTTCCATACTATCGCGTATGAAGTACGTAATAGCTTCATGAGGTGTTTCATATATGTTCTGCCATTACTAAAATATTATTAACAGCAGTGAAGGAGACCTTCAGGAGTACTGTATATTGAGATATTAAAGGAGTGGTGTACATGTATATTAGATGTGGATACCTAAACTAGAAAATCTTGAAATCACAAAATTTTATCAAAAATAAATAACATCAATAGAAAATCTTGAAATCACAAAATTTTATCAAAAATAAATAACATCAAAACGTTCGATTTTTCAACACATTATTTAACCATTCCCTATGATAAATAACAGTCCAGGCTTCTTGGCATTATTTACAGCTGCTTCTTCAATAATAAAAAATGGAACTTGTAATTTTACTTACCTCGTCATTGGTCATTGGCAAAATTATTTTGTAAAAAAAAAATTCAGATTGTACACACAAGTAATCTGAAGTTGATATTAAGAAGATGCCCGAGTTTCTGATTGACAATGTCAAATTAATTTTCAAAGATCGGGTCTTTCAAAAATTGTCAGAATTCCAATATGTACCCTGTTCTTGGTGGAGTTGTTTGTTTTTGTATTCATAAAAAACAGCAATTTTCAAAACCTTATTAAAAACAGAAGAAATAAATCGCTGTGACATTCATCTCGGATTTTTTATATATTGACAAGGTGTCATCAATTACATATGTAAATATATTTAACACCATTCCTATGTTGAATCAGAATATAAATTGAACTTGAAATAAAAGATATAACAGAGTCTTACACATCTGTTTCGTATTTGGTTATTTTACTAGAAAGAGATTTTAATGAATTCGTAACCCAGCAATAAAGCCCTTTTTTATAAATGTGATGACTAACTACTTCACTGTCTACTTTTCTTTCATACACTGTAATTAGCAATATACCCTTATCATCTGCAAATGATACTTATATTTGATATAGAAGACTATTCTCCACGTATAAACAATTTTTAAAACCAGACTATTGCTATAATTATTGATGAGATTTTTTTTCTTCTACTGAAGTATTATATTTCAAGATTATTATTTCTTTTAAAAAATATTTATTGTATTATAATATAGTTGAAATAATTGAATTTTTATTCTAAAACAATTTAAAATCAAGATAATATTGTCTGTAATATGCTATTGGAAACACAAGTAGAATATTTCTAAAAGACATAAAAATTAACCAGGATTATTGGCTGAGAAGAAAAAGGTAGAAAATCATATTCAGAGTCAAGAGGTTTCACATTTATACCGTTTCATAAATGAAGTCTAAACAAATCCCGAGAAAAAATATAGTACCCGGTAAGTTTATGCTTATGAGGGTTTCTCTTGTAGCAGATGTTAGGTGATTTTTTTTTTAAAGTTGCCTTTAAAAAAAAAAACTTGCCAATTCTGCTTTATAAAGTGGAATATCATCGATTTACACTGGCTCTAAACAATAGTGAAGAAATAAATGAATGATCTAAACATACATATCGAGAATATGTCATAGTCATCTTTTGTAATTTCATTAATACCTAGTTTTAAATGCACTTTTATATTATCTTTTTTCTAATGAAATAGCAATAAGTGCAGTTATTTATAATTTGCTCCCACATAATTTACTTCGTGAACCCTTTTCAATCAGATATGAGTTTCTATATTAGTAACAGTAGTATAGATAAAAGGAAAGTACTCATATCATAATTTCGCTCCAATTTGTCCGCACTTTGACAATAAATCAAAAATGCTTGTTTATAAATCTGGAAACCCTCTTAATTTTTTTTAAGGTCATGTAACTAAACAAATGACCCAAAATATCAACAAGATATATCTTGCGATTGAAGTCTATAGTATCTTCAATATAAATAAAAATTAATAATTAACGAAATCACGTTGCTTTAAAACAATGTACATATGTAACCTTTTTTGGCCTGATATCTATTGCTCTGCTCCTGATTCGTATAGATACAATGTATTGAATTTTTAGTATGATTATGGTTCCTTAGTTCCATATTTCATAAAATTTACCTAAACCACGTTCTTATTTGCACAAATTCTGGAATCCGTATACATTAAAAAAATTCAAAAATCAAGATACTATTAACTTAATTTTTACATTTACATACAACGAAAATATATCTGTTTTCCTCATTATTTCATAACCAGTTTTAAATGCACTTTTCCTTTTTCTTTATATGAAATATCAATAAGTTCAGTTATTAAAAATTTATTCTCACATAATATACTTTCTGAACCCCTTATCAACCAGGTTTGTTTAAGTTTCTATATTAGTAAACAGTACAGATAAAGGAAAAGTACTAATGCCATAATTTAGATCCATTTTTCTGCACTAGGAGGGTTGTCAGGTAAAATCGTGGACAAGTTGTCTGTGAAAAGTATTCATCCCTAGCTGCGTTCTAAAATGTTCACGACCCTTTAGTACATTTTGCATCAATTATAAATTTTAGATAGATTTATGCATAATTTAGCAAAATATGAGATTTTTAGGTACGTGTTATATCACCCTACGGTGCACGGATGATAAATGTCAAAGTGTCTAAAACAACGTCATATTTTCTCTTTGTTGGATAAGTGCCATTTAAGAGGACTGGGTGGTTGTGGCCAATTTAGGCTATATTCATCTCCTTTAGAAGAAGAGCTCTCTATGTACAAAACATATACAAAAGTGATCAAATTTTAAAACTAAAATGTATGAAATTTTTCTTTGCCAAATGATAGTTGGCAGCTTGAGATATCATATCTAAAAAATTGAGTTATATCTGATAGTTTTCCTTTATTCTTCCATAAAATGACCGAGGAACAAATCTTGCATATCTTAAACATGGGCCTTCTGAAGATTTATTACTAAGTTATGGACAGTATTATCACTATCATTCAACTATAAGTAGGCAATCTTACTAGAATACATTGTATTTACTCATAGTTAAACTTTTTTTCAAATCAAACGAAGTGTAGCATAAAACTTCAAATTAATGTTGCATGCAAACTTTAACAAAGTAACAAACTCCTTCAGTTAATACACAAACGAGGTAGATGTAATTGTTCACATTGTACTTTTTGTTGCAATATTCTCACAAAAATCAAGATGTAACCATTGGGCAGTAACTTTTTCATAAATCTAAAGGCATAGGACAGTTTTTTTAATACGAAAGCCATGGGACATGTACGTTTTTAATGAGATATTTATTTTGTACTGGTCCTATCATTATGATAAATTTTGCCTCGTAACTAAATATTTTACAAACTTTTTTTAGATGAGGCCGTTTTTTTCTTCTCGTACTGAATATTATACTGCTCTATTATTATATCCTTTTTTTAGATGAGGCCGTTTTTTCTTCTCGTACTGAATATTATATTGCTCTATTATTATATCTTTTAACAGATATTTATTGCATTATAATGCAACCGAATTCATGGAATTTTTATCCTTAAAGAATTCAAAAATCATGATAACATTGTATGTAATATACTACTGAAACATTGAATACATGTGGAATATTTCTGAAAGACATGGATAATAACTTATGAAACCCTAGATTTATTGGCTGAGAGGAATTAAAAAGGAAACTGGACAAAAATTATATTCAGAGTCACATGAATATGCATTCCCACCGTATCATCAATGAAGTCTAAACAACTCTTTTAAAAGAAAAATATTCAGTTTGTGATTATGAGGGTTTCTCCTGTAGCAGATATTAATTGCATTTTTGTAAGTTGTCATTTTTAAAAAAAAAAATTACCAATTCTGCTTTATAAAGTGGGATATCATTGATTTAAAACATTGAAAAAGTAAACGAATCATTTTGGCGTTTATTAATGTTATATCAACACATAACGAAAATATTTCATACCCATCCTCATTATTTCATTTCCAGTTTTGGTTGCACTATTTCCCTTTTTCTTATGAAATATCAATAAGTACAGTTATTAAATCTTTGCTCTCACATAATATACTTTGTAAACCTCTTATTAATCAGGTGTGAGTTTCTACATTGCTAACGACGGTATAGATAAACGGAAAGTGTTTATGCTTCATTTTTTTCTGCACTATGACAACAGATTGGTAAATAAATATATGTTTATGAATCTGGAAATCCCCTTAATGTTATGAAATCAATGAAAAAGTGAATTAATTAAAACTATGTCGTTAGTAGTCTAGCTATACTATCGTCAGTATAAATAAAAATAAATACCGGGGTAGTACAGAAATCAAATTGCTTTAAAACATCCAGTTCAATTTATTGAAGTCAAGAGACATACATCTCATAGACAAGGTTTACAATCATACATTTTAACACATATAATAATGAAATAAACATACAGCATGTAAAAAACATATAATATTTTCGATAATTTATAAATGAGTTAAAGAAACTGTTCTTGATGCACTCCCTAATTGCAAAAAAAATTCCAGTATTACATTATTCTTTTACATTCTGTGTACTTAGTAACTGTACCAATTTCAAGACACTTGGTCTTCGGGAGTAGTAGCTTTTAATGTATTTTGTCTTAATGTATTATAATGTGGACATTTTAACACAAAACGGAATTCATCTTCTATTACCTAATTGACAAAGATTACATGTTCTATTATTTCTCAAAGTTTTATTATATCTTCCGAAGATATAAGACTTCCTTGTTCAATCATTAAGTTTGAAATGTCATTTTAATGTCGCTTATGTCATTAAATATTCTATATCTTTTTTGATCTGAAAGCAATTGATATATATATTATATGCAGCTCAGATTCACTTGGGAAAAATTATATTACAACTTATTTTATTTAGTGAATATTTCTGAAGCAAAGTTGATAAGAAGTACCTATGGTGTTGATTTACCGAATCCTTTAACGAATATGTATATACATTTATCTGCATCTATGGAAAATAGGGCACACGTACAGCAGATTGATTCAACCCACAGGTACAGAAAAGATAGAGATGTACGCTATGCTCTTTATAAACCCCTAAATATCTTTGCAACGTGAAATTTTTGTACATAAGTAAATGCTGTTATTTAATTTCATAGGTAAGAAGAGCTTTCTTGATCTATATGCAAACCATGTGATTATATGAAACATGAATTAAAAGAGAGTCCGCAATAAAAATCATATTACTGTAATAGTTCATAATTACAACTCTATTTAGATAAATTTGGCTTTAATTCTACTTTTTCTATCCTCTGGCTGATCATTTTCAGCAATGTTTCCTTTTCTACACACAAATACATTGATAAGTTCATCTTTAGAGCAGTATAATCCATCAATCTATTGAAATTCCATGGGCACAAATTGTGTTCATTTATGAACCGGCCTGTCTTTGTTTTTAATAACGCAGAATTTATTTGAAATACTACTGTATTAAAGAGAAGATTGATGCGACCTTTATTTCGACATTTAGAAATGTCAGTAACGTTATATTAATCAAATATATTCAATTTCATTTATAAAAACGAATATATCTGAGTGTCCTCAAAAACACAAGTCCATCGTATTGCATTATTTTGAAATAATTAGAATGTTTTATTGATCACAGTTTTATCATTAAGACTATTGTCCTTTACTTAAATTTATAATTTTTCAATTTATTTTTTAATACAAAAATTTTAAATTTGGAGAGGACAATATACGTACTGGTAACACAAATGGGATGACTTCAGCCGTCCCATCGCCATCGTCCAACCCGCCCCTATCATGTAGTTATATCCCGTTATAACCCGCAGTTTTGAGTAATTTGTTTCCTTGTCAGTATTCCCATTATGAATGAATTATTAATGAAGACCATCTTTCATAAATTATTATGTGTGTTCTGAATTAAAAAAAAACAGAACCGATTGACAAAATACAATTTTCATATTTATTCGAAGATTTGAGAAAAATTAGATTAACCAACAAGTACGGGGTGTCCATGTGCACCTGCAATGAAAGAGAAAAAAATCCAGAAAAAATTGCGTCTAAAACTATGTGTAAAATATACAATCTCATCAAACAATCAATAATTTAAAAGAATAACATTGAATTCAACTAGTGATGACCAACTTGACCAAAAACAAAAGATTACAAAAAATTAAATAGTTATGACGTGTACTGGAATACCTAAACATGAAAACTATTTTTTGTAGTTTATGGACTATTTCAGGAATCAAAAGATTTGAGTTAATACAGATAGTAGATACCTGAATCACCATGTGTTCCTGCAAACAAAAGCAATTTTCGATGTATATTTATCAACAATCCTAAATATAGCCGTGAAATATTTTGCTGGAACGGCAAAACATTTAGCTACTAGTATATTAGATATCACAATATTGAAAAAAAAAGATTGCAGTTACCTGATTGACCATGTGTTCCTGCAAACAAAATGAATTTTCAGTGATACAATTATGAAGTCATTCCTAACTAGCTTTCAAACGATACGGAAAACAGATAGCTTCTAATATGTTAATATCAAAGTATCTTTATGACAGCAATCAAAAATAGTGCTTTCACCAAATCTAATTTTTTTTATCATAATCATATTGAATACTTTTTGGAAAATTTTTGCTTACCTGTATGACTGCCAGGACAAGCGATTTCCATGAGGTAATCTCCCATTGTATGAAGTACATCAAATCCACTGACTGTGCCAGGTTTACCATTTGAGTCAATTGCCGCCAATTCTTGAGTATTTACCAGACTTCCGATCCCGATCGCATGGACAGTAGTGTGTTGGTGCTGCAAATGCTTGGCTTCTGCTATCGTTTGGTTTGTATCTTTGGATTTACCGTCGGTTAAAACGACCACAATTCGAGAAGCAGAATGACGCCCACCATGGCTGTGAGAAAATGCGTTTTCCCTCACAAATTTCAAAGCCTCTGCTGTGTTGGTTCCAGACATCAAGAACGTGAGACTTTGAATTTTATGCAGAAGCTGATTTCTATCATGATAGGTGTTTAAATAAAAGTCATTTCGTACGGTATCCCCAATAGTTATACATCCAAACTGAACATTGTCCCGGCCAATCTTAAACTTTTTAGTGAAATTGTAAACAAATTCCTTTTCAATTTCGAAATCGTCACGGCTCAGACTTTCTGAAGCATCCAAAACGAAAACAATATCTGCTGCCTTTGGACCACACACTGAATTGAAGGAACTTTGATTGCATTATTCATTAACATTAGGACATCGATTTTATTACAATAATCGTTTTTTAACGAATACATTGCGAAAATCTTTAAGAAGCTGTTTTCAATATTCATAAAAATACACCGGAAAACAAAACGAGAGAAATATATCGTAAATCTACTTGACACCTTCCAGAGAAATATGAAGTTTACAAAGTTTTGAATATTTGCCCCAAAGGATGACTGCACTGTTGGACCTTTCTTGGTCGCTTCTATTGCTTTAGTATGTTTAATATATCACTTTTCTACATTTGCTAAAAAAAATTCTTTTCAAATTCCAAAAAATTCCAAATATAATGTTTAAATGATTTTAAACTATTAAACAAAAAAAAACTCTGTTTTTTGTCCGTACTTCGTTCCAAAATATAGATTTTATACTTATCTGCCCTTGACTGAACATAAGGTAGCATGAGAAGCGGAGCTAGCAATATGAATAACAATGGTATGTATAAAAATATGCGAGATCATTCTTTCTTATCTTACTCTTTGTAAGGCACAAGTAGTTTTATTGAAACGAATTTACTAATAAGAACACGCACATATGAAATTAACGAATATTAAAATCATTTATTTTAAACAATTAAACATTATATAGTTCAGTGCCCTAGTTCTAGCACAAAACATGCTACCTTATGTCAGGTGAAGAAATCTATTATTTTCAGAGTAGCTTGAGGTAAGAAATCACATGGTTAATTATTAATATTCAAAATATCACAACCCTCTGTAACAAAGGAAACAAATGAAAGAAGAAACAAGTTTTTTTTCTGTTTTAAACCATGAACACATGTTTGTTTATTGGCCTTCTTTTGACACAACATTAATGATGTAAATATTCATCAATTCTTAAAAGGAGATAATAGACAAACATGACCTGACTTTATATCAAGGAAGAAAAAATTAGGCGTCCTAATGAACTTATGGAAATTCAAGAAAATATGTGATAACAAATTCGTATTTTGTAAACAATTACTTTTAATTAATGCTATAATGTGGAGTTGAAGATTAGATAGTGACCAATCCTGCAATTAAGGGGGCCGACTGGGGTTTTATTGCGTGAAAACTACAATAGCGAAACTCTTTAGTTTTATACTATATAACTTACATTGATTCAGGTGTACATGCCAAGTTTGGCGAAAATCTACCGTCCAGGTATTTATAAGGGACCGTCTCAAAATACAGGTACATTTACTATAGGATTATATAGGAAAGTGCCATTTTTTGGCACACCATGAGTAACACCAAATTACACATTATATGAAAGAAACACAAAATTCTACCGTCTCGTTTCCAGAGGGGACATCTCAAAATACCAAAAATTAACGAATTTTCCTGTTTTTATAGAGTACCACAAAATATGAGGAATACAAAGGATATATACCAAAAATATAAAAATGAAGGGAAGATTCTCAAATTTCTATCTTTTAAATTTCAGGAGCATATATTTATTACTTTTTCTTTTATAGCATTTTTATTACCCCTTCTTTCAGAGCTTCATGTTTTCATAACGTCAAAAACAAGATTTTACGCCAATCTAACTATCAGTTGAAAAATCGTTTTAAAAATCTGATATATGAAATTGCAATTAAATTTTTCAACCTATAATTTCTTAATTTTATCATTTTTTCTTAATTAAGTGAAAAAATTGCTTATAAACAGTAAATAAGCTTCATTTTACGATGAAGCGCGAAATATTGCTCAATGGAAACTACAGTCGGCCCCCTTCAAAGAAAGATGCTTCTATTGAAAGTTAAATTAATTTTGTGGCTTGTTTTGAACGGACAAGGTAGGATACCGGCCAAATCTGGCCCCATATTTGATGTAAAAATCAGAACACTGGTAAAATTGTGATAGTTTGTAGTTAAGAACATAAAATGATGCTTGCTTTAAAACCAGCACTAATTTGGATTCAAAGCTAACGTGGAAGCCACTAGAGGGTGCAGAAGTAGGACATCGAATTTCCTTAGTTCTGATGTTTTCCGAAAAAAAATGTTTTGTAAAATCGATAAAAATTTGCATATAAATGAGGAAATTCGAAAAAATAATTGACCTTTTATTTTCTGACCTCTGTATATTTCAAAACTTAGAAACAATACTCATTTTGTGACAGGGGTGACAACAGGTTTTTATTTATAAACTGTTGCATCATTTTGAAAGAAACTCAAAATTAGGGGCCAAAACTGGGTCTTTCCCTATCTTGTTCTTTATTTTGTCGCAAAGTTCTTGTGTCCTTAAGTATATTCATCCTTTTGCAGGAAAATAATTAAGAAAAAATGCATATGATGAAAAATATTTACCCGGGATTGTTGTGGTTGTCGTTAATTTTGTTGTTGTTGTTTTGTGAGTCGTTGTTGTTGTTTTATGAGTCGTCGTTGTTGTTTTGTGGGTGGTTGTTGTGGTAGTCCTAGGCGTGGTTCTATGAGTTGTGGTGGTTGTTGGGTGGGTTTTGTGAGTTGTGGTGGTCGGGGGATGGGTTCTGTGAGTTGGTTTTGCTGTTGTTGTCGTGGGATGGGTCACGTGGACATGTGTTTTGGGGTGTGTAGGATGAGTCGTTGGGTGGGTTGTAGGATGTGTTGAAGGATGGGTTGTCCTGTGAGTTGTTATTTTATGAGTTGTTGTAGTAGTGGGCTGTTTTGTTGTAGGTGCTCCTTCAATACACAATGATATTTTTAAACATGTATGTTAAAATCACCAAACAGAATACAATTTTCCCTCAACTTTCGATTTTCGGATATCACATCTGAAAAAAGACATGCATAGCATTGGATATGCTCCAAACGTATCTTAACGGGCCTTTCCGGCAAGCTGAGAGAAAAAACACTTCGGTTATATTTATTACAAAAAATGAAACCGCTTCCTATTTACCGAAGTATCAACTATAAAGAGGTGAGTACCCTTCTTCTGCATATCTTTACGTTTAATTAAACTTCATAAACTCTACAATTTAAAGGCTTCCTGCATCTAAATAACAGGGGTTGCCATGGAAGCATGATGCAATGTCTTTATTATATATATGTGGTTGTCCGAAATGCTTGAGAAGAAGCGATGGGTATCCTTAAAAAAAAGACGTGTTTGTTTGCAATATGTTTTTGTCATCCCTTCACCAGATTCATTTGTAAATTTGTAAAAACTCAAGCGGTCAAATATGAATGCAAAGCACATTATAATTATTCATTTTATTTTGTATTCTTAATAAAAGATAAATGTAATTAAATCGTTTCGTATAGCACACCAAACTTTAAATATATAAATCAAAATAAAAAAATTAATCAAAATATCCTGACATAAATATAAATTTGATGTCAGAACTGTTTTTGGTATATTTAAATTAAAGTATCACCTTTCACGCATTCTTTGTTGTTACAAAAGTTGTCGTCACAGCAGTATTGGCATTCCGTTAGGGGAAATTGGAACTGTCTCTTACCGAAAGCAATAGGTAACGATTTAGGATGTCCATGAAACTGCCCTCCTACAGAATCCTGACACACCTTTATATAAAAAAAGACAATTGCACGGATTGATTGTATATTGTTTAAGGTCCCTCTCCAGAATTTTTCACTCATATGGAGACGCCACCACTTGCTGGTGGAGAGCTGCAAATTTTGTCCTATACTCGGCACTCGAGCAGGGAGGGATCTTTTTCTTGCCAGCTCCTACTGCGACTCAAAAGCTTGTTTTATACGGTCTCATCCGAAGGACCGGTCTCCACGTCCTACAGCGGGATTCGAAACCGGGACGTAAGGATCAACTCCTTACTTTGCGACTCTAGAGCAGACGCTCTAACCACTGCGCCACGCTGGCGACCAATTGAACGGAAACTTTTGAGCTGTAATTTTGTGTGTGTGTGTGTGTGTGTGTGTGTGTGTGTGTGTGTCTCTTAATAGGTAATGCTATAAATTTGTTGCAAATAACATATGAATGGCCAATTAAACGAAACGAAAGATATATTGTTATATCCTAGGTGTCCTTGAATTTCTCTTCTGTAATTGCAGTAGCACATTCATATTTAGAGATATGAAGGGGTCTTTTTAAGAAGTGCAATAAGGTAATAGAGTTTCGATTCTGGGAATTGAGGGATGTTTTTTTCTACAAAATAACCTTGTTCAATTAAATCTTTTATTATGTATGCACTAATTAACCAAATATTCTTTTAGATCAGTGGTGTTTGGATGTATCCTGAAAATGTGCAATGAGGTTTCAGAATTCTTATTTTCACCCTTGGGTTCAAATGGGTGTAAATGATTATTTTTTTTCAAAGCTTGGTTGTTTCCTTTTTATATTTTTTTACTGTAGCAGCTCTATCATATTTTGGAATAAGTCTGGAAGTGGCATGATGATATGAATTTAGGCTTTGCAATTTTTATTTTCACTCCTGAAGATTTTCATGTAAATAATAAAGTTATTATAGCTTCTTCCCTTGTTATCTAAATATTTAGGTGAGTACATTAAGATGTAAACATCTACGAACAGGAATTGCTATCATATGCATGACAATATATATAGATGTATCTTTTTTTTCAACTTCTTTACATACTAACTGTCAAACTTTTAAAATATAATTCTAAACAAATATAAATGTACTCACGTGTTTTTTCTCACATCGAAGTTGATACCGCTCTTGAAACAATTCTGTAAGGACCAATGTCGCTAGACAAGTCTATAAAACAGAACATATTTTTATACAAATGGAATTAGAAATTTGAAATATTGATGTTTTTCATTTATTTTATTTACAATTTAAAAATTATTTGTGAAATTTGGTACCTCATCGTAATTACAGACATCCACTTTTTCACATGTTCCAGGGTTAGCTGCATCAGAACATTTAAAACAGACGGTGCCGTTGACCATGTTCACGGCTACAATAAAATCAAAACTTTTTTTTTTAATTTTATTACATTCAAGATTTCAAATATTAAGAAGTCATGGCTGAAAATGAGGCATTAAGATAATTTTGAAGCCTCTAGAAGGTCTTTCTTTTGTTATTTATTTAGTTAATTTATTTCGTTCTGTTCTTTTATTTTCATTGCATCAATATTTTAAACAATTTCTCAATCTTAAAAGGAAACAAGAATTCATTTCTTTATAAAAAAAAAAAAAACCCACAATCTTGATATCGTAGGCCCAGTTTCTTCCCCCTGATTTCTCTGAAACTGCTTTAAAGATGTCCTTTTTATAAATATAAAAAAAAATCAAATTTTACCAAAATCAAAAACATCGATACGTTTGACTTTTCAACACTTTATAGATCCATTCCCCACGATATATTAAAGTTCTGGATCTTTTACATCACAATGAGCTGCCTTTTCAATACAAATGAAACTCGTAAATTTACTTATTTTGTCAATGGGTATTCGTAAAATCATTTTGTTAAAACATGGTGATTGTACACACACGGTTTTTGAAATTGATATTAAAGAGATGCTTGTATTCCTTATCGGCAATGTTTACGTATGTAGTATTTGGAGATGTTGTCTTCTCGAAATTTCCCTGGGTACCGTTATCAACAGACTTATTTTTTGTATTCATATGAAGCAGAATTTATTTAAACTTATATATGAGAAGAAGAAAACACTTGCTTTTGCTTTCGACTCGACATTTAGATGTTTCATCGACGACGAATTATAGATTATCAATAATAAATAACTTCTTCCATTCAGATAAGGATCAATTTCGAAAACAAGGCAAGCTTTTGACAAAATGATATTACCAGTCTCGTTTAAAGTCATCATCAGCAAGCAAGTTCTATGGTCACTACAACCACCTCGTTAGCAAATACATTCTATCTAGGACATCCGAAGTCAAATGCTGACAGGAAATTTCAAACTAAATTGTCAACCATTTTTTAGTAGCGAGACGTGGACAGAGAATGCTTACTCCTCCATGGCACCTGAGCCAACCTCTGATTTTTAAGAAGTTCCAATTTGCTCTACCCCCGATATGTATTGTTTCGCTTATTTCTGTGTTTGATCACTGTTCGTTGTCTCCATATTTCATGAAATGAGATCATGAGAACAATAAGAGGTCATTGACTTACTTTTGTCAGGACATCCATCTCTATTGCAGAATTCTTTCGTACAACATTCCTCGCAAAGATGGAGGTTTTCAAACTGCCTCTTGACAGGCTGTGTCACTGCTCGTTTCCGGCCATTTAGTACCCTACAAGTCTGCAAAAGAAGTATTCAGAAATCGGTATTTTTGTTCCTGATAAAACGAGCAAAAAACGCATTCTGCATTTTGAGAACAGGGCTTACTTACATCTTCTATTCGGCATCCCAAGTCGTAATATAGAAACCCTTGTTCTGTCACATAGAAATCTGTAAAACATCGCTAAAAAAAGGAATTTATGACATTATTATCAGAAAAATGCTATTCCCTTTAATGATGGCTCTCAGTAGAAAAAGGGTCCAATTCTTACCCAAGATAGATTTTAGTTTTAAAAAAAATAATAAAGACAAGAAATTAAGCTTATTTTCTTAAGACACGAAAGAATACTAAAAGGCCTTTTCAAATGTCAATACTCTGTAAAATTTGTTTATACATATAATATGATAATCATTGCAAAATTGCTTAATGAATTTTATATGGAACTACTCAAGACTAACAACCATTGATTAAAAAAATACACGTACGTAATGGTCTGAACAGTTAACCACAGTGGTGCAGTCTTGAGGGAATGACACTCCAGTACATTGCAGACATTGCAATCCTAGAACATTCACAGAGTATTTTAATTAGCTTTTCCCTCACATAATGTATTTCTTTGTTTTGGTAACGAAGAAAGTCAAATAAACAATACACACTAGCTATATAATATAACACAATTATACCGATTTTAAAATTATATTTTGGGGTAAGAAAGTAAGCCAAAAAACATATTTATAAGTTACTTTATAAAATGCTTTCTTATGATAAAAGGAGAAAAAAAAAATACCTTCTGCAACAGCCAAAATAGTGACACCTACCACTGAAAAATTTAGGAAAAAGCAAAACCTTTTAGATAATCTGCCGATGAAGTCATTACAAATGTGAAATGACAAGAATCTTATGATTTAATAATTGAATCTTACGTAAGGGATATCATCAGCTTGATTGAAGACATTTTCAAACTTCACTGTCCCCGCTGTTTTAAATGGGGTAAAATGACATAAAATTTCTAAACATACATACCTGCAGCAAGGAAATACCGGAAACTGGCCATGAAGATTGAGAGGTGTCCGGCCGTCGAAAAAGATTATAATTTTACGAAATTTGTTGTAATATTCCTTATCAAGTGCTTGTGACCTAGGAGAATCGCTCTCTTTTGACACCAAGTAACCTTCGATTGTCTTTGTCTGTTCCGACCCTGATAATGCATGAAAATGTCTGTTTCTATGTTTGTAAAAATTAAAGATTGTTGAAATAAATGTTAACAGAAATCTATATATTTTTTCTCAGTGCTTCGAATCCTTCTAGTGGTCAACTTGTTAAAGATGTCGTTTTCGGTGAAAATTAATTTTATATGATAACTTTCGAATAGAATAATTAATTTTATAATTACAAATACATCACAAATAATCGAAATCAATTATACCTCTTTAACAGTATCCAAGATTTTAATATTTTAAATGCTTACTATAATGTAACTTCTAAAGGTGTGTTCCCATTTCGCCTTAACTGTGAAATTCATGTAAGAAAAAGTCAAAAAGTACTAAGGCGAAATGGGAATTTTAGTATTTGTAAATATTATCACTGGGTTAAATCATAAAATTTTTTAGATTGAATTTAACAGTTAATGGGAATTTATGAATATAGTGAATGAAATAATACATGTAATACCAAGTATTTTTTTTTAAAAATACTATGTGCTAAATATATTATTAATCTTCATCACCTTAATTCACCTGAGACCTTACTAAGGCGAAATGGGAATGCTAAATTTTACAGTTAAGGCGAAATAGGAACAAACCCTTCTAAACCAAACAAAGAAAGACAACTCAATTAACTACTACCCCGGTATGTCAGAAAATTGCCTCATTTTGAAGCAGTACAGACAGACAACCAGCCTGCTTTATGTGGTTTTTATTTTTTTCTTTTTTGGTCTGTATTTGTTAGCTAAAGTTTGTAGTTATTTAGATTAAAGTTTCTTGGTTTGTTCCCATTTCGCCTAAACTGTAAAAGAACTACGAACGATAGTATTGTTCTCCCGCCTACCTCTAAGTCATTCGAATGATTTTCAAACTTTTTATAGATATGCATTGGCGGATCCAGAGGGGGGGGGGTTCCGGGGGTTGGACCCCCCCCTTTATTTTTTGGAGAGTGAGAGGGGATAAAACGTTTTCCGAGATTATATACATTTGTATTTGTTCGTCCCACTTATTTATTGAATACAGAGATTCTCACACATTAAGTTTCCTCCAATCACCTTCTCTATTATACTTTTTTTATGAGAGAATGGTAGAAAATATTCTACTTATTTTCATATATCTAGATCTTGTATGTAGCATGCGAAATTTAATATGATATTGGATTCCCTCGATCTTTGGCTGTGTTGGCTATACTTGTACCGTTTTTTATCATATCTAGATCTATTGAAGGAACTAACATGTAACTTTGCTATAAAGCCCACCCGCATCCCACCCCAAAAAAACGTTTTTCAAATTCTTAAAGAAAATTCTTTATACTCTTCGGAAATGATACAAATCCATTCAATTTTAAGGCTTCCGTATTTTTTTAAACTTTTTTTTTTTTGGTTTGGTTTTGTTTATTTTGTATTTGTTGTTTTGTTCGTACTGGGGGTACGCTTTTTAAAAAAAAAGAAAAAAAGAAAGAAAAAAAAGGGCCATAAAACAAAGATAGTACTTAGCACAACCTTAGATATTTCCATACAAGTCTGTGAATCTTTGCTTGAGAGTATGTATTGGGAAGGGGGGAGGTAATAGGGGAACAACCCTGGAACCCCCTCTTTCAAAAATTGCTGGATTCGCCCCTGATATTTATATGAATTTTCATAAAACGTTACTTATTTGGGATATCAAAGAGAGATAACTCTATAATTTTGGTAAAACTTGTGTTTTTCACTATAGAAATCAACGGAAAATATTTTTAAAACATCCCCCCCCCCCAGTGAAACAAAAATTTCTTTTTACAGGTAATATGGACTGTCATTTTACAAATTTATGCCAAAACTATTTGTGTTTCACGGGGGGGACATATGTTTATAGACAAAAAAACGGAAAAAATGCTGATTTTTCACCACTTTTAAAGCTATTTACAACTAAATAATTGTATTTTATTAATTCATATATGTTTTATTTATTTGCGTAAAACATAAGAAAAGATATGAGATACGTTTTATCATATTTAAGACTATTTCAAAATATGGGGATTCTTGAAAGTTCGATTTCACCAGAAAATATCGTCTACCCCCCTTTTTTCAAGAGCTGGAATTAATGATAATTTACTATCTAGCGCTGGAACTAAAATGATTAATCAATTACCATAGAACTGTTCTTTGTATTATACAAAGAATTAATGGCCAAATTGCCATTAATATTGAATTTAATGGGTGCAAAATGTAGGCGGGAATCAAGAGTTAGAGTTCGTGCTTCTTTATAATTCCCATTTCGCCTTAGTAAGCTTTTAGGTGAAATAAGGCGAGATATTGGAACTTGAGAATAAACATCTAATTTCGTCTAATATAAATATAATAATGATGATGTAGAAATGATGAGATATATCAAAAGTTAATAAATATTAGCCATAACATACTAGTATGCTCAGTCAAACAAATATTAGAAGACACTTAGTATAGGGGGAGGGGGTATTATAGTATTCATCAATAAATTCCCATTAAATGTCTAATCTAAAGTCTTTATCATAAATGTTTTTTTTTTATTTCAACCCAGTAATAAAATTTACAAATGCAAAATTATTTTCTATTACCGTTTTAGGGGTCCATAATAAAGCTTCTAATTTCAACCCAGTAATAAAATTTACAAATGCAAAATTATTTTATATTACCGGTACTTCCGAAATCTGGATAAATAATTTTAAGAAAATTACAAAAGACTGATAAAACTCCATTTGAAAAAATTCGAAATTTCATCTTCAAAGACATTTTAGGGGTCCATAATAAAGCTTCTAATTTAGCAGTTAGAGTAGAGTTTGGTGCACTTACCATTATTTTCAGAAGTTATAAATTATTATTTAGATATTATTACAGATTACAGAAACTTGTTTCCGATGAAGAGAATTCAAACTTACTTTTACAACATACCACAATGCATATTAAGAGGATGGAAAATTTGCAGAAAATGGAAAAACATGTTGGCAAAACTGTATACAAACTATACTCAATGAAGTTATTGGTTCAAATGCTAATATATTATCAATACATGATTTTGAAAATAATTTGAAAAAGTATTTTGAAAATAAAGTTTTTAAGGATACAATAAATATGAAAGAAAAAAACAAGCTTGAAATTCAACCATACTTAAACTTTTCCATTTCAAAGAATCTTCGTTCTTTTTTGACTCGATTGAGAATAAGTGCCCACAAATTACAGATAGAGGTTGGCAGATATTGTAACCCAATTATACCAAGAGATGAAAGATACTGTATTAATTGTCAAACTGTTGTTGAAGATGAACATCATTTTTTATTTGTATGTCCTCTTTTTAAACAAATGAAAAGTGAATTTTGTACACTTTTTAAAAATACATGTATATCTTATGAAATTCTTAATCCAACAGATGTAAAATCTACAGGAAATATTTGTAACTTCATACGTGATGCATTTAATATAACAAAAATGTGACAATATATTTGTTTACTGTATGTATGACTTGCGCCACATACGGTTTTTGTCAAATTTAATAAATAAATAAATTTATACAAGGATATTTTATTTTTTATTTATCACTGTATTACAAATATCCCCCACCATCCACCATCTAAAAGGCATCTCATATATACAATTGCCATTGATTATATGTTGAGAAATTTGTATAATGAAAGTTTGAAACAAAGTTTGATATCTCAAATTACATGTAGGACGGCCGTTCAAAATTACGCGGATTGTGCTATTATTTACTCTTACAGACGACATATAGTTATGAAATTTCACAGAAATATGTATCTTAAAGATTCCAATAAATTTTATGCAAAATTTTTGTATTTAAAAAAGATTCTACTAAAATTATCGGTATGTTGATATCGCTGATGGAGAGGTACGGAGCACGACAAAAAATTTGATGCAAAAGCATGCGGAGTCCAAAATTTAACTCATTATTTTTCTATAATTCGCGATATTTTTCGACAATTTTCTCAAATGTATCTTTGAATTGTTCTATTATTATGTATTTAGATTTCTGACGTGATATTTGAAGTACTAACAGAAATATAGTGATTTTTCTCTGATGCGATACCCGTGAAAACGACTGTGAAAATGACGTCTCCTGAATTGACGGTGCATCACACTTTTGTTGAATTATGTGTAATGCTCGAGATATCGCCAACATAGATCCAAAATATGTATAATAAAACATTTAGTAAACTAGGGTATTCGTGACATTAGTCCACAAATAGCAAATTGAAATTTTAGACCGTTACTTAGACCTCTGTAAAAAGGCTATACGGGAGGACGGGAAGATTATCGATGAAAGCTTCATCCGGACTTTAAAGAACGTGATTGAGAGTCACCAGTATCACACTATACATGTATCTCATAAATACCTGCAGTTTTTGGTTTTAAAACAAAAAAAAAGAATATTCTTTACTTGTTTAATAGATTTTAAGCTTGACAAGAAATGGTGTTTGGATGTTGAGTAAATAAGGTAACTCAAACTGTGCAGGTACTCTTGGGAAAATGTTGAGAAAATGAAAGCTCAATCACATATTTTTTTATAATGCCTGTGACGTCAAAGATTTTGCTGCTCCGTGACTTAATGATATGTCCTGAAAAATCACTCTAAATTGATACCAATTTACAACATTTTGATATGAAATCTTGAAGACCATTATAAGTAAAGATTCTTTTATATTATGTGTGACATTTTGCCCGATTATGTCGTCAAATATTTTTTCTGTGAAACAAGTCCACGTAATTTTTGAACGGCCCTCTTATGTCCCTTTGAACAACGTAGCAAGAACATCTGCTTAATATTATGCAAATCCTAAGGGAGTGTTAACGAAACACACGTCTCTATACAACTTAGGGCTGTAGAGACTCACTCACAATTGATCAAGTATTAAAGTCAGAGTCCTTAACGGTAATGATACCCG